GCTTTAGTATATCCAAATAAGTCATGTATTCGCGGAGAAACACCCATCTGAGTCTTCCATGTCCCAAAAAATATTCAAAAAATTTTTTTCAAAAATTTTTTCAAATAGATAGGGTTACAGTAGAATCCGCTTAGAACAGTTTTTATAGACTGTTTTTAATGTAGTTTCGAATGAGCTATAGTATATCCAAATATGTCATGTATTCGCGGAGAAACACCCCTCTGAGTCTTCCATGTCCCAAAAAATATTCAAAAAATTTTTTTCTAAAATTTTTTCAAATAGATAGGGCTACTGTAGAATCCGCTTAGAACAGTTTTTATAGACTGTTTTTTTTGTAGTTTCGAATGAGCTATAGTATATCCAAATATGTCATGTATTCGCGGAGAAACACCCTTCTGAGTCTTCCATGTCCCAAAAAATATTGAAAAAATTTTTTTCTAAAATTTTCTCAAATAGATAGGGTTACTGTAGAATCCGCTTAGAACAGTTTTTATAGACTGTTTTTAATGTAGTTTCGAATGAGCTATAGTATATCCAAATATGTCATGTATTCGCGGAGAAACACCCTTCTGAGTCTTCCATGTCCCAAAAAATATTGAAAAAATTTTTTTCTAAAATTTTTTCAAATAGATAGGGCTACTGTAGAATCCGCTTAGAACAGTTTTTATAGACTGTTTTTAATGTAGTTTCGAATGAGCTTTAGTATATCCAAATAAGTCATGTATTCGCGGAGAAACACCCATCTGAGTCTTCCATGTCCCAAAAAATATTGAAAAAATTTTTTTCTAAAATTTTCTAAAATAGATAGGGTTACTGTAGAATCCGCTTAGAACAAGTTTTATAGACTGTTTTTAATGTAGTTTCGAATGAGCTATAGTATATCCAAATGTGTCATGTATTCGCGGAGAAACACCCCTCTGAGTCTTCCATGTCCCAAAAAATATTCAAAAAAAATTATTCTAAAATTTTTACAAATAGATAGGGTTACTGTAGAATCCGCTTAGAACAGTTTTTATAGACTGTTTTTAATGTAGTTTCGAATGAGCTATAGTATATCCAAATAAGTCATGTATTCGCGGAGAAACACCCATCTGAGTCTTCCATGTCCCAAAAAATATTCAAAAAATTTTTTTCAAAAATTTTTTCAAATAGATAGGGTTACTGTAGAATCCGCTTAGAACAGTTTTTATAGACTGTTTTTAATGTAGTTTCGAATGAGCTATAGTATATCCAAATATGTCATGTATTCGCGGAGAAACACCCCTCTGAGTCTTCCATGTCCCAAAAAATATTCAAAAAAATTTTTTCAAAAATTTTTTCAAATAGATAGGGTTACTGTAGAATCCGCTTAGAACAGTTTTTATAGACTGTTTTTAATGTAGTTTCGAATGAGCTTTAGTATATCCAAATAAGTCATGTATTCGCGGAGAAACACCCATCTGAGTCTTCCATGTCCCAAAAAATATTCAAAAAATTTTTTTCAAAAATTTTTTCAAATAGATAGGGTTACAGTAGAATCCGCTTAGAACAGTTTTTATAGACTGTTTTTAATGTAGTTTCGAATGAGCTATAGTATATCCAAATATGTCATGTATTCGCGGAGAAACACCCCTCTGAGTCTTCCATGTCCCAAAAAATATTCAAAAAATTTTTTTCTAAAATTTTTTCAAATAGATAGGGCTACTGTAGAATCCGCTTAGAACAGTTTTTATAGACTGTTTTTTTTGTAGTTTCGAATGAGCTATAGTATATCCAAATATGTCATGTATTCGCGGAGAAACACCCTTCTGAGTCTTCCATGTCCCAAAAAATATTGAAAAAATTTTTTTCTAAAATTTTCTCAAATAGATAGGGTTACTGTAGAATCCGCTTAGAACAGTTTTTATAGACTGTTTTTAATGTAGTTTCGAATGAGCTATAGTATATCCAAATATGTCATGTATTCGCGGAGAAACACCCTTCTGAGTCTTCCATGTCCCAAAAAATATTGAAAAAATTTTTTTCTAAAATTTTTTCAAATAGATAGGGCTACTGTAGAATCCGCTTAGAACAGTTTTTATAGACTGTTTTTAATGTAGTTTCGAATGAGCTTTAGTATATCCAAATAAGTCATGTATTCGCGGAGAAACACCCATCTGAGTCTTCCATGTCCCAAAAAATATTGAAAAAATTTTTTTCTAAAATTTTCTAAAATAGATAGGGTTACTGTAGAATCCGCTTAGAACAGTTTTTATAGACTGTTTTTAATGTAGTTTCGAATGAGCTATAGTATATCCAAATATGTCATGTATTCGCGGAGAAACACCCTTCTGAGTCTTCCATGTCACAAAAAATATTCAAAAAATTTTTTTCTAAAATTTTTTCAAATAGATAGGGCTACTGTATAATCCGCTTAGAACAGTTTTTATAGACTGTTTTTAATGTAGTTTCGAATGAGCTTTAGTATATCCAAATAAGTCATGTATTCGCGGAGAAACACCCATCTGAGTCTTCCATGTCCCAAAAAATATTCAAAAAATTTTTTTCAAAAATTTTTTCAAATAGATAGGGTTACTGTAGAATCCGCTTAGAACAGTTTTTATAGACTGTTTTTAATGTAGTTTCGAATGAGCTATAGTATATCCAAATATGTCATGTATTCGCGGAGAAACACCCCTCTGAGTCTTCCATGTCCCAAAAAATATTCAAAAAATTTTTTTCTAAAATTTTTTCAAATAGATAGGGCTACTGTAGAATCCGCTTAGAACAGTTTTTATAGACTGTTTTTAATGTAGTTTCGAATGATCTATAGTATATCCAAATAAGTCATGTATTCGCGGAGAAACACCCATCTGAGTCTTCCATGTCCCAAAAAATATTCAAAAAATTTTTTTCAAAAATTTTTTCAAATAGATAGGGTTACTGTAGAATCCGCTTAGAAAAGTTTTTATAGACTGTTTTTAATGTAGTTTCGAATACTCTATAGTATATCCAAATAAGTCATGTATTCGCGGAGAAACACCCCTCTGAGTCTTCCATGTCCCAAAAAATATTCAAAAAATTTTTTTCTAAAATTTTTTCAAATAGATAGGGCTACTGTAGAATCCGCTTAGAACAGTTTTTATAGACTGTTTTTTTTGTAGTTTCGAATGAGCTATAGTATATCCAAATATGTCATGTATTCGCGGAGAAACACCCTTCTGAGTCTTCCATGTCCCAAAAAATATTGAAAAAATTTTTTTCTAAAATTTTCTCAAATAGATAGGGTTACTGTAGAATCCGCTTAGAACAGTTTTTATAGACTGTTTTTAATGTAGTTTCGAATGAGCTATTGTGCCGAAAGGCACAATTTTGCCTCAAAATTACTATATTTTATTAATTTTATTTAATTTATATTTTATTTCACTTATTGATTGCTATCCGCCCATTTCATTTAATTCTCATCATTTTTACTTATTTCCACATTGTACCGCCCAACTTCTTCCCTATATAACCATTTGACTTTTAAGAGAAAAGACAGCTTTTGAGCTCTGTTATTAAACTACCAGTTTAATTTAAAAGGATCTGCTAAGCACAGCTTACCAGCTCCTCTTCTCTTACTTCTGACTTGCCCATATCGGCCAAGTCTTTCTCTTCTCTTCGGCTGGCTAGAAGCAGTGCTTGCCCATTTTGACCAAGCACTCTTCTCTTTGATAGCACTGTTCTATCAACCTTGCGTTTGCGCACAAAACTCTTCTATTGAATCGGGCCTGACTAGTTGGCAGTCAGCCCGGACAACCCATTTGATCACCAATCCCTTTTCTCTCTATTAATCACACTTATTTTATTTATATTATTTTTATATTAAATAAACATTTTAAATTGTGTTTATTTGTGTTTGGTGGATTTGTCTTTAGGAGATCAAATATCTCCGTCGACCATTTCAAATAAGGAATAGACTCGCGAGAGCCCGAGTTATTCCTGTCCCTCCTCTACAGAACTAACGAGGAATTGTGCACCTACATTTTCCGCACATTAAAATTGGAGCCCCGTACGGGTCCTGCAGTCCAATCGCACTGCGCCCGTCATAGCCTGAAGAGGCCAACATATCTGTTGCCCTCTTCTCATCAACAATACTTTAAGTGATTGCCGCCCGTTCCGGGTCATCACTTCAGCTTTACCCAGGGATCCGCATCGGAATATCTCAACCAACTCATCAGTGCCTGCCGCCTTACTTGGCCGCAATCGTTTGTCTTAAAGACGACAAACGAGGGCACGAAACCTACATTAGTGTCTGCCGCTTACCTTGCCGCAATTGTTTGTCTTAAAGGCGACAAACAAGGACACGAAACCGGGCGATTGCACCTCCCGTTTGGGACATCGCCACACATTTCGTCGCCTTTTGAGGCCGCGCCATACCTTTCGCCGCCTTACCTTGGCCGCGCCATTTTTGGTTGTGATACCTCCGCCCGAGTGCCGAGCCATCAATTCTTCACCTTCATCAAAGCGGTTGCGCTTATACCACCGCCCCAAGCAGGGCATTAACACACATTTCAAGTGATTTGCCGCCCCGCGCCGGGCCGTCACTTTTATTTGGCCTATAGCCTGCCAAATCTATTTCAATCACATTAAGGTGATCTTCTGCCCCTAGCTGGGCCATTACTCTTCTTTAATCATCCACCCGCCAAACACTTTTTCACTAGCCAACTTTTCTAGTTGCCTTCAGTGTACTTTGGCCAACCTTTTGTTGCCCAATTTACACATTCTTTAGTGATTTCTGCCCGTGCCTGGCAGTCACCAGTTTTGCCCCCTAAGCGGCAATAACACCACCTGTAGTCAACTTTGCCTTTGACTGTACATTACTTTCACACATAAACTTTTCTCTAGCCAGCCAGCCCTAAACAAAGCGATTGCGCAAGTTTTAGGGCCAACTTCTCTTCTTCATTTTTCCTGCTCTTTGGAACGACCAAAGCGCAGCAAACGTTCATTAACTCTTTTAATCGGCCCAAGTCGGCCAATAAACATTCTTTATAGAAAAGCGATTGTGTATTCCTTTTGGAACATCGCTTTCCTTCTTCTTTTGTCCTGCGCTTTGGAAAGATCAAAGCGCAGCACAAGTTCATTAACTCATTTTTTAGGCCCAAGCCGGCCAAAATACATTTTATAAAAAAGCGATTACATTTCCCTGAGGGGACATCGCATTTTTTTCTTATATAGACACTGCCTTACCGTAGCAGTCTCTTTTCACCAACCAATCATCAACAGAAAACATCTACTTCAATTTAATAAACTTCTTGTTAAACTTACAAGCAGTTTTCTCTATTTCCATATTTGGTTTGAAAAAGCCATTTTGATCCCATAGCTTATCAAAATGCCTTCCTCCAAACCAATTACCTGTCAATTAGGACCAGCCATAAAGGTCCTCAAGCAACATCTCGCCGCAGCCAATGCTTTGTTGAGAGCCGGCTCCGGTCGAGATCTTGCAGAATTAAGAGCTATGTCCCACCATCTCAGTCGTACCCTGGATCGGGTAGACAAACTTAACGAGAAATGGACTATCCTCATCAATCGTCTCAAGGGGGAAGCCCTTGCGATTGAGGAGCGGATTTACCGAGAATTCCCTCCATTACCACCAGAGGAAGTACAACCACCTAGACCAAAACATTTTATGGAAATTGTTGAACAAGCCCGAGGGGCACTCAACCAAATTAACACCCTCCTCGAGCCATATACCATTGCCTCGAGCAGTGATCAGACCCCAAGTTCTGATCAGACCTTATCAAATCAAAAGCCGGAACAACAATATGTTCCCGCACATCAACAAATAGATCAACAATTCAATCAACAAATCAATCAAGAATCCAATCATCAGCCAGACATTCGGTTGCCCGAACTTCGTTTGGATCCCTTCAGCGGTGATCCAAGGGAGTGGCCAACCTTCTGGCAATTATTCTCAGCCAATATCCATCACAGTCCATTGAGCAAGATTAGCAAGATGAGTTACTTGCTAACCTTCCTAAAGGGACCTGCCAAAGACTTAGTCGCAGGTTTTATCTTATCAAACGAGAACTACGATCAGGTTCTCGATCTACTTCAGTCACGGTATGGAGATACTCGTGCCATCACCGAGGCTTTAGAAGCCGAGCTGATGAATCTACAACCAGCCAATGAGAGCCCTAAGTCTCTCCGAACATTCGTGAACACAATAGAAGCAATCTGCCATCAACTCGAGGCCTTTGGGCACGTCGATACGTCACCATTTATCTCAACAGTCATCAAGTCAAGACTTCCCGAGTCAATACTCGGCAAGCTCATTGAGAAAGAACGAAGTTCAGGACTACGATGGAACTGCGCCCAACTTCACAAAGAATTGCGCGAGCTCGTTGAAATCCAAGAAGAGGTTCAACGATGCACAACATTACAAGTCATACAAGATAAATCAATGCCTACACAACTAATAAAGCTGAGTGAATGTGCCCCCAAGGAAAATCATGAACCAATTGATACCTTCGGAGCTCACTCAAGTCATCAATGGAAAACCAACCGTCCGACCAGAGGGTCGCGCAGTTGCTCGCTTTGTGGAAATTCCGGCCATTTACCTTCGAAATGTCCGGAATATTCCACACCTCAAGACCGCAAACGCCGTCTTGAGGAGCAAAACCGCTGCTTACGTTGCCTAAGGGAAGGTCATGTGGCTCTGGGATGCCCTTCTCTTATACCATGCAGTCAGTGTCAAGGGAGCCACCACTTGCTAGTATGCATGAATGCCTCCTTGACTCTGCATGGTAAGGCAAGTAACCGTCAAGAAAATCATTCTCAATCAACCGTGACTCTTGAATCGAGTCCCACCAACCAATCACTCATGACTATACAATTGACCCCTCAAGCGGTCAAACAACCAAATCAACCATTCTCTTCCAAGGCCAACCAGAATAAAGGCCAGGAGCCAGGCGTTCGTCATAAAACTAAAAAGACTGCGCCTGTCTCAACCTCAAGACAGTCAGACTTTTCCTCTATGCCTGTCTTAGAACTGTCAGAACATAATAGCTGTATTGCTCAATCCATTCTATATCATCTATGCCCTCCGACTCAAGTTTGCAAGGGCTTAGTGTCAAAGAGGGGAACAAAAGCCTCAGCCACTTCCTCATTAATAACGGAGGTGTCTGCCCTCTTTCACATACATGCCTCAGGGAAGAATAAGCCAATCGACTCGGAAATATCATTTCCCAGTCAGGCATCAGCGTTGGCTACAGTAACCTCCAACATGGTTACTCTAACCAATAACGAGCCACGTCTTGCCCTCACTATTGGCCGACCTGTCTCCCTCAATACTCAAGACTCAAAGTGCTTGGATCTCAAAGTCATCCATTCACCTCAATCTACCCTTATTCAAGAAGGGGTTGAGGAGTCAAACCAATTTACCAATCCAAACAAAGCTGAGTTTACAATAAACTCACTCAACCAAGAGCAAAATATGCCCTCGCGCGAAGGTCATCAGCGATTGACTAGCTCGAGGTCATTTGCTAATTCAAAGCTCATAAACATCAATACACTCCAATCTATCAGTATTATACTCGGGAAAGCAAGAGCTTTACCCTTCGCCTCAAAATCGGTCGCCGAACATAGACCGCTTACTGCCGAAGTTTTAAAACTCATTCTTCTAATTAAAGAGCAATTTCTTCCGGCCTGGATCTTGAAATGTTCCAGCCTGTATAACAATCAATGCCGCTTATTATCCATAGGATTAGCCGCATATTTTTGTTATTTATCAACATTCTTGTTAAGGGCATATATACTTCTCTGCCACACAGTTGCGACTCGAATAGTCCCAACATTTCTTCAATCATTGGCAGATGGGGAAGGGGTTGCCAACCCAAGTGATAAAAGGGTTGTCAACCCACCCATCATAAATACTGCTCAAATTACCGCCCAACCAGTGAGGCTTACGAAATTATACAGTACCCCACTCACCTCTTATTTCGAAAAATTTTCACATAAAAAAAAGTCCCTTTTTGAAGGCTCTTCAATATTATGGCGCCCTAAATGGCTTGCATCCATTCGCCATACATTATCAAATATAACAGACATGGTCATCTGTACCATCTCTTCATTCAAATACCGGCCATTCTTAGAAATGCCCGTAATAATTAAATTAATTATCTTCTTTAAAAGGCTGTTGAGCCAACTAAGTTGTGCACTTCCAAATTGGAGAACACGCAAAAAACGCTTAGAGGCTCAATCGACCCTTAAGCATACATTACCCGGCACTACGGAACTGACATACAATTATCTGATAATTCCGCTCGCCCTTAGAATATCATCAAGGCCAGCGGAAACTCGACCTTCACCTCACAAGCATGTGCTAGGTCGCACTCAGGGTACCTTTTACCCTCAGGCCATCTGCAAGTATTACCTAATTGCCCGTAGCGAAAGCCCGGCCAAATTAAGGTATCAACATCAACCCGACCAAAAGCCCGGATCTTCAAGAAATGATTCCGCCTCAGGGCGCAACACGATCTTCACTCAGCTAGATCGTACTCCAAGCACCCAGCTATTGAAGGCTCGGTCTTCTCTGACTCAAGAAGGATTAAGAGTGAACAAGTATGAGGAATTTCGGCGGATTCTAATCCCCCGCATACCGCGCCTTAACCAATCAATACTAACCACTTTCCTTGTGGCTCTCGAAATTCCCACTCTTACCTCGAACCTATTTTGGTTTCGATTCCATTTCTTGCCTTACAACAACAAGCCAACAAAAGTTGTACTGCATCAAAACGATATCATCAAAAGAATCATCAATAGAATCAACAATGATAAAGACAAACAGCAAGAAATTTATTTATTCATTCCCGGTCTAATACCGGTCAGCAAAGCAATCATCAAAGACCCGAAGGGTCAATACTTCAAACAACGATCCAATTGGATCATTCAACTTCAAATTGCCGAAGGCAATTCATCTTCATCACAAGATAGTGGAATGCCAACAATCAACAATTTAGCTAATCATCAAAGTATCTTAACTTCAGTATCCATATGCTTCAGCACAACAATCAAATCAACAAGCCTCCAACCATTTCTACCTAAGGCAAGTTGTGGTGTTGGAAGTGAGATAGTTAGAGATTTGAATGGCATTCCACCAAAGACCCATTTTCATGATAACCAGCCAAGGAGCGCCTCAGTCCCTCCTTGCCTGTTTTATAAGTTGAGCGGAAATAAATCCATGGCATTTGTGCCATCAATCATTTCACTTTGGCGCGCCACCATCAGTTCCTCATCCTGGAACGCCACCACCCAAAAGGCTGGGGCCGCCTCTTTAATCACGTACACGTTCGTTCTGGTTCTTGGAGCACCATCTACCTATATGACAATTGGAGCTCAACCATGTTCGATGCAAATAAACGCGGAACTCAGCAATGGCAATCAACCGAGGAAGAAGAACAAACCTGAAGAGCCGATGATCTATAAGAAATATTTTGTGATTATTTGTGCCCTGTTTTTCTTCCCTCTTTTCTTCTCGAGAGGGGAATGTGCCGAAAGGCACAATTTTGCCTCAAAATTACTATATTTTATTAATTTTATTTAATTTATATTTTATTTCACTTATTGATTGCTATCCGCCCATTTCATTTAATTCTCATCATTTTTACTTATTTCCACATTGTACCGCCCAACTTCTTCCCTATATAACCATTTGACTTTTAAGAGAAAAGACAGCTTTTGAGCTCAGTTATTAAACTACCAGTTTAATTTAAAAGGATCTGCTAAGCACAGCTTACCAGCTCCTCTTCTCTTACTTCTGACTTGCCCATATCGGCCAAGTCTTTCTCTTCTCTTCGGCTGGCTAGAAGCAGTGCTTGCCCATTTTGACCAAGCACTCTTCTCTTTGATAGCACTGTTCTATCAACCTTGCGTTTGCGCACAAAACTCTTCTATTGAATCGGGCCTGACTAGTTGGCAGTCAGCCCGGACAACCCATTTGATCACCAATCCCTTTTCTCTCTATTAATCACGCTTATTTTATTTATATTATTTTTATATTAAATAAACATTTTAAATTGTGTTTATTTGTGTTTGGTGGATTTGTCTTTAGGAGATCAAATATCTCCGTCGACCATTTCAAATAAGGAATAGACTCGCGAGAGCCCGAGTTATTCCTGTCCCTCCTCTACAGAACTAACGAGGAATTGTGCACCTACATTTTCCGCACAGCTATAGTATATCCAAATATGTCATGTATTCGTGGAGAAACACCCCTCTGAGTCTTCCATGTCTCAAAAAATATTCAAAAAAATTTTTTCAAAAATTTTTTCAAATAGATAGGGTTACTGTAGAATCCGCTTAGAACAGTTTTTATAGACTGTTTTTAATGTAGTTTCGAATGAGCTATAGTATATCCAAATATGTCATGTATTCGCGGAGAAACACCCCTCTGAGTCTTCTATGTCCCAAAAAATATTGAAAAAATTTTTTTCTAAAATTTTTACAAATAGATAGGGTTACTGTAGAATCCGCTTAGAACAAGTTTTATAGACTGTTTTTAATGTAGCTTCGAATGAGCTATAGTATATCCATTTAAGTCATGTATTCGCGGAGAAACACCCCTCTGAGTCTTCCATGTCCCAAAAATATTCAAAAAATTTTTTTCTAAAATTTTTTCAAATAGATAGGGCTACTGTAGAATCCGCTTAGAACAGTTTTTATAGACTGTTTTTAATGTAGTTTCGAATGAGCTATAGTATATCCAAATAAGTCATGTATTCGCGGAGAAACACCCCTCTGAGTCTTCTATGTCCCAAAAAATATTAAAAAAAATTTTTCAAAAATTTCAAATAGATAGGGTTACTGTAGAATCCGCTTAGAACCGTTTTTATAGACTGTTTTTAATGTAGTTTCGAATGAGCTATAGTATATCCAAATAAGTCATGTATTCGCGGAGAAACACCCCTCTGAGTCTTCTATGTCCCAAAAAATATTGAAAAAATTTTTTTCTAAAATTTTCTCAAATAGATAGGGCTACTGTAGAATCCGCTTAGAACAGTTTTTATAGACTGTTTTTAATGTAGTTTCGAATGAGCTATAGTATATCCAAATAAGTCATGTATTCGCGGAGAAACACCCCTCTGAGTCTTCTATGTCCCAAAAAATATTTAAAAAATTTTTTTCAAAAATTTTTTCAAATAAATAGGGTTACTGTAGAATCCGCTTAGAACAGTTTTTATAGACTGTTTTTAATGTAGTTTCGAATGAGCTATAGTATATCAAAATATGTCATGTATTCGCGGAGAAACACCCCTCTGAGTCTTCCATGTCCCAAAAAATATTCATAAAATTTTTTTCAAAAATTTTTTCAAATAGATAGGGTTACTGTAGAATCCGCTTAGAACAGTTTTTATAGACTGTTTTTAATGTAGTTTCGAATGATCTATAGTATATCCAAATAAGTCATGTATTCGCGGAGAAACACCCCTCTGAGTCTTCCATGTCCCAAAAAATATTCAAAAAATTTTTTTAAATTTTTTCAAAAAGATAGGGTTACTGTAGAATCCGCTTAGAACAGTTTTTATAGACTGTTTTTAATGTAGTTTCGAATGAGCTATAGTATATCCAAATAAGTCATGTATTCGTGGAGAAACACCCCTCTGAGTCTTCCATGTCCCAAAAAATATTCAAAAAAATTTTTTCAAAAATTTTTTCAAATAGATAGGGTTACTGTAGAATCCGCTTAGAACAGTTTTTATAGACTGTTTTTAATGTAGTTTCGAATGAGCTATAGTATATCCAAATATGTCATGTATTCGCGGAGAAACACCCCTCTGAGTCTTCCATGTCCCAAAAAATATTCAAAAAAATTTTTTCAAAAATTTTTTCAAATAGATAGGGTTACTATAGAATCCGCTTAGAACAGTTTTTATAGACTGTTTTTAATGTAGTTTCGAATGAGCTATAGTATATCCAAATAAGTCATGTATTCGCGGAGAAACACCCCTCTGAGTCTTCCATGTCCCAAAAAAATATTCAAAAAAATTTTTTCAAAAATTTTTTCAAATAGATAGGGTTACTGTAGAATCCGCTTAGAACAGTTTTTATAGACTGTTTTTAATGTAGTTTCGAATGAGCTATAGTATATCCAAATATGTCATGTATTCGCGGAGAAACACCCCTCTGAGTTTTCTATGTCCCAAAAAATATTGAAAAAATTTTTTTCTAAAATTTTTACAAATAGATAGGGTTACTGTAGAATCCGCTTAGAACAAGTTTTATAGACTGTTTTTAATGTAGCTTCGAATGAGCTATAGTATATCCATTTAAGTCATGTATTCGCGGAGAAACACCCCTCTGAGTCTTCCATGTCCCAAAAATATTCAAAAAATTTTTTTCTAAAATTTTTTCAAATAGATAGGGTTACTATAGAATCCGCTTAGAAGTTGATTTTCTTGATGGTGATAAATGATATCAAACATACTATCAAATATGTGTCAGTTTCAATTTTTCTCCATCAACTTTTTATTATTTCAAAATTGTATTACACAATATACATTAAATATATTACACAAAGCGCCTTAAGGCAAAGAAAGGTCTTCAAAACCTTTTTTTAAATACTTTTTCCATTTAATTCTCTCTCTCCAAATTAAATGCTAGCAGCGAGTGTTTCTGTTGTTGACTACTTTAAGGTTGTTGTTATCGGGTGGTTACCCCGTCCTTGATTGAACAGGTTTTTTCTTCTATCAAAAAAATTTTTGAGTGTAAAAAAATTCTCTCACATGCAATACATTCATAATTTACCTAAAAATAATATTTTTCTTTTTTTTTGATATTCTTATTTCTAATTTTTTTGCCTAATTTTGCTTAATAACAACTTAAATCCACTGTCATACGGTACACCTCAGTTCAGTTCCGCGCCTATAACTTATGAAGGGTCAGATAGTTTTACCGTATTTGGTACCATTGGATAGAGCATTAAATAAGCTACAATAAACCAGAAAATCAAAATTCTTAATTTACTGGTAAAAAAATTATGATCAAAAAAGTGCCAAAAAATGACACTATTTTCGGAAAGGGTAGTTTTTATTCCATAACTTTTTTATCAATCATTTAAAAATTCTGATTTTTTGGCGTATTGTAGTGCTTTTAATTTTCTATCCAATGGTACCAAGAACATAAAGAAGTGACCATCGCTTCACGAGTTATATGGTCAGGACTGAACTGCTCCATAAGTAATACCCCTTAAGGCTCTTAACTATCTCTAGAGTACAAATTTCCTTTTTAATCTTTTCTTTCAATTTTTTATTTTTTATATTTTCGTTTATGATTCTAAAATGTATTTCAAACTTCACTTCAAATTAATTTAAATAATAAAAATTACACGCAATATTTTATTTTAAGAAATACAAAATTTAAGGTTTTGCCCTATTTTTCTATCCTACTATACCTAACTAACCTATCGAATTTTTATTTCCTCATACAGGACTTATACACTAGTGGCTTAGACTTAACTATATCTCAAGCCATCATCCTTAAATAAAATTCAAATTTTTTTATAAGGATAGAGTGGTTGTTTTTCCCTTCTACGGAACACTTCCCTTCTTCGCAAGTTCGTGCCAATCAGACTCTGTAGATCCAAGCCGGTGCCATTTTCACTTTATAGGGGCATTGGGAAGCAACAAGAATACCCTAGGCTTGGTTATCTCGACAATCTCGAGAAATCCCAATTTTCGATAGCCGAGATTTTTGTACGAGATCTTGTCTCGTGGTCCATTCTCTAATAGGGACCTTGTATAGGAGGGAAAAGATACCCTACGTGCTTTTAGCTTGCTAAACTCTTTATTAAAAGCCTTTTAATTTTAATCTCCTTTCCTATAAGCATTACCTTTTTAATTCCACTTTTATTTTACTTCTCTTTTCATGCTTAAATAATTTTCAATAAAAAACTTTTTCAACTAAAAAAATTTATTTCCAACTTGCGCAAGCAAAAATAATAAACAATAAAATTTTTATTGTGTAGAGAATAGGGAAATTATGTTCCTCTGAAAATTATTTTTATTTTTTATTTATTTTTACTTTTTTTCCTTTTTTAATATAGTGAACTTATTTGGAGGTTATTTAACCTAGCCCTTTGGGCTTTAAAAAAAGTTTTTATTGTACGTGTTGTGTCTGTACTTGCTTAAAGACCATATGAATGTTTAAAATCACCCCTCATCAGGGTTTCTGTCTCGATTGTTTCAGGGTTTCTGTCTCGACTGTTTCAGGCCGTGATCTTTCCATGATGGTGTGCTTAGTAGACATGATTAAGGGGATATCGATGGATTTGGTGTTATTGAAAGGGATTCGAAGTTAGACCCCCCCCCCCCCCCGAAAGGCTATTTTTCATAAAAAACCCCTTGGTTACCATGTCTAAAAAACATTTATGATAGTCAAAAGATTCTACGATCTTTTTAGAAACTTAAGAAACCTGAAATTAATTGTAGATTCTTGGCAGTCCTTGTTCAGATATACCCTTATTTTCTTATAGTTGGAACATTTTCAAATTTTCGATTAAATAAAATCACATAAATCTTTGTTCCGAGCTTTGAAAAGCTGATCAGCATCCACTGCAACTTTCATCAGTCCACTCAAAGGCTGATCAGACCTATCTTATCAGACCATTAAAAAGCCTTTTTGTAAAAAAGCCAGCTGGTTACAGTGCTTTGAAACCTTTCGAGTCGTTCAAAAATTTCCAATTTAAAATATTTTTTAAGCCTATTTAGCTCCTCTTTTTTTTACATTTTTAAATTTAAAATTTAAAATAAATAAAAGTTAATTTAAATGTTTTCCTCTTATTTCCACCTTTTCCCCTTTAATTCATTGTTTATTCTAGCCAGCAATCTGTCAATAATCAATATATTTATTTACAACCTCCTCCCAAATTTTATATTAAATTACAAAAATTGTGTTTTTTATTTGCAAAAAAAAATAAACTTAAATACAGTCAAACCTCGATTTAATATGCGTTTTTTGAAACTGTTGGACCCTGAGGTGGTAAAGCAGACTGAGCAATACCTTCCATTTAAAATACACCTCATACATTTTCGGTAGGGTGAAGGGAACATTATTGGTAGTGCGAAGGAACATACACATGGGCTGGAAGAAACATCTACATCTCATTGTGTTTCTTTCGGCATACTTGTGGATCGTAAGGGACATTTCAGGATGTTCCTTTTACACTACTTATGGGCTGGAAGGAACATCTCTTGGGTAAAGGGAACATACTTAATAGTGCGAAGGGCACACACGGGCAAGAATAACATCTCATTATGTTCCTTACAGCCTACTTGTGACCTGTAAGGGGCATTTCAGGATGTTCCTTCCACACTAATAGGCTGGAAGGAACATCTCATTATGTTCCCTTCACACTACTTATGGGCTGGAAGGAACATCTCATTGTGTTCCTTCCAGCCTACTTGTCACCTGTAGGGGATATATCACTGTTTTTGCTAAGCAAGACCCTCTGTTTAAGCTATACCTCATTATAAGGCACAAATATTTTAGCCCCAAAGGGGCCCCAAAGGGTATCTAAAACAAGGGGTTCGGCTGTAAATAAAAATTGGCTTTTAAGTATTAGTAATATTAAATTTATTTAATGACGTGTTTTTGTTTTTTACTCTATTTTTTACTACATACTAATTAATTATTCTAGTTTGTGAGAGGATATCTTTTTATTTTTGAAAAAATTAATTTTTAGTCAAATTAGCTTTATGCTAATAATTTTAATCTTTGTATTATTAATGTATTTTTTGTATTTTCTGTGAATATTCTTGTATTTTCCATTTATTATTTTATTCTGTATTTTTTATTTTTTTTGTGTTTTCTATGAATATTTTTTTGTATTTTACTTATATTTTTTTATTTTTTGATTCTTGCCTTTTTTGTGTTTTCCGGTCTTTTGTATTTTTGTGTGTTAGTGTTTTCTGGTATTTTTTGTATTTTTTTGTGTTTTTTAATTTTTGTGTTTTTTTTTGTATTTTTATGTATTTTCCCGTGTATTTTCTGTGTTTTTGTATTTTTTGTGTTTTCTGGTATTTTTTGTATTTTGTGTATTTTTTGTGTTTTTGTTTTTTTATTTTTGTGTTTTTTTATATTTTCGGTGTTATTTTGTATTTTTGTCTTTTCGTATTTTTTGTATTCTTTTTATATTTTTGTGTTTTTGTGTATTTTTTTGTATTTTCCCTTATATTTTTTTATTTTAAAAATATTTTCGTATTTTTAGGAATCTCACCTATTTACTAATTTATTATTTTTTATTTCTCTCGTAAAGGGCAAAAATTGGAGGTGAAATAACCACTACCACCACAAATCACCAATTCATTCCAAAATTTTTATATTCGTCAAATATTTTAAATTAAAAAAAAATAATTTATTTAAAGGAATGCGTCATTTAAAATAACCTTTTTTAAAAAAATATTTTTTCAATTTTTAATTCCTTAAATTAGTAAATACATGCCCATCTGCCTTTAAATACATCAACCCTCCTGTTTTGTTTTTATCATTTAATATACCTAATATGATAAAATTAAGTAGGGTTCAGCCATTGTTTTGGGGATGGTTGTTTATGGGGGACGATGGGAGCAGTGCTGTCCAGAGGTGAGCGCAAGAGACAATCTCAAAAGACGCAAAACGCAACGCCAAAATTTGTTGCAAAAAACGCAATGCGCTCACCCCTGGTGCTGTCCTTAACTGTGGATTGGGTGAAATTGCGTGTTTTTTTTGACTTGCGGCTTGGATTTGCGGATTTTAGAACTAAAATCCAAGTCTTTCCTCACTATCTTATCCTCTCTCCTTAACTCTCCGTCCTCTTCCCTTCCCTTCCTTTTCTCTCCCAGCCCTGTTCTCTTCCCTCACTTCCTTCCTTAACTCCCGTTCCTTTCCCTCCCAGCCTTTTCCACTCTCCGGCCTCTTCCCTTCCCTCACAAAAACCCCTCTCATCCCTTCCCCGGGCCCTTCCCTTCCATAACACCCTCCTCTTACTCCTCCTCCTCGTCCCTTCCCTCACAAAAACCCCTTCCGATCCCCTCCCCGGACTCTTCATTTCCATAACACACTCCTATTTCTCCCCCTCTCCCTTCCTTCCCAAAAACTCACATCCCCTCTTTGTCCACTTTCATCCCTTACAAATAGCACCCTACTCTTCCTCCCCCTCTCCCTTCCTCTTCCTCCCCCCTCCCCTCCTCTTCTCAATTTAAAAATTAGAAACAATTTTATCACAAAAATTGTTTTTTTCTTCTATTTTTACTTCATTAATTTCCCCTCTAATCGATCTCTGTCAACTTCTCTCCGAAATTTTTTTTGACTTTTGATTTTTGTTAATCCATTTGAATGTTAAATATCCTGTTTTTCTCTCTCCTTTTCCAAAATTTCACTGCAAAAAAGCAAAAGAAAAATATTAAAATGACAGCTATACCCAACCAATTTATTAATAAATACACCTAAAGGTCGTTAAAATTGTAGGCGAGAGAGAAAATTTATTTTTTAATTAATTTTTTTGTCATGGTACAGCCCGGCGCGCGGCCATAACGGCGCAAAGCCATAACTTGCTTCAGAATTTCCGAATCTTACCAACTTTGGTATTAAACGATTCCTCTCATCGAGCTAATCAGATTCGTACCAAAATTGACAAGGGCCAGAAATTTTCCAGCAAGTTATGGCTCTGCGCCGTTATGGCCGCGCGCCTACTTGGGCGTGTCCCTTTTTGTCATTAGCAAAAGAAAAAAATAAAAATATTTTTCAATTTTGTAGTCTAAACTGAATTTGTATTTAACAGAAAAGAAAAATCTTAGAATTTTAATTAATTAGAAATTTAATTTTTAACTGAGAGAATTTGAGTAATTTGACTGATAAAATTGAAAAAATATATACGGTGCTTTGAAAAGGCTTGCAAGAAAAAATTTATATTTATCGAAGCCTTTTCAGTGCCTGTTTATTTGCGTACTATTTAAGTACTTTATTTTTCTCATTGAATTTCTGGTTGAACCTTATTTGATGGACCAAAATGGGGTGGGACAAATTGGGGGTTTTGCTAAGTGGGACGAATCGGGCTGGGACGAATTCTGGGAGCCCCTTCAGACTTTATTATTTCCTCAAAGAAATTTAAATTCAAAAAATTTTTCGAAGATGACAGTTGGTACCAAAAAATGACATTTGATCCCAAAAATGACATTTGATCCTAAAAATGACATTTGATCCCAAAAATGACAGTTGATCCCAAAAATGACATTTGATCCCAAAAATGACATTTGATCCCAAACATGACATTTGATCCCAAAAATGACATTTGATCCCAAAAATGCAATTTGATCCCAAAAATGACATTTGATCCCAAAAATGACATTTGGTCCCAAAAATGTTTCTTTTATTGTATTATTGTGTTTTGTTTAAATTTTTAATTTTTGATTTTTTATTCTCTCATATTTCTAAATGTTTTTTAACCTCTTTTTCCACGTGTATCTCCACGATTTTGAGATTTATTGCTTTTTGGCTTTTATTCTTTTGCTAAACAAATAGAAAATATTTTTTTAATTATTGGGGAATCAATTTAAAAATTTTAAAAAAATTTCTAATTTCAGCGGCCATGAATTGCTTCAATCAAAAATTAAATTCGTCATGCCGCCAATTAAAATATAACATCATAATTATTGTATTATTAGCTCTTCTTCAGGTATTAAAAAATTTTTTAAATAAACTTGAAACAAAATATATTTCAAGTTTATGCTTTGCTTCAAGTTTTAATTTTTCTTATTAATAAGTTTATTTATTTTTAATTCAAGTTTGTTTTAAGTTGCAAAGATAAACTTGCTTTTAATAAAAATGAGAATAATTAAAACTTGAAGCAAAGCATTTAAATAAACTTGAAACATAGTATTTCAAGTTTAGTTAAGTTTGTTTCAAGTTTTAAAAATAAACTTGCTTACTAATCAGATAAATTAAAACTTGAAGCAAATTACTTGAAACAAATAATTAAACTTGGAATAGAAACTAAACTTGAAACAAAAAATAAATTTCAAGTTTATTTTATGTTTTGCTTCAAGTTTTAATTTTCAAGTTTGTTTCAAGTTGCAAAAATAAACTTGCTTATTTTTAAGAAAAATTAAAACTTGAAGCATGCAATAAAATAAACTTGAAGCAAAGCAAATAATAAACTTGAAACAAAAATAAAACTTGAAACAACCCATAAAATAAACTTGAAACGAACTTTAAAATAAACTTGAAACAGAAAATCAAAACTTGAAGCATAATCAACCCTAAATTTTACAGCATCTATCTGCTACACATTTCGACACTTCTCAATGCGGAGCTTCCAAGCGTTGTGTAATTGGAGGGTGTCCTCAACAAAATAACCAACAACTAAATAATTGCCATTACTTCTTTTCGGTAAAGCCTGACATGGAAAATGCTGACGAGTCAGTGGAAATTGAGCTTTTTACCAAGAAAAGTTCCCCAGAAACCAAGTATATTGCTGTTGGTTTTTCTGAGGACGTCTCAATGGTGAGCACTTTTCCTCCTCAGAAAACCCTTTAAGCTTGCTTTTAGGGCGACGATTATGTCACTTATTGTGTCGTCAACCCTGCTGGGCAGGTAGAGGTTCATTTGGGAAAAAACCCGGCAGGCCAAAAATCTAATCAGGCTGCTGGGGAGGTAATTGACCTTTTAAGAAACTTAAAAAAATTTCCTTTTAAAGGCCAATGATGCTGGCGTTCTGGAAATGCTTGAAAGTAAAGCTACAGAAGATGGAATTTTTTGTAGGGTGAGAGAGAGAGAGGAAATACAGTCGAGAACCTCGTTTGTGGATCTTCCGGGCACAACTCAACCAAGTCCCGGACCCTATAACTTATCAAAGGATAGGCACTATTTTTTGTTCTTGGTACCATTTGATAGAGCATTAAATAGGCTACAATTTTACAAAAAAGGAAAATTTTTAACCCGCTGGTAAAAAAGTTCTGATCAATAAAGTGTCGAAAAATCAGATTTTTTTGAAAGAGTTAGTTTTTAAATCATAACTTTTTTAGCAATAGATTTAGAATTTTGATTTTTTGGTTTCTTGTAGCCCATTTAATGCTCTATCTTTTGATATCAAGAACATTAAAAATTATTCACCCCTTCTTGAGTTATAGAGCCGGGACTCAGATGCACCGATCTGGCGCCCTAATGCGCGGCGCCCTAATGGCCCGCGCCCTAGTGTCCCAGTCCCGTTTTGGTCGCTTCCTCTATTGCTAAGCTCCAACCCAACCCCTGGGATATCACAAACGAGTTTCGACTGTATCAAAATAATAAAAGGCTATTTATTCTAATTAAAAACCCTCATTTCAGTTTCGTCAGCACTACATTGCTTCTAATAAATACAGTCCAAACCTTAAACATCCTTATCATTTATTGTTAGCTAAAGGGCCTGCAGAGAATCCTCAAAGTGGGCTTATTTATTTGAAAAGGGTTTTTAGTCAAAAAAATTCTTTCAGAATTGGACATGCACGATCTCGATCCATCAAATCCCACAGATTTTCCGTTTGCTTCAGCAGAACCTGTTTTACTGTTAAATCCTCAGGATGCTGCAAAATTTAGAGATTCGGGTTCCACAAATACTAGTGGAAGCCCTCAAGCTACTGGAGCTGCTAAGGGTGGAAATGGGTTGACTTTTGTTGATTTGCATGGTAGGGAGTTTAAAGAATTAATTATGGTGGGTATAGGCAGACTTCAGTATACCCTTTTGGTCTGAAGCCTCGTCCCTTATAATGAGGTGTCTATAAAATAGAGGGTATCGCTTAGTTTCTCTCCCGTCCAAGGGCCAACCAAATTTCATAGACTTATCTTTACCTGAGGCGTATTCAGCAAAGAGGGGGCGGGGTGTGCGCCAAAAGTCAAGAGCTGGGTGTGCGCCAAAACTTTGGCGTTCTGAACGCAAATTTAATAAAAAAATCCCCACCCCCTGGATAGCCCTTGGTATCTAGTATTGAGTGTATCTTATAGCGTGGGTTCTCTATTTTATAAACTTGAAGCAAAAACTTGAAGCAAAAACTTGAAGCAAAAACTTGAAACAAAAAGTTGAAGCAAAAATTTTTCATTTCCAAGGTATTATAATGCTCACTTCCTGGCCCACCTTTATAGGCCCTTGGTATCTAGTATTGAGTGGGGAGCAGGCCAACTTACCGCAGAGCTATAACTTCGTTCAGAATTGCCGAATCCGGTACGCCTTGGTATTATTCGATGCGTCTCGACGAGCTGAATCGAACTATACCAGGGTGCCCCGGATTCGACAATTCTGAACGAAGTTATAGCTCTGCGACGAGTTGGGCTCGCGGTAAGTTGGGGTGTACCCTATTGAGTGTATACAGAGGTTTATCTATTTTATAAACTTGAAGCAAAAACTTGAAACAAAAACTTGAAGCAAAATTTTTCCCTTTCCAAGGTATTCTAATGCTTATTTCCTGGCTTGGCATGACTACAGTAGCAATTTACTCTGCTCGTTATATGCGCGATTCATGGCCTCATACAACCGTTATGGGACTTAAAATTTGGTTTCATGTAGGTCCAAAATTTTTAAAAATTTTTCTAGCCATTTTAAATCTTTCCTTCAGATTCACCGCACTTTAAATTTCCTTGCCGTCATTTTAATGGTTGCTTCCATTGTTTTTATTGTTTGGAATAAAGGAAGTTGGACTGGTCCTTGGTTTGGAATGGCTAAAATTGGGGCTCCCGAATGGCACTCACTTGTAAATTAATTTTTAAACTTTAATGAAACGTCCGCAAATGATTGTCCGCAAATGTTTGTCCGCAAATTTTCATCTTGCCTTCTCCCTCTTTTTCTCCTCTCATAAAGATTAAAAATATTTTCGAGGATTAATATATCAGGCAAATAAAATCCACAGACAAGTGGATTTCCACATCCCCAGTGCGGACAAAAGTTGCGGACGAAAGTTGCGGACAAAATTTGCGGACGTGAGGGGTTATAATGCGAAATTCCGCAAAATTTTTAAATTTAGGCGGGTGCTTTTGCTGTTTTGTTGGCTTTTTCTCAGCCTTTTGGAGCTCTTATTAGATGTGGAATTGATGATCCTAAAAGGCCTATTTTTAATTGGATACACAGAAGGTCTCTTTAATTTGTTTAATTTCAAAATACGGTCAACCCTCATTTTTAAATGGCCTCAATTTTCTAAAATTTGGTTGACCAATGGGTAGGGGGCTTTTAAGGGTTACAAATTGTTTCGCCTTTTGTCTGTTATCCATTTTGTCGGGTGTACCGTTTTGTCGCGTGTTCCATTTTGTCTGATTTATCTTAAATTACGACGACAAAACGGTACATACGACAAAAAGGTACAACCGACAAATGGGACAACAGACATAAGGGTACTACGCATAATGGTACAGCTGACAAAATGGTACATGATGAAACTTAATTTAAGATACCCTCATTATAAGCGACAAATTATCCCCAAAGGCTGTAACTAAAACGAGGTTCGACTATAATTTACACTTTTCAGTATTGGACTCATTGCCTTCGTGCTTGCCCAAGTTGCCATATACCTCGCCATTTCAACTTTCAAGTAAGACTCTAATGTCCAGAAAATTTAAAAAATTTCAAAAAATTTCAAAAAAAATTTTTAAAAAATTTTTCAGAAGCCATTTCGCCCTAGCCGATTTTGCCTTTTGCTTCTTAATAATTTTTTACGTTGCCCTCGTTATCTTCATAGTGGTTAGCGAAGTGTTGCGTTTCGTTGAACTGCGCGAAAGGGAGAAAATTTCTGCCATTGAAATGCAGACAAGGACTAGAGGGTCAACACCTTCGGATGCTTATTACTACCATACTCGAAAAAATTTTTCTTCAAAGGTACAAAATATTTTGGCTCTTGTTCAGATTAGGCGTCCAAACAGCCTTTATACATCCAAACCAGAGGTGTCTGCAAATGAAAAAAAATTTTCCGCAGCCGCAATTTTAAAATCCGCAGCCGCAAATCCAAAAAACCAGGCAGTCCGAAATTGCGGACAGCCCTGGTCCGAACCCTTTATAAAACGCAAGGCGGAGGTCCAAACCCTGCTCTGCGTTATAGTACCTATGATCCGGTATTGTGACAATACCTCTGCGGGAACAGGCTCTTCTCGGAAATATGAAGTTCTACTTACACAGAGTTATGGTACAATACCTGACTATTAGTCTAGAACACAGAATCGGTTATAGAACCTATGATCCGGTGTCTTACCGCCATTTATCTGGACGTATAATGGTTGTTCGGACGCCTAATCTGAACAAGAGCCAAATTTTTTCAAAAATTTTCTTCTAATTCCCCTCATTTTAAAGCTCGTTTCTGCCCGGAGAACCTTATTTTTTGTAGCAGCGTGTACATTTGCTGGGTCGGCATTTATTCTGGTACTTCTCGTTCTTGTCCATTAAAATATAAAAAACAATTATAAATTTATGTCTCTATTTAACATTTGTATAAAAATATTTTAAAAATAATAGTACACTCACTAGGTCTGGTAAGGTTTGGGGGTGTTTTAGGAAGGGTGTGGGGTGTTTTGACGCGGGACCGTTTTGGCGCGAGACTAAAAACTGAAGCTTTGGAGAAACCTAAATTCATGAAATTTTTTTCAAATTTCCTTAACATCCTTGACTACCTCCTCCGGAAATTTCAGAATTTTTTATCAAATATATCTGAAGTTATAGTCGATAATCTATGAAAAATTAGGCATTTTTCTGAAAATCAACATTTTTGGCTATAATTTCTGAAAGACTTACTTAAAAATTCTAAAATTTATTGAGAACATCGATAAAGGCACGAGAGTTATTATTGCAAAATTTTATCTTTCTAGATAAGAAATTCGTTGTTTTATAAGCTTGCGCCAAACTAGCTAGTCCCACAAGTGAGACCAACTTATAAATGGGTGCGGCGGCGTGAGCCATAACTTGCTTGAAGATGCCCGAATCTTTCAAAATTTAGTATTAAACGATTCCTCTCATCGAGCTAAAGGATTGGTACCAAAATTGTTAAGGCCAGGAATCTTCAACTAGTTATGGCTTTGCGCCTACTTGGCCGCGCGCTTACTTGGGCGTGCCCCCTTCTAAACGATTTATCTTTTGGGACAGATTTTCTTGTTTTCCTCCATTTTAAATCGTATTTATCAACTACATTAATTGTAAAAATATTTTTATAATATTACATATTTTTTACAATTGTCCTTGTTAACGCCAATATTTGCGCACACCCCCAAAAAGTTGGATTATCTCCTTACTAATTTTTTGTTTCAAGTTTATGCTTCAAGTTTTAACAAATAAATAGGCTTAAATGTAACAAACCAAAAAGAATTTTGAACATTGTTCTCTTACAAACTAAAAATCCTCAAAAGTATCCGGTTTTGTGTTCAAAAAACATTGGGAGTTTTGTATTGCCAGATCATTTTTTGTAAAATTTATTTATTTATATAAATTCCTGGCTATTTTGAATTGCTTGTTATTTTATTTTTTAGTAAACCTTCGAAAATACACTTAATATTTTTTAAAAACCTCTAAGAGATTTTTGGTTAGCCAACGGTGTAGGGAGCTGCCTAGACGGTGCCCTATCTTTTCATTATACCCCCAGTATAAGCAACATTTTCTCGGCCCCAAGGGTGTATCATATAATGAGGTGCTTTTCTGATAGGGGAGCTGCCTAGACTATATCCTCTATTTAAGAGAAACCCATTATAGGGTACAATGTTCTCAGCCCCAAGGGGTATCTTTTATGTAGTGAGGTGTTTAATCTGTTTGGTCATCGGGTGTGGATGTTAAGCGACACCCTCGATTTAAGAGAAACCTCATTATAATGTACGATATTTAGAGTAGGGTCTTATAGTGAGTTAGGGTCTTATAGTGAGGTAGGGTCTTATAGTGAGTATACCTCAATATAAGCTATCCTTTCTCATCTTTGGTTACCCACTAGGTTTGTTGATCCAGACAAACCCTCTATTTAATAGAAACCTCATTATAATGGACTATCTTTTAAATCCCGGAGTGGTCTCTTATAATGGGGTTTATCTCTTTATTTATTCGTTAATTTTAAAATTATTTATTTTTGCTTCTGTTTTCTCCAATTGTTTAAAATACCTAGCCGCGCAAACGATTTTTTCCCTCTTTCTCTTTTGAAAATAAAAATAAATTGGAGAAAGGAAAATAATAATTGGCCCTAAAACTGTTCTAAACAATTTTCCGTTCCTTTTTGGTTTTTCTGCTTTTTATGGGGGATTGGCCATTGTGGAAGGGACAGGTAAGAGGTTTGACAATTATATTTTAAATGGGGGAAAAAGGACGCGAGGTAATGGGGTTGAGGACAGTTGTGGACAACAATAACGACCTCTCTCCATTATTAAAAATAAAACCTGCGCCTAATAAACACATTTTCTGTTTAAAAAGACAGTTTCTAGGTTTATTTCCAAGCTTATTTTAAAATTAATTTGTCTCAAATTTTTTGCTTCATGTTTTTGTTTCAAGTTTTTATTTCAAGTTTTTATTTCAAGTTTTAGTTTTAAGCTTTTGCTTCAAGTTTTTGTTTAAGTTTTTATTTCAAGTTTTTATTTCAAGTTTTAGTTTCAAGCTTTTGCTTCAAGTTTTTGTTTAAGTTTTTTTAGGTTTTGCTTAAGTTTATTTTTCTTGATATTAAAGTTTATTTAAATCAAGTTTATTTTTTTTTGCTTCAAGTTTATTTATAATTCTTCAATTAAAAGCTCAAAGTTTATTTTTATTCAAGTTCAAGCTTATTTAATTATTAATATTTACTTAAGTTTCTAAGTTTAAGTTTATTTGCTAGTTTTTATTCAAGTTCAAGCTTATTTAATTATTCCTATTTACTTAAGTTTCTAAGTTTAGTTTATTTGCAAGTTGTTTTAAGGCTTTATTTTTAAGTTTTATTTTCTCTATTGAGCTTCAAGTTTAATTATTTAAGTTTGCTTCAGGTTTATTTTTTCAAGTTTATTTACAAGTTGTTTTTAAGGCTTTATTACAGTTTTATTTTCATAGTAAGCTTCAAGTTTAATTTTTAAAATAATGCTTCTAGTTTTTGTTTTGCTTCTAATTTCTTTGCTTCAAGTTTATTTTTTTGTTTTGCTTCTAATTTCTTTGCTTCAAGTTTATTTTTTTGTTTTTGCTTCAAGTTTATTTTTTTATTTTTGCTTCAAGTTTATTTTTTTGTTTTTGCTTCAAGTTTATTTTTTTGTTTTTGCTTCAAGTTTATTTCTTTGTTTTTGCTTCAAGTTTATTTTTTTGTTTTTGCTTCAAGTTTATTTTTTTGTTTTTGCTTCAAGTTTATTTTTTTGTTTTTGCTTCAAGTTTATTTTTTTGTTTTTGCTTCAAGTTTATTTTTTTGTTTTTGCTTCAGGTTTATTTTAGCTGTTTCGAAGGTTTATTATTAAAGTTTATGCTTCAAGTTTACATAATATGCTTCAAGTTTTATTAATTTAAGTTTTGTTTCCAATTTCCAGAATGTTTATAAAAACACTATATATTTTTACCTATTCTTTTATTGCTTCCTTAGCAGCAGCATCACCTTATAACGGGGATAATAACTATTATTATCCGACTGCCCAGCAAAGTAATAGTTATTCCCCTTCCCCCTCAACTCCGTTCCTTTCAACACCGGATATTATAGGTAAACAAAAAAATTTTTTGGCATTTAAATTTTTCTTAAAGATAACGAGGTTGTAGAAGCTCCACTGATTCATTGTACAGACAGAGGCGTTGAATTTAGTATTAAAACTAAAAATACTTTTCGGTACTTTAATTACCGTATTTTCTGTATTAAAGCTCCATTAGTCCCCTCTGTATTAAAGCCTTTTTATCTGCCGTACCCATTTTGTCGTTTGCACTATTTTGTCGGTTGTGCTATTTTGTCGGTTGTACCCTTTTGTCGGCTGAGCCATTTTGTCGTGTGTACCATTTTGTCGTTTGTGCGATTATGTCGGTTGTACCCTTTTGTCGGCTATGCCATTTTGTCGTTTGTACTCTTTTGTCGACTGTCCCTTTTTGTCGGCCGTACCCTTTTGTCGGTTGAAAAATAAAATCCCCTGGGGCTTTATTACAGAAAATACGGTAATATTCATTCTTCTTCCTCTATTTTTAAATCTCCCTCACATTCAGCGGAAATATTTACGTCCAAGGCCAATTTGGATTAACTGAATGCCGAAGAGAATTTTACAACAACGATGCCCCTCAGGCTGGAATTGAAGTTCGCCTAAATGATTGTGGAATGATTAGGGAAAGACGCCCTCATGGAATGAGCTATTCTATCGTTTTAATTGTTAATTTTCATCCTCGATTTGTGACGAGGGTTGATAGGGCTTTCAAAATTTTGTGTTCTTATCAACACACTGAAAGACCCGTTGGTACTGATCTCGAAGTTGGGTGAGTGTTTAATAATTAGACAGTCTGACCTCACTATGAGATAAACCTAATCCAAGAAATACCTCAGTAAAATTGGGTTAACCACCTTTATGTGGTTGTACTCTTTTATTGGGTGTACTATTTTGTCGACCGTACCCTTTTGTCGAGTGTACCCTTTTGTCGGGTGTACCCTTTTGTCGTTTGTACCCTTTTGTCGTTTGTACCCTTTTGTCGGCTGTACCCTTTTGTCGGATGTACATGTTTGTCGTTTGTACCCTTTTGTCGGCTGTAGCCTTTTGTCGGGTGTACATGTTTGTTGTCTGTACCCTTTTGTCGGGTGTACCCTTTTATCGGGTGTACCTTTTTGTTGGATGTACCCTTTTGTCGGGTTACTCTGTATACCTCATGAGGTACAAATAATTTTTTAGCCCTCAAGGGTGTTCTTATAGTGAGGTTGGAATATTAAAGTATCAAAAAAATTCTCAAATTAAGCACCGTTCCAACCGAGCCTTTGCTTTCTGACGCTATATTGGTCCCAGATTGTGAATATTCTATGCGTCTTGGTGATCCAAACGGGCCTATAGCAACAAATACTGTTAGAGTTGGAGAGCTTATATTCCATCGTTGGGAGTGCCAAGACAGCCGTAAATTAATTAAATTGAGGGAGGATTAAAATCAGAGCTGTGCGCCATTATTTTGGCGTTGTGTTTTTGGCGTTGTTGTTAAGAATTTGAAAAATTGGCTTTTGAGAGATTTGGCGTTTGAAATTGAAAAATTGGCGTTTTCAAAATTTTGGCGCACAGCCATGATTCCTTCTATTAAAAATAAAATTTTTTAAAGCCATCTACGGCATGTTAGTAAAGAATTGTAGAGTTTTTGACGGTGGTAACGAAAATGTTACTTTGATTGATGAGCGAGGTTGTCCAACGAAAACTGGCGTGATTCAGAGTCCTCCGATTTATAGGTGAATCTAGAACAAATAAAAAACAAATAAAGAACAAATAAGGCTGTTATACCCCTACAACTTGACTACCTGCCGACTTTGATCGGCCATAACTTTTTGATACTTGATCCAATACGAAGGGATTTGATATCATTCGAAAGCCCTCGATGAGCGCTACCTTTAATCCAACTGGATGGATTAAGTCTGATCAATCGTTTAAAAGTTATAACCCGATAAGTCCAGTTATTTGGTGTTTTACACATTTATTGGGTCATAACTTTTTACTGAGTGATCAGACCTGTTCCATCCAATTGGAAAAAAGATACCGCTTATCAAGGGCTTTCGAATGATATAAAATTCATTTTTACTTGATCACGCATCAAAAATTTATAGGCATCAAAGTCGGCTGGCAGTCGATTTGTGGGGGATAACAGAAATTCTTTCCCCTTATAGCGACGCTTTAAACATCGCCTATGCCCCAATTTTTGCTTTTCATTTTCCCGATCGAACTCAAATGAATTTTCGCTGCCAAATTCAATCTTGTAACAAAATGGATAATGAATGCAATGGATTGACTGTGAAATTTTGAATTTTTTGAAGGAAATTTTTTCTATTTTAGCCCCCAAATTGTCCAAATTCTGTGAATTATCCTCCTCCACCCACTCCATATCCAGCTTCTCAGTATCCCTATGGACAGCAACAACAACCTCTAATACCTCAAAACCCCCCTCAAGGAGAGGCATACGCAAATTACTTGAATAATCCAACGATCGGTTCAACACCTCCATATTCCCTTCCTACCTACATTGGCGCTGGGGTTTGTTTTTTCACCTCAAAAAATTTTCAAAAAAATTTTGAAAACACACAACAGATCTCCCCAACTTGGCCCCCAAATGCTTTACCCCTTGGAAGCGTTCTTCAAGGAAATCCTTCACAAGTGCTTCAAGGTATTGGACGCCCGTGGCCTGCAAATATGCGCCGTAGAGTGGAGAAGCATGAAGGACAATCCCTTGAACACAAGATACTTTTGGCTACACAACAATTAATGAAGTATATTTTTTAAACAGACGGACTTCTAAATACCAGACACCCAATACTAGATCCACCTCTATTTACGAGACACCTCTTTATATATTTTTGGTAGGGTGAAGGGAACATTCTTTGTAGTGCGAAAGGACATACACATCAGGGATGGGACGGGTTACCCGAAACCCGATACCCGAAACCCGGACTTTTTTTCGACCCGAAACCCGAAACCCGACCCGAGAAATTTTCGAAAACCCGACCCGAAACCCGACATTTTCCTTGGAATTTTATTACAAAATGGGAAGATTTTTGGATCTTTGGCCTTCCAAAATTATCAAAATTTTCGCCTGCGGCGCTGGAAAATGAAGAAATATAGTGGACTGGTGTTCCAAAATTCTCAAAATTTTCGCCTGCGGCGCTAAGAAATGTTGCCGAATTTGGACAGGATTTTTAAGGTTGGGATTTTTTTTTTTAAGGTTGGGATTTTTTTTAAGGTTGGGATTTTTTTTCCGTTGGGATTTTTACCATAAAAAGAAGAATTCTGGCCTCACGGCCTTCCGAAATTTGCAAAATTTTCGCCTGCGGCGCCAAAAAAGGAAGAAAACTGTAACGAAATACAAAGTAATTTTGCCGTGATGTCGAAAAAGCAAAAGTGGATGAAGGGTGATATCGGGGAATTTACTTGGATTAAGCTGGATTCGGGGAGATTAGGTATGTGTATTATTATTATTATTATGTATTATTATTATGTATATTAGGTATGTGCTGGGTCTAGTATAAAAGGAGTCGTTAGAGATCAGTCTTGGTCGACACTTGGGTCGACCGGCGCCGTCTGTCCTTCTTCATTCTTGCCTTTTGCCACCTTCACTATTGTTGTATTTACCATTCGGATAAACGTCATATTCTATTCTTGTGTTATTCTGTTTGTCACTAGGTAAGACCGCTAACCTAGGACATAACAATATCGGAGGTTTTAGAGGTGTAACTGGGAGTTCAAGGTATTTGCAGAGGGTCTCGGAGGTTTAAGGTATAAATCAGTGGATTAGATATATTCATCAGATACTTTTAAATGCCTTGATATCCCTTTTAATCCACACTCTCTTAATCCATCCAAATCCATTTAATCCCTGTCTCATTATATCACTCTTATATAATCTTATTAATCCCGCAAATCACTAATATCCCCAGCCTCTCCGAAAAATTTGGCTTCGTGTTCAAATTTTTAACTGACCCGACCCGAAACCCGACCCGAGACCCGAAACCCGGACTTTTTTTCGACCCGAAACCCGAAACCCGATCCGAGGAAAATTTTGAAAACCCGACCCGAAACCCGACCCGACTTTTTTCTCAACCCGTCCCATCCCTGATACACATGGGCTGGAAGGAACATGTTCCTTTCACACTACTTATGGGCTGGAAGGAACATGTTCCTTTCACACTACTTATGGGCTGGAAGGAACATCACATGGTGTTTCTTTCACAGGCATGGCTGGAAGGAACATCTCACGGTGTTCCTTCCATACTACTTGTGGACTGTTAGGAACATCACATTATTTTCCTTCCACACTACTTGTGGGCTGGATTAAATTAAAATATATTCACTTTAAATTTAGACAAAATAACAGTGAAAGTTGGCCACCTAAATTGATGGTCCTCAACAAATTACAACCACAACATTCTCCCCAGATTAATACAGAAAATGCCAGGAGAAGTGCTAGACGTTTCTTTAATCCTGTACCGGCTGAGGCTATAGAACAAGTAAATTTTTAAAGACTTTAAGGTCAAAAAAATTTTAAAGGATGAGCTACGTTTGAGGCAAAGACGAGCAGAAGAAAAGACTCAAGATGTTGTGGCTGTTTCTACAGTAACAAATGACGGATTACAGGGAATGGATTGGAGCTTCGGTAGGGATTTTCGGGATTTAATTAGGTGAACTTTAAATACGAGGACAAACGGATACTTTGACAAAAGGGTACATTCGACATAAGGGTAAACGACAAAAGGGTACATTCGACATAAGGGTACAAACGACAAAAGGGTACACCCGTCAAAAGGATACAGCTGACAAAAGGGTACATCCGACATAAGGGTACATCCGACATAAGGGTATAGCTGACAAAAGGGTACACTTGCCAAAAGGCCTCAAACGACAAAAGGGTACACATGCAAATTGGTACATCCGGCATAAGGGTATAGCTGACAAAAGGGTACACCCGACAAAATTGTATAGCTGACATAAGGGTACACCCGACATAAGGGTACATCCGACAAAAGGGTACACCTGACAAAAGGTACATTCGACATAAAGGTACATTCGACATAAGGGACCCGATGTAAGGGTACACCCGACATAAGGGTATAGCTGACATAAGGGTACATTCGACGCAACGACATATAAGCACCATTAAAAATTCTAAAAAATTCAGAAAACGGCAAGGAACGAATCCAACAACGCAGAGCCATGCCCACATATACTATGAAAGCTGACAAAACCTTTAGTCTAGAAAAAAATAAAAATGAGAGTTTAAATTCCCCTAAAAACTCAACACAGCAACATCAACTCCCTTCTCAATTAGCTCAAGTAAAAATTAATTTTTAATCAAAAAATCCCTATTTTCTCAAAGAATTATTGCTTAAATCGAAGCACTTTGGCTGCTTTAGTTGGAACTATAGGTTTGTTAAGCACGATTTTGCTGGCTATTAGTTGTTGCTTACTGTGGGATTTTTTGTCCAGCCGGTAAAATTTTAAAAGAATTTAAAAAAAAATTTTTTCTGAAGTCAACGCTGCCGGAAAGGGTTGATAAATTGGAGAGATTCAAGTAATAAACTGAGCAATGGAAAAAATGGTAAGCGCAATTATTAATTGGCCTTCCAGACCATTAGTGTTTCACCGGAACCGAAATTTTGACCGTAACCGGATCCAATTTGAGTTCCGGATCCCGGAACCGGAACTTTTCTTAGTTCCGGAACAGGAACAGGAACTTCCGTTGAAACTCTGCAAACCATGTATGTGCTTCTTCGTAATACTTCACTCTATAAAAGATGTTCCCTCACACTACCTAGAATGTTCCCTTCCCCCTATTAGAAAACTAGTAAAGCTAGGGGGCTTTCTAGGATATGGTAGCTGCAGGGAATTAAGGAAAGACGAACGGGCCTCCAAAGTGTCAAAGGGCCTTGCGCCAAAGTGTCACTACCCCTTTGAGTGATCCCCATCCTTTACACTAAAATCCCTACTCCAAAATTTTCTCATATTTTTAGGCTGTCTTAATTTCCTCTCCAAAAACAAAATATCGGCTGTCCGCAATATCTCCCTCAAAAACCGCTACCAACTTTCCCCGTCATTTTCTTCTCCAATTTCAATTGATCCGTTGAAACCTGAAGGAGGGCAGGAACAACCTAAATTGTCCAGTAAAAAATTTTTTTTAACTTTTAAATCCCAAAATTAATTTTTAAGGTGATCCGCGTGAGGCACTTGCTCAAATACTTAATAGAAATCATAATAAATTAGACAAGTAACAAGCCTTGGGGAGCAAATAAAATTGAAAAATAATAATAAATAAAATATTGTGTAGAAAATTTAGTAAATATACTGTAACTACCGTATATGCTCAAATAATTACTCTGGGTAATTATCGTTTCAATTAACGTAGCATTCTGAAACCTCGGACCCCGAAGGGTAGGGATCAGACAAGGTTTTCCGGGGATCAGGCAGAATAGATTAGGATTACCCAGATCCGAATCCCAAAACCCTTATCCCCGAAGGGGTTCGTGGGGATCCCCGGCAACCCCTGATTTGATCTGCCTGATCCCCGGAAAATATTATCTGATCCCCGACACTCCCGACTCTTTTGGAACCCGAAGGATATGATTGCTACCCTAGTTTCCTCCTCTCACCCGAAAAATACCTAATCGAGGAAGAGTATTACTCGTGTTTTAAGGTGATTAATAGAGAATGGTTGCTTAATAGAGAGTGTAATTTTTCGAGCATATATGGACCGACCCGAACAGAGGATTTTCGGTTCGGTTTCGGATATCCGAATAATTTCGATTCGGTTCTTCGGATCGGTTTCGGATTTCCAAAAATTTCGGTTTGGTTCTTTGGTTAGGATATCCGAAGAGTTTCCATGAACCCCGACAACCCTATAATAGACACATGAGATTTGGATAATTTTTTCAAATATTTAACTTAATTTTATGCAAAAGAATCTTGTCGAACTTCAAACTGATTTTTTAATTTTACTGAGTCCGGTTTTTTAACAAAGCTATACAAAAATGTATTTAAATTGCGTCAAGAGAATTTTAAAAAATTTTTTATTAAATTTACACACGTTAAAATTAGAGGATGTTTAATAAATTGCTTCAATTATTTGTTTATTTAGCTGCTAAATATTAATTTTAAAAATTTATAAAAAGTTTTGGAGTTTGTGATGGGTAGAGGACGTTTTGGCGCCGTACCGTTTTGGCGCGCGACTCAGAACTGACACTTATGCAAACCCTAAATTCAAGAAATTTTCTCAAATTTTTTTTAGCATCCTTGACTACCTCCTCCAGAAATTTTAGAATTTTTCATCAAATATTTCTGAAGTTATAGTCGATAGACCTCGAGAAATTAGGCATTTTTCAAAAAATCAACATTTTTGGCCACAATTTCTGAAATTCTTGATCAAAAATTCTGAAATTTCTGGAGAACATAGATAAAGGTACGAGAGCTATTATTGCAAAATTTTGTCTTTTTGATAAGCAAATCACACTTTTATAAGTTCGCGCCAAAAACGCCACCGCGCCAAACTGTCCTACTCCCGTTTGTGTTGGCTTAAAAGATTTTTTTAATTTAGACATGTGATTTGAATTTTATAAAAATTGAAAAAAAATTTTTGAGAGAATTTTTCAAACATGCCAATAAATATTTAAACAAGTTAAAATGGTGTTGAAATCATTCTAGCCGTGTAGCGGTTTAAATTAAAATTTAAAAAATTTAGAAAATGCTTAAAATTACTTTAATCTTATTCTCTATTTTGTATTTATGTGAAGCTGATTTTTGGCCTGAGGCTAGAAATACGGTAATTTTAAATCTTGGTATTATCGTACATAATCAAACAGAATGTTATTCAAACTACACTACCGTATGTTCCCTTCACAATACCTTATGTTCCTTTCAGACTACCCCCCCCCTCAGACTACCTTATGTTCCCTTCAGACTACCCTGTGTTCCCTTCAGACTACCCTATGTTACTTTCGGACTAAACTATGTTGGACTACCCTATGTTCCTTTCACACTACCTCATGTTGCCTTCACACTATTTTTTCAATCCCCTTCCAAAGTTGTATATTAGAGAGTGGCATTCGAATGAAGGGTGGCATTCTATTAGAGGAATACGGTATTAGAGATTAATTTAAAAATAAATTCTTAACAGTTAAAAGCACCCAAAAAAGTTGGAGGAAAATTTGACTGTAAATACGATCGTTATATCCCTGATCCGGAAATTTTTGGCGATGGAAGTCAACGAGAACGACAGAAACACGTGTTTATATTAAAGGATGGTGCTACTTTATCTAATTGTATAATTGGTGCAGCGCCTGGCACTCAAGGCTCTGCTGACGGAATTCAATGCATTGGAAATTGTAATATAACCAATGTTTGGTTTGAGGATGTTGGGGAAGATGCCATTACCTTTTATGGTAATATTTAAAAAGTCGAGGGTAATTAAGGTCACTTGTTACTTTCACACTACCTTATGATACCCTATGTTCCCTTCACACTACTCTGGGTTCCTTTCAGACTACCCTATGTTCCTTTCACACTACCACATGTTCCCTTCACACTAACATATGTTCCGTTCACACTACCACATGTTCCTTTCGCACTACCCTATGTTCCCTTCACACTACCATATGTTCCCTTGATACTACCGTATCCTCCTCACACTACCCTGGGTTGACTTCACACTCTCATCACACTACTAGAAATGTTCTCTTTACACTAAACTATGTTCCTTTCACACTACTATCTCTTAAGGTATTTAATCAGCTTATTTAAAAATCATTTTTATCAAGGCACCTCTGGAGATCCTGTATACAATGTTAAAGGTGGTGGTGCTAGACATGCAGCGGACAAAGTATTTCAGTTTGATGGAAAGGGAACAGCAAATATTGAAGATTATTATGTGAATAATTTTTAAATGCCCATAATGGCGCAACCCCATAACGGCGCAAAGCCATAACTTGCTTCAGAATTTTCGAATCTTGTCAAATTTAGTATTAAACGATTCCTCTCATCGAGCTAAAGAGATTAATACCAAAATTGATAAGGGCCAGAAATTTTCCAGCAAGTTATGGCTTTGCGCCGTTATGGCCTCGCGCCCTTTTGTACCCCTTATTTGTTAATTAAAGGTAGAGGACTATGTCCGTCTTTTCCGCTGTTGTGGCAATTGCAAAACTGAATATGAACGTCATGTAAACATTCGAAATTTGACTGCAATTGATGGCATGCCTGGTCAATTTATTGTTGGCATAAATGAGGGGGACGTTGCCCATTTACACGATATAAAAATAGATACAGAAGGTGTTCATCCATGCAAACTGTTTAAACCGAAGCGTGGCGGAGAGCCCAAATCCTTGGGGACTGGAATTAATGAATATTGTGATTATGAGGAGGCTGAAATTAATTATATTCCTGCGAGGAGTACACAGAAGAAGAAGCAAAAGTGAAGGAGAGTGAATGAATTTTAAGAAGAAATGTTCTAGAGATTTATAAAAATACATATATGTGAAAATAAATTTATTCCATGTGTTAATATGATAAATTCCATTTTTTGATAAATTCTGTAGTATATCTGTAGTTCTACTCTATAGTTATCTGTATCTGTAGTAGGGTTGGGGTTTTCGACGGGCCGACATTCGAGTCAGTTTTTTCGGGCCGGCCCGACCGAGTCTTTTTCGGGGGACTCTTTAGGGCGAGCATTATGTGTTAATGGATTTCGATAGTTCATGCGTTTTTCTGCTATTCTACAACCCATTATTTTCTCCGATAAATCAGTTCCCAGTTGATCAGTCGTTTATATATGCCCCATAAGAAAAGCACACCGGTGTGGCTTGGTAAATGTGTAAGCTAGGGTCTGGCCAACCCAATAGCTGTCCTTAGGGTCGATAGTTATTATATTATTACCGATCGATCTCGATTTTCTTGCGACTCTCAGTTTGGTGAGTGATTCTACATATTAGAGGATTTACGGAAAATATTATTAGAAAAAAAAATATTTTTTTATTTATGTTTGAACTTGAATTTAAAATTCAATTTGGCTTTTTAAAAATTATACAAACTATAAATTTAATAATTTTAAATTTAATTTCCGTTGACACAGGCTTGGTATAAAATAATTTTAAAAAAATATTTTTTAGAAATTTATTTTAATAGGCAGAAAAAATCGAATTTTTTTTCTGACGCAATTTTGAATAAAAAAAATTCTTTGGAGAAAGCGTGGAGAATATTTTTTGAATTTTTTGGAGGTCCCAAAAGGGCGCGCGGCCATAACGGCGCCAGGCCATAACTCGCTTCCGGATATCCGAATCTTTCAAAATTTAGTATTAAACGATTTCTTTCATCGAGCTAAAGAGGTTGGTGCCAAAATTGATAAGGGCCAGAAATTTTCCAGCAAATTATGGCTTTGCGCCTGATTGGGCGCGCGCCTACTAGTGCGTGTCCCACCGGCAAGATTCGAACCTGCGACCTCCTCCTAGTTATTGCTAGGCCCATTCGTTCACCACATACATGTGCTCTACCAGGGCTGTGCGTCATGGCGTTTTGCGTTTGACGTCCATTTTTGGCCGATTTCTGGCGTTTTGCGTTTGGCGTGATTTAAAAATTTGAAAAAATGGCGTTTGGCGCGCCAGGGAAAATTTTGGCGCACACCCCTGTGCTCTACCACTGAGCTACCAAGGCATCGACTAATGCTTTCTCTTGTAAGTTCGTTTAACCCACGCCTAAGTGTTTTAAATGCAGCTTGGTGAGGCTTCTTGAAGCAAGTATGGCTTGCGCCGTTATAGGTGCGCGCGCGTCTCTCAAAAAATCAAAAATTAAATTTTCGAACCAAAATAAAATTTAAATTTTTTGTATTAAATTGTATCCAAAAAATTTAAAAAAATAATTTAAGAGAAAATAAAAAAAATTTTTCCCTCAAAAAAAAATTTTTTTTTATTTTCTCATGATTTTGGGGGAAAAATTAAATAAAAAATTAAATAAAAAATTTATTTAAAAAATTTTATTTATTTACTTAAATGGCTTTTTTATAATTTAAAAAAAATTTCAAGAGAAAAAAAAATTTTATAAAAAATTTTTTTATAAAAAAAATTTATAAAATTTAACATGTGAGGTTTATAAAATTTATAGAAAAATCCTGAATAAATAATAAAATTCTTTAATATTTAATAAGTGAAGCAACGCTTGAAGCATTATTAATTAAATTTAATTTCTCTCCTTTTTATCTTTAAAAATTATTTTTTAAAAAATTATTTCTCGATTCAGATTAATAGCGACTATAATCTAGTCTCTCCCTCAGAAAAAATAAATACACATTCCTTCATGGCAGAGATGAGATCTCTTCCCCCCTTCCATATTCCATCCTCTGTTTTCCGCTTTTTAAAATCCGGCAAAGCCCTTCCGCCCTTCCCTGCTGCATAGCTAAACATATCAGAGAGTGGACGGGTTACTCGATACCCGAGACCCAGGTCTTTTTTTCGACCAGATACCTTACCCGAATTTTTTCTCAACACGGCCCATCCCTGAAACACATACGGGAACCCCTCTATAAACAGACCCCTCTGGCTTTTTTGAGCTTACTTAAGAAGGAAAGTCATTTCCTGCCAGTATTGGGCAAGGTTAGATGATCCTGGGAAATCCCCGGATATCCGTATCCACTCCTTATGTCATTCTAAATTTAAAAATTTTTAAGAGGTAAAAAATGTTTTCAAGCAAAACTAGCTTCAATTTCCTTCTAATTTCTTCACTTGCATGTTTATGCAAGGCTGATTGGCCTACACGAAGAAATGATATCCAAGTAATTTTTAAAAAATTTATGAAAAATTTTTAAATAAACAGGTAACCGAAACAAAACAAATTACTAAATTTGACTGTCAATTCGATCGTTATATCCCCGATCCGAGTAAGCTTGGAAACGGAAATCAGGACGAGCATCAAAAATACGTTTTTGATATAAAAAATGGTGGTTCTTTATCTAATTGTATAATTGGTGCACGGCCAGGGACTAAAGGCTCTGCGCATGGAATTGTTTGTGATGGAAGTTGCGACGTAAACAATGTTTGGTTTGAGGATGTTGGGGAAGATGCTATTAATTTTAATGGTAATATTTAAAAAGCTGAGGGTAATTGAGGTCACGTGTTACATTCTGACTACCTTAAGATACCCTATGTTCACTTCACACGACACTGGGTTCCTTTCAAACTACCCTATGTTGTCTTCAAACTGTCAAAAATGTTCCCCTCACACTACCCCATGTTCCTTTCACACTACCATATGTTCCCTTCACACTACCCTTTGTTCCTTTCACACTACCATATGTTCCTTTCACACTACCATATGTTTCCTTCACACTACCCTACGTTCCCTTCACACCACCATATGTGTGAAAAAAAGGTCGGGTTGCTATCTAAGGCAAAAATAATGAAAAATTATAATCAACTCACCTTTCATAGGAGATTCTGATGATTGTGTTTATAATGTCAATGGTGGTGGTGCTCGGGATGCGGAAGACAAAGTTATGCAATTTGACGGAAAGGGGACCCTGAATATTAAAAACTATTATGTAAGTTAATTTATGGAAGAATGAAGGGAAGGCATCAAATCCCCGGCATCCAAGGGCTGGCTCTAGCATGCGACCTCCTTGATAGGTGCTCAATCGACTGAGCTACCGAGGAGCTGACTCACTCGATCCTGCGACCTCCTTGATAGGTGCTCAATCGTCTGAGCTGCCTAGGAGCTGACTCGATCCTGCGACCTCCTTGATAGGTGCCCAACCGACTGAGCGACCGGGGAGCTGACTCACTTTCCCTTTTAAAAATAGATCTTAAAACCCGCTAGCCAGGTAGATATTGTTGTGTATGGGCATCAGCCCTTAAAGTGTTTAGTATAAAAGCCAGGAAAACGTCAGTCTAGGGGGATCATACTAGCGGGGCTAGTCACTGATCTCCTTCGTCTGTCCCATTCCCTTCGCCTTCATTGTTCATTTCTACATGTGATAAATTGTTATTGTTGTGCTCGTCGACATTAGTTTAATCTCGGACACCTCGGGTCGTAACAGATATCCCTTCTTTGAGGTCTTTAAGGAAGCTCCTCTTCCATAGACGACCATTAGAGGTAAGAAAATACCCTCCAAGGCGATACACCAAGGCCAAGAAGGCCGATCAAAAATCAAGTTCAATCACGACTCTCGATCCTCAAGCTCGGCATTTTACAGCTCTCATATAGCTTAACAAACATTTTCCTATTTAAGGTAAACAATTATGTTCGTTTCTGTCGCTCCTGTGGCAATTGCGATGATCAACATAAGCGTGATATCATTATTACTAATCTGACAGCAATTAAAGGCCAAGCTGGTCAATTCGTTTGTGGAGTAAATAGCAATTATAAAGATACTTGTACCTTGCATGATATAAAAATGGAGAAGGGTATTCACCCCTGCAAAGTCTTTACAGGCAATAATGATGGATCTGAGCCAAATTCGAATAACGACGAGGAGGACCACGGAGATGGGAAATATTGTATCTATAAGAGTGGCGATATTAAATATACTGGATCCAAACCAAAGCCGAAAAGCAAAAAGAGCGCAAAGAATTAAGGGAAGGATTTGGGATTGAAGATAAAAAGCCTTGAAGTTAAAAACGTTTAAAGGGATAAATTAAATGTAGTATGGGTAGAATCTATTATTAATTGAAATACTAATTTAATTTTTGAAATTTCTTTTTATGTTAATCCTGTCCAGTAAATTTAAATTAAAAATTTTTTTTAATAAATTTTATAGTAGACCGTTCTTAACCTTGATCAGGACCTGGATTTTTTCTTACTAACAAGTAGGGTTACCTTTTCGAGCGGGTCGACAGTCGAAGCATTTTTTCGGGCTTCTTAGGCCTTTCTCGATCTTTCGGTCCGAGTCGGGCCATTTTGGCAACCCTAGTAAAAAGAGAGCATGTTTACTGTAACCATTCGATAGAACTAAAACTGGATACTTCCTTAAGGCCCAGAATTTTGTTTAGGCCAGCAATTCAATTGGTATAGGATTTAAAAAATCACAACCTCTATTATGTCCAAAGTAGACTTACTATGATTCACCCTATTCACCAGGGCTGTGCGCCAAAGTTTTTGCGTGGTGTGCCAAACGCCATTTTTTCAAATTTTTAAATCACGCCAAACTCAAAACGCCAAAGATCTGCCAAAAAAGGTCGCCCTGCTATTCACTTAGCCCAGAATTCGACTTCGATTTGCCTTAAAGTAGACTTTCTAAAGTCAAACTTGTAATTCTTACCCACACAATTATATTAAAAAATTCGGGTACAGCCCAAAACGGCGCAAAGCCATAACTTGGTGGAAAATGTCTGACCCTTATAAATTTTGGTACCAATCTCCTTAGCTCGATGAGTGGAATCGTTTAATACTAAATTTTGAAAGATTCGGAAATCTTGGAGCAAATTATGGCTTTGCGCCGTTATGGTCATGCGCCGTTTTGGGCGTGTCCTTAAAAATTCTACCCCTCCCTTCCCCCCTTTTTTTTATTCTCGAGAAATAACGATCAAATTCTTCACACTTTTCTGTCACTGTCATTTACGCGCGCAAAATGTCCTTGAGCCTTTTTTATTTTTCTATACATACTTTCTTTTCTCAATCCACTTAAAATTCATTCAAAATTGCTTATTTTACTGGTAATTCTTTAATCAACAACAAATTCCTCATTATTTGAGAAAATTTTTGAAATTTTTTTCGAGTTTTTATAAGGGCTAAAAAATTTTCCAAAATATTATTCCAAGATTTAAGAGACAAACGCCACTAATTTTAGGAAGATAATAAGGTATTTTATTTTGCGCCAAATTTAACCAAATTTTGGAACCTATCCAAATTTTTAATTTATTTTATAAAAATAAAGTTAAGGAATCTGCGCTATAAATGGATAAATAAATTATAAAGAAATCGGCTTTTTTAACACACAAATGCTACATTTATTAAATTAGGTCTTCTCCTCCAAAATAAATTGCAAAGCGGATCGAGCGGATAAAAGTGGATCAACGCAATTATAATTTTTGACTGTTTCCTTTTTTTATTTAATTAATTGCGGCACGAGATTTTTTTTTTGTTTTTTAAGGAAATAATTCGGGCAAGAGTTTAGAAGAAGGGTGATTTTAATAGTAAATTTTTCTAGGTGTTTAATGATCCTAAAAACTGTTATGTATCTTTTAAAGATAAGCAGACATTAGATCTGTGCCGCATTCGAGCCAAACTTTTTTATACCCTTCCAATTTTTAATGGTTCACTTGTTGCTATTAATAAAATTAGCAAAAATTTTTCTAACAAGTTTTCCCTTTTCTCCATTCATTTTTAAACATCACTAAACACACTAAAAAATTATTTTTTCCTTCATTTTCAATAAAACAGGCAATTTATTATCTCAAAAACTATTAAAGTTTGTCTTATAGGCGTGTTCCCCTCACCCTACCCAACCCCGTGTGTGCGCAATTTTTGGCGTTTTGGGTCATAAGGGCGCGGGGCCATTTGGGCGCCAGCACTAGAAACTGACACTTAGGCGAAACCGATATTTATGAAAATTTTCTCAAATTTTTTTAGCATCTTTGACTACCTCCTCCAGAAATTTCAGAATTTTTCATCGAATATTTCTGAGGTTATAGTCGATAGATCGCGAAAATAGGCATTTTTCGGAAAATCAGCATTTTTGGCCATAATTTCTGAAATTCTTGCTCAAAAATCCTGAAATTTTTGGAGAACTTAGATAAGCATACGAGAGTTATTATTGCAAAATTTTATCTTTTTTGATAAGCAACTCACTGTTTTATAAGCTCACGCCCAAATGGCCCCGCGCCCAAAGGCACAGTCCATACCCAACCACCTACTGTGCGCAATTTTTGGCGTTTCCTTATTTTCCTTCAAAATTTTTTATTGAGCACGCTCCCTTCCCCGTCACTTTCGCTTATCTTTCCGTTTATATCTAAAGAATTTTAGTAGTAGTAAAAATCGTGTAACGGCATTTTCTCCCAAAAATACTTAAACTATTTCTCCTTCTTTTTAATATTCTCCTCATCTGCAATTTAAAAATTTTGTCTTGCTCCGTTTTGTTTCGAAATTTCTCACAAATTTTTATGTATTTGTGTTGCTTCTTTATTTTTTTCAATTTTTAAGCCAATAATTATTAGAGATTCAATAATTGTACTAAATTTAGCGAGACTCCCTGAGACTTTCTGACCAAGACTCCTTCCCCGGACCTAGACTCCTTCCTAACATCACGAGACATCCTGAGCTCCCTGACTTATCACGAGGTACCTGAGCTGCTTACTTATCCAAAGATATCCAAAGCTTCCCGATTTATCCCAAGATATCCTAAGCTTCCTAACTTTCCCTAAGATATCCTGAACTGCTTACTTATCCCGAGAATATCGAGCTTCTTACTTATCCCAAGATATCCTGAACCTCCTGAATTATCACGAATGCCCTGAACTTCCTGACTTATTCCAAGATATCCTGAGCCTCCTAACTTCTCCCGAAATATTCAGAGCTGCTTACTTATCCCGATATATTTTGATCTTCATGACCTATCTCGAGATATCCTGAGCTCCCTAACTTATCCTGCGATTGAGCTTATCCAAACTTGCTTCTAAAGCTCTTAACAATCCAACGCACAATCTTTTGCCTAATTTCTAAGCCTGATTTCAACCCCTTATTGACAGCTGCCAACATTTCCAGACAGCCTCCCTTCCTTTAGAGCAAATTTAAATAGACGTTATTTTTGATTTGCCCAATTTCTTTCTTATTCTCACAAAAATATTTTCTCGTAATAAATATCATATAAACGCTCAACGCTTTTGTATTCAGTTTTTGGTTTAAAAATATTTTTAGTGCAAATAAATGCACATTTTAGCGCTCAGTTTCCTTTAAAAAGGGGGAAGAATCTTTTTTCTCGGCGGTTCAATGGCCGAAGAAGTGAGTCTCCCCTTCCTGTATTTATTTACAATTTTAGTCTTTCCCCTCCTCATTCCCCCCTCAATTTTTGGTCCGGCAGGTGTGTGTGTCTGTCTGTACCCTTCGCATTACTCATGTGTCCCAAACCAAAACTCGGGAAACTAAAAAGGCTGCTGCTGACCAGCAAAAGGTGAAGTGAGGGAGGGAGTTAAGGACCCGTAAAAGGCGACCGACCCCTCCAACCACCGCTACTTCCTTCTGTCCTAATCGACGGCCAATTTGCATAAGGCTATGTTTGCTAACCAGGTATACCTTTTTGCCTTAAAATGAATCATTGATTCAAATAACCGTCAAGTTTTCTCTAAATTTTTACTAAAAATCGGTAAAAATTTGATTTTTAATCAGAAATTTTTGGTACTTTTTGATATCCCTCTTAACCTCATAATTAGGGTTGCCATTTTCGAGTAGGGCCGACGGTCGAGGCATTTTTTTCGGGCCTAACTTTATCAAATCGGGCTGTCACTTTCGGGCATAACTTTATCGAGTAGGGCCGTACGAGTCATTTCCGGGCAAAATACTTAGGCCCGACTCGATCTTTCGGTCCGAGTCGGTCCATTTTGGCAACCCTATTTACTATAATGGTCTAGGGGTACATAATGGCCAGACTTTCTAACTTCCTCAATTCAGCTCAATTTCCTTGGGGCATATACAAATGAGAAACAATAACAAAGGAAAGGAAGTCTGACCGTTAAAAAGGAAGTCTGACCGTTTCTTTCGGTCAAAGGAAGTCTGACCGTTATGAGCATCTTAAAAAAAATCCCGAGACTAACCAGTGGAGGGGCATTGCGTTTTTCGTTGATTTTTGGCGTTGCTTTTGCGTTTTTTGAGATTCTCTTGCAGCGCCCCTGACTCTAACTAGTGGGTGGGATGTCCAAAAAAGTACTACCATTTTTTATTAATACTAGGGCTTGCCCCCGACAGCTTGAGGGCACGTTTGTCGAGGTTCTTTGGAGTATGAATGACATCAACTCCAACGCACCTCGAGCTATCGGGGTCAAACCATAATTAATACCCCACAAATTACAGTAAATTTTTAAGGGTTGATCGAGAGAAAAAAAGAGCTAATAAACCTTGAAGTACTAATTTATTCCTCCCTTAAAAATTTTTTTTGATTTTTATTATCTTCCCCCCCCCCCCTTACAATTCTCATCATTTTCTTCACTCTATTTTTTCTTCCAATTTCAATTATAATGTAAATTCTAACACGTATAAATCTGCACTTTTTTAACCAATTTTTTTTTTATTTTTTTCTAATTTTTCCTTCCAATTTATGTACTAAAGTATTAATAAATATACCTAGATGATTGGTAAAAGTATTAGAAATTTTTTGTTTTTTCTTTTCATTTCTTCCCGGATGAAAAAATAAATAAAAAGGAAAATAGCCGCCGTCCATCGCGCTTTCTCATACACACATTCCAGCAGTTGGAAGCTGCCACCCTCTTCCTCCCCTCCCCCAAAAATTCTAACGAGGCAAGGAAGCAACAACTCTCCTTCTTTTTTTGTTTTCTGGTCACCGGGTGTCCATCGGTCGATTTTAGCTTTTGTGGGACGCCGGTATTTTCTTATTTGAGTGATTCACAAAAGATTTTGAGATTACAAAAATTTGCGGATCGATTTGCGGACTTTTTAAAATTTTTGCGGACTGAATTTGCGGACTTTTTGAAAATTTGCGGACTGAATTTTGCGGACATTTAATTTTACGGATTAAATTTGCGGACATTTAATATTGCGGATTAAATTTGCGGACTTTCAAAATCTGTGGCCTTTGAAATTTTGCGGATTGAATTTGCGGACCTTTGAAAATTTGCGGATTAAATTTGCGGACTTGTAGTCAAAAAATTTCCATCTCCACATATTTGAGCACCTGATTAAAGACGCATTGAAAGCAGGTTTTCCTCAAAGGAATTCACAAAGCTTAAGTAAAAAAATAAAAAAACGTAGGGAATTACGGATGGTTAGCGCGTTAAGCCTCGCAGTCCCTTTCACTCACTGGCAAAATTTTTTTTTCTTTATATCGTCCGATTACATTTTTAAACCATCTTAATGCTATCAAAAACATAAAATTGTAACTATTAAAAATCATCGTTTCCAAATATCCTCAAAATACTTACTGTTGGTAGGGGAGCTGTCTGTCTGTAGGCCATTTGATAGGGGGAGCTACCTAGGAGATACCCTCCTCTCAATTTAGTGTGAAAAGTACAAATGTTCTCTCCAGCCCAGTTCCTTCCAGCCCAGAATATTCCTCCCGGCCCAGTTGTAGTGTGAAAGGTACATAAAGAAATGTCCCTTCCAGCCCATAAGTAGTGTGGAAGGGACCCCAATTTAAGATACCTCTCATTTTAAGAGACAAATTTCAGCTCTCAGGGGTCAGGGGTGGACCACACTCGCTTTAAAATCTATTCATTGTTTATTGAAATTGAAATTTTTAATTTTGACGCCTACTTTTTCCTGCGCCGAAATATTCCTCAACCTTGGAGGAAATAGTGACAGCTTTCTCCCCTTACCCCACCATTTTCGGCGCAGCTAGGATTTGGCGCAAAGTAAAAATACTTGTCTGTCGTTCTATCTTTTAATTTTTCAACTGATTCTGCCCATCGAAATCATTACGTATTATTTTTAAAAAAATTTTTTTTAATTTATATAATTCATATTTTGCATTTTAATAAACTTTCCTCTCTTCTTTTTGAATTTTCACTTCAAAATTTGACAATAATATATTTTTAAGTCAAGTGTGGGTGGCGCAAAAGCATGTAAAAACACAATGAATCTTCCCTCACTTTTACAAAAAGCAAAATAACTTCTTCGCTCAAAAAGCACGGAGACACACATTCCCCTCCTTTCATTTTTAACACAAATTTTTCTATAGTGGGCCTTTTGTTACACAAATTATAAAACATGTTAAATTAGTATTTAAGGGTCATCAAAGACGAGACAGGAGAAATCAGAAAAAAAATCAGAAATATTTTTTGAAATAATAACTCGAGAAAAAACAACCATTTGTAAATTTTATGAATAACCTCTGATATAATATGTAATCCCGATATAATCCAGTATATCCGGTCCATTCTGCCGATTTATATGAGTCAATATCAAATAGGAGTCAGTTTCACCGAGCTTCTTGATTATCCATATCAGAGAGGGATCCATTTCACCGAGCTTTTTGATTCTCCCTAACAAAGGGGTGCCCTTTCACCGAGTATTTTGAATGTCCATAACAAAGAGGGGTTTATTTGCCGAGATTTTAGCCGTCTATATCAAAGAGGGGTCCATTTTCCAAGACTTTTAAACGTCCATAACAAAAAGGTGTTCACTTTTTGATTGTCCATATCAAAGAGGGGTTCATTTTGCCGGGTATTTGAGTGTCTGTAACAAAGAGGTGTTCATTTTACAAGACTTTTGAGTCTTCATATCAAAGAGGGTTTCCATTTACCGAGCTTTTTGATTGTCCGTATCAAAGAGGGGTCCATTTTCCAAGACTTTTAGACGCCCATAACAAAGAGGGTTGCATTTTGCCGAGTATTTTGAATGTCCATATCAAGGAAGGGGTCATTTGCCGAGAGTCTATAACATTTGAGCGTCTATTCTATAATTTTGAGCGTCTATAACAAAGAGGAGTCCATTTTACAAGACTCATGAGCTCCATATCGAAGGAGGTCTTATCGAGAGTTTTGGATGTCTATGTCAAAGAAGGGTTCTTTTTATCAATACTTTTGGGTATCCATAACAAAGAGGTTTTCCTCCAAATTCATTTCTAATAACCCTGATCCCTCTGATTCTATTTTTAAAAATTAAAAGACAGACGACCTTCTTCCATATTTTTTAAATCAGATAATATTCTAACGCTTTTTAATCCTTGATCAATGATCAGCAAATAAACACAACCCTTTACACATTTAAAAATCTTGTTTTTTGACGCTTATTTTTCATAAAAATATTTAAATTTTATATTTTTTAAATGTTGCTTTTTAGAATATTTTTCAAGTAAAATGAATGCTCAAAATAATAATTCCTCAATTCTTTTAAAAGCTTCACCAATTCAACTTAAAAGAGAAATAGCTAAACAACAATGTCCTTTTTTAAGTTCAGAAACGGATAATGACAAAGATGGGAAACAATTTATTTCTAAAGATGAGAGTGATATGCTAAGGGATTCGGTATAAATAAATAAACCATAAATGTCCTAATAGTAGCCCTGGGCATTTATTTTTCAATGGGTCTCATAGGGGGTAACTCTAATTTCATTGTTAGTCAAAGTAGCTAAGCGTCAATTATATCGAGTGTCTATAATAGTGGGAGTTTTGAGAATGATATTAAAACGCGAAATAATTACTAATTAGTATTTCACCAGGGCTGTGCGCCAAATTTTTGGCATGGAGCGCCAAACCCATCGCGTACAACCCTTTACATCACCATATGATAGGTCCCTTGAGGCCTAAAATACCACTCATAAGGGTTATCTTAGATAGGGGGTTTTCCTCCCTCTGTAGTTTTTCCTTCCTACATAAAGGCTAACCAAATTTTCAAACCTCCATAAGGAGAGACCCTTGGGGATTAAGAAAATGTCTTTTATAAAGAGGTGTGTCTTAGATATGTAGAAGGTATCCGCTTATCCAGCTCCTCAACCCCTCCCATAGGCCAACCAACTTTTCAAACCTTCATAAGGAGACAACCTTGGGGATTAGAAAAGTCTCTTATAAATGGATAGAAGGTATATTGGATAGAAGGTATCGCTTATATAGCTCTTCAACCCCCCTCCAACCCCTCCCAGAGGCCAGCCAAGTTTAAAAAACATCTTAAATGGTAGCTAATATTTTCTCTTTCCACAGATCCTCCAAATAAACAGACCACGAATCAATCGACCTCCATGGGAGATTATTGAACATTCACAACCAGTCCCCAACAACAACAAAGAAAGTTCATTCAAAAAGGAAGACGAGGAAGACTCCTCCAAAACTGGAACAACTTTTCTTGTGCGTTCCTCAAATTCCTCAACTAGTGGGTGTTCTTCCAACCCCCAATCAGGCTCTTGTTCCCCTATTGTGTTTAACAGTGGGAATTTTACAACAAAGACAACAACCAGAAATTTTACTTTTACACGTGAAGGATACGAGAATGGATTTAATGAGTATCCCGAGGAAAATAAAATTAATATTCCTGAACTAGTAGAGAAACAACAAGGTGTTGAGGAACAAAGGGGGAAAAAAGAATGGACATTTGCAACAAATGAAGGGTCGTCTTCCAATGTTCCCACTAAAATTGTAATTTTTTTTGCTTGTAAACTGAATTTTTTCCTTCGAGTCAGTACAGCCCCGGCACTTATAACTTATGAAGGGATGGTCACTTCTATATGTTCTTGGTACCATTGGATAGAGAATTAAATACTCTACAAGCTTTCAAAAAATAAGAACCCTCGACTAATTGATAACGAAGTTATGACTGATAAAGTGCCGGTACACCCTAATTCAGTCCCGACTAAATTCAGTCCCGGCACCTATAACTTATGAAGGAATAGTCACTTTTTTATGTTTTTGGACCGTTGGATAGAGAATTAAATACTCTACAATATTTCAAAAAATCAAAACTTTCAACTGATTGATAAAAATGTTCTGACTGATAAAGTGCCCGGTACACCCCTAATTCAGTCCCGACTCAGTTCAGTCCCGGCACCTATAACTCGTGAAGTGTCCGATAATTTCTAATGTTTTTGGTACCGATGGATAGAGAATTAAATACTCTACAAGCCCTCAAAAAATCTAAGCCCTAGACCTATTGATAAAAAAGTTATGATCGATTAAATGCCAAAAAACACGTTATTTTGAAGAAGTTAGTTTTTAAATCACAACTTTTTTATCAATTAGTCAAGAACTTTGATTTTCTGGGGTATCGTAGCTTATTTAATTCTCTATCCATTGGTACCAAGAACATGAAGAAATGCTGATCCCTTCATAAGTTATAGGTGCTGGAACTGAAGTAAGGTGACTAAGCTAAGCTGGGTAAACCGGGACTGAGCTGAGGGAGGGACCTGTAATATTTTGCTTGAAAAATAAATTTTGTTTCCCCTAAATTAAAGATATCTGCTTCCTTGATCCAAAATGCTTTACTAAAAAATGGAGCCACCAACTCTATGGTTAACACCAAACAACCCCAAAAACTCCCCCAATCCTCCCCAACTATTGCCACAACCTCTGCTACAACTTCCCACTCTACCACTTCCTCCACTTCTTCAAACTCTTCCTCCTATTCCCGTTCACCAATTTATTCCAAAAATTCTCCTCTTAAACGAAAGGAATTCTCGGAATCTCGCCGGAAAATTCTTCAAGATCAAAAAAACGAGGAGGAACAACAAAAAATCTTGGAAAAGGCAAAAGAGGCCATGCGTTGGCAGCAACAAAGGGCCGTTGATACGGTGGAGGAAGTGAGTCAGTTGGGGCAGGCTGCTTTGGAACAAATGGCTATATTGGGTGAACTTTCTAGTGTTTAAGATTAATCTTAAAAAATATTTTTCAGAAGAATTAGAATTTGAAGATTTTGAAAGGAAAACAAAAATTAGTGACAGACTTTGTACCAAAAATGTCCCTTCTTCCTCCTATGTTTCCTTGCCAACATCACTAGCAACCTCATCAACTGCCTCTAGTACTCGGCAAGAATCCGAAATAAATAATGGGGCTACAGCTAGAAAATCTCTCAATACTGGGGTAATTTAACTGTCGTTATTATAAACATCAAAACATTTTTTAGGAAAACCAACTAAACAAACAAAGCCAAAACCATTACTCCCCAAAACGGCAAAGTTTATTCAATGAACACAAACAACAACAACATTTTCCCCCTCAAAACAAACTTGAACAAACAACTTGCTCTTCCCAACAATTTTTTAAACAAAAGTCGCCTGCACCAATACTTGACAAAAACAAATTGTTTGAAAATAACAATAAAACAAACACAACAACAAACAACAAAACAAACACCCCACCATTCAATTCAACAACAAAGAACTCAACACCAACAAACTTAACAACAATAAACATAACAAACAATAAAACAAACACGACAAACAACACCTCAACAAACTTAACAACAAACAAAAACACAACAAATAACTCAACAACAACAAACAAAATAAACTCAACAACAAACAAAACAAACACGACAACAAACAAAACAAACACAACAACAAACTCAACAACAAAAACAAACACAACAACAAACAAAACAAACATTATAACGAACAAAACAAACTCAACAATAAACATAACAAACAACCCACCAACAAACAAAACATCAACAAACTCATCCCAACATTCTCTAAAATCATTAGCAACATCAATTATTAGATATGATGATGAAACAAGAGAAAAAGAAAGAGAACAAAGAGAAAAACAAAACATAAAAACAACAACACCCCAAACATCTCCCGGAACATTATTTTCTGCTCAATCTCCCTCGGGTTTATTGGAATGCAAAACATGTGGAAAAGCAATTACTAATGTTGTATGTAATTAATTTTTTCAAACATTAATAAAAACATAGGTTTTACAAGCATTGGGCGCATCATTTCACCCAGCCTGTTTTCGCTGTCAAAAATGTTCGCGGTGTTTGGATGGAATTCCTTTTACAGTTGAACAGAATGGTGAAGGTGTTATTTGCATGGATGATTATGAACGCTATTTTGTTACTCATTGTCGCGCTTGCAAAAAGGCTATTAATGCTGTGAATGTAAGCGAAAAAAAAAATTTTTGAAATTTTTTCCAGAATTTTTTGAAAATTTTTTTAAAAATTTTTCAAAATTTTTTGAAATATTTTTTTTGAAATTTTTAGATTTTTTTTGAATTTTTTTAAAATTTTTCAAAAAAAAATTTTTGAAATCGAAATTTTTTTCCAATTTTCTAGGAATTTGGCAAAATTGTAAGAATCGTTGTTGAGGATCGGGAGTATCACATCCAGTGTTATTGTTGCGAGGTTCTCCCTTTTAAAATTAGCTAGTGTTTTAATTTTCCTTTTATTAAAAGGGCTGTGGAATGCAATTAAGCAATGAACCCCAAAACAAATGTTATCCCATTGGAGAACATTTACTTTGCCGGAGATGCCACACTTTGTGGAGGCGAATGGGTGCCTTAGAAACTGATGCAGCTGTTTCAGACTTGTAAAAACAATAGAAGATTTAAAGAAAATACCGTATTATCTCTATTAGAATGCCCCTCTCCATTTGAATGCCCCCCTCTAATAGAATGCCCCTCTAGCGGAAGATCGAAAAATACAATGCCCCCCTCCATTTGAATGCCCCCCTCTAATAGAATGCCCCCCTTTTTTTGCTGAAATTTTTCTAAATAAAAAAGATATTACAATTTATATTTAAAACGTTTACTACATATTCACTTTTAATCGTAGTAGGAATTTTCCGAGTTCGAGTAATCCGAGTATTATTATCCCGAGTTCCGAGTCGAGTAATTACGCAAAAAAACCGAGCGGTCGAGTCGAGTAACTCGAACTCGCTCGAACTCGACTTACTCTATTTTATATTATAGATAAAAATTTTTGATAAAAATTTTTTCAAACTTTAAAATTTAGTCATCGAAAAATACAATGCCCCCCTCCATTTGAATGCCCCCCTCTAATAGAATGCCCCTTTGGAAGGTGATTGAAAAATAGAATGCCCGGGCATTCTATTAGAGATAATACGGTATATTCAGTGAGAGGCTGCACGTATTATACTCCAAAAAAGATTTTTTGAGCAGCCTCACTAAATGCCATTTATATACTATTTTATTATACTCATTATTTTAATAGAACTTCTTTTCTAAATAAAAATCTTTTTTTCCGAAAAAATTGAAATTGAGAAAAAATATTTTTTATTTATAGGAATATGGCACAAATCCAAAAAAATTTCCAAAATTTTTCCGGACAATTTTTAAAAATAAAAATTCCTAAATTAATAAATTTTTCAAAAATTTAAAAAAAATCTTTTTTTGAATTTTCTTTAAAATTTTTTCAAAAATTTTTTAATAAAAATTTTCTCTTGAAATTTCAAAAAAATTTTTGGAAATTTGTATAAATTATTTTTTATAATTAACGAGATCGAGTCTATGAAGAACAAGTTTTCTATTAATCCGTCTAATGCGTAGTCACAATATCGTCGATAGACTCTGTCACAGCACTGGGAGTGTAAGCAACTTGCTTACTTTTGGTATCAACTGAACATTGAGAAGAAGTCGTAGCCAGAGGTGCATTTGTCGTCGAAGTAGTTTGTTCATGAAGAGAGGAAATAAGTGGATTAGTTGTTAAAGGAAATTGGCCATGAGCAGAGAGGGCAGCGGATGGACCAGGAACGAGTGCAAAAGGCTGAAAAAACACCAAAAAATAGTAAAGGAAAAAAAAATCAATATTTAATTTTGGGCCTAGAATGACCAGTTACAACCCGTTAAGTAAAAGGAGTTGAGAAATTAGAACCTCAGGCTGTTGCTGCTGTACGGATTCACGACTCTGGCGACGACAACAAGAACAAGCACACCACTTTGATGTAAAATGGGATAAAATTGGAGTACTATGAACGCGTGTGGGAACAGATGGTGGAGGACGAGTTGTTGTAGTTGTGGCAGAAATTAATGGATTATGAGGTGGAAATATTGTTGGTGGAAGAATTGCTTGATTAATATTAGGGGCATGGTGGTGAGTCTAAAATAAGAATTTTAAAACAAAGCGTAACCCAAAAAGGATGAGTTTTACAGGATTACTACAATTATTCAGGAAAAGGCATGCTATTTAAAACTAATTTCCCCATCGTTTGAACTTCGTATAAAAGGAGGATATCAAATTGATCGATCAATTTGTGAATAAAAACAGGGGCTATTCCATCCCTATTTTTAAATTCAAACCCTAGATTATTAAAAATAAATATACTGGCTGGTCAGGAAAAAGCCGCTGCTCGATCAATTTAAAATGTAAATCAATCATAGCTCCCGTAGATTGATGTCTTCTTTCATTTTCCCTCTCTGCTTGTTCAAACCTCTCCTTATTTTGGTCAAATTTCTCATTATTTTGCGACGCAAGGAGCTGGAAAAGAAGTACTAGCATGACAACCAAGAAACAAAAAAGTCCGATTATAACTCCAAGGGCAGTCGTTGTCATGTCCGAAACGACTTCCATCGTCGTAACTTTTGTAACTTTCTCAATTAAACCGAGATCAACAGACTAATTTAAAAACAAATTAAATTAGAGAATTAAAAAATTACTTCCTTTGACTGATTGGATGATGCAATTAAAGCCATGTATTGAGGGGTTTGCGGCTGAAAAATTTAAGCACAATTAAAGCAGATTGTGTCAAATATTTGTGCTGCTGCGGAGCATGCCGGACATGGTACATAATGTTCTTGCTCCGCTGCTAGAAATGCCTCGAATCCTCCGCAGCAGCAAAAATAATTTCAGCCGAAAGTTTTAAATCGGGCAAAGTGCACTTTACTAGGTGATTTTAGATTTGAACAATTTATATGTCAACAAGCTGATGTGAGCCTAATCCCGGCAACTCGATGAGTTGTGTAGAATTACGCCGAAATTAGTCAGAGGAAACAATTCTGAGCAGAGATACATGGCTCAAAATGGTCAAATCAGCTTGATTCGATGATTTTGAACAAAGTTATGACCAATTATTTTAAACCGCCTTTCGTGGAAAAAGTTGCTGGTGCGAAGGAAGCCGGATGATTTTCGCCAACGTGAAGCGGCCTGTTTGGTCTTCGCTATCGCACAGCAGAGACCATGCCCGGCCTACCCTTCGTTAACCGAATCCACCGAACTGAACAATTACTGAGCCTTTTTTAATGAGCTATCATTTGTATATATTTGAATTTTTCAACTTAAGAATCAGCTAGGTCCCCCTATTGTTATTGACCATTTCGAGCCCTGTAGCTCGGCTCAGAATTGTCTCCGCGGACAAATTTTGGTGAAATTCGGCAGCTCATCGAGCTATTTCGTAATTGTCCACATCTAAAATCGCCCAGTAAGGTGCACTCAAGCCGAAAATCTAATATTTATTTAAAAAGAACCTTTTCTGCATCCATGAATTTCTTCGAAAAATAACCAATAATGACAATTGACACAACAAAAATGATGCACAAAATTGCAATCGCCAATTTTGAAAGTCTAAATTAAATTTAATAGAAAAAAATTGCATAATATTGTATCCTGATAGTCAATAGGAGCACTAAACAAATCATGAAAAAATTAAAAATCCAAAACAGAATAAGGAATTCGGTCTTATGATCAGGATACAATAGAATGAAAACCTGCAAATATTGCAAAAAAACATTTGAATTCTGTCAACGATTAAAGAAGCTATCTAAATTATAAATTAAATAAAAATTTTAAAATTATGTATGAATGAAGCTTGAAAGGTTTGAAGAATCGATTATAAGAAAAATCCTATATTAAATTTTAGAGTTTTGGCGTTATGTTTATTTTTTGTTTGGCGTTATGTTTATTTTTGATTAAAAATGACAGAATATCCCAAAAAGAAAAATTATCTTTTGGATTTTTTGTGTCAGTTATATTTGTTTTTTGTTTTTATTTGTTAATTGATTGTTTTTAGGTTTTTAATTTTGGTATCCGTCTGATAAGAGCCAAAAGAAAAGAAAAGTGTCCAGTAAATTGTCAAGGGAAGAGGTTCGTAATGTGTGAAAAGGCTCTGGTAATAGATAGGAGTAAAGTTACAGAAATAGACAAGAAAGAAGGGCCGTCAATGAGAAAAAGGAAAGTCTGTCAATGGGCTTGAAAAACGGTCCCACAATAGTTTGAGAGCGGAGGATCCATCAATAATTGAGATAATCAATGGTTGAGAAAAATTCAAAATTGAAAAGTTGATAGTTGATAATTGAGTATTGAAGATTATAAGTTGAAAATTGAAGATTATTACTATAGCTATATTTAATTAAACTTGAAAATTTAAAATTGAAAATTGTGAATTGAAGGTTGTGAATTGAAGGTTGATAATTGAAAATTGAAAGTTGATAAAAATTGAAAGTTGAAAATAGAAAATTGAAAACATATTACTATAATCATATTAAAATTAAAAATTGAAAAGTTGATAGTTGATAATTGAGAATTGAAGATTGAAAGTTGAAAATTGAAGATTATTACTATAGCTATATTTAATTAAACTTGAAAATTTAAAATTGAAAATTGTGAATTGAAGGTTGTGAATTGAAGGTTGATAATTGAAAATTGAAAGTTGATAAAAATTGAAAGTTGAAAATAGAAAATTGAAAAAATATTACTATAATCATAATTAAAATTCAAAATTGAAAAGTTGATAGTTGATAATTGAGAATTGAAGATTGAAAGTTAAAAATTGAAGATTATTACTATAGCTATATTTAATTAAACTTGAAAATTTAAAATTGAAAATTGTGAATTGAAGGTTGTGAATCGAAGGTTGATAATTTAAAATTTAAAATTGAAAGTTGATAAAGATTGAAAGTTGAAAATAGAAAATTGAAAACATATTACTATAATCATATTAAAATTCAAAATTGAAAAGTTGATAATTGAGAATTGAAGATTGAAAGTTGAAAATTGAAGATTATTACTAAAGCTATATTTAATTAAACTTGAAAATTTAAAATTGAAAATTGTGAATTGAAGGTTGTGAATTGAAGGTTGATAATTTAAAATTGAAAGTTGAAAATAGAAAACATATTACTATAATCATATTAAAATTCAAAATTGAAAAGTTGATAGTTGTAATTGAAAATTATGAATTGAAAGTCAAAATTGTAGTTTATAGTTAATACCAAATAAATGGTAGTATGTACTAGATAAATTGAGTTTTAAATGAATATTGTTTATGTTTGTTAGATTCGCTGAGATCTGTATGTTACTTGGTGAAAGATCAGTAATAGTTTTTGATATCAGATATATCATCAATGTATGATACTAAATTGTATCTGCATTACTAGGATTAGATTGACTAGATAAGTCAATAAGTCCAAGTTCTCTAAGTTGAAGAAAGAAATCCGGTAATCGGAAAGATGTGTGATGTCTTTCGAGATAAATCCAGCTCTGTTATAGAGGGTGGGAGACGATTTAGCATTGCCGATTAATCGATTAACCAACATTAATCGATTCAAAAGCTCTTATTTGGAAAGAAAGTCTGATTTGAATTTGCCACGGAAATAGAGTGAAAGGTATACATACCAGTATAACAGCCTTATACCAGCGGTACTTTATTAATATCCCGCCCCCCACCCCTATTTGAGTCTCAAATTAATTTTCCTTTTTATTTCTCCTGCCTCGGAACGGTTTCCTTCTTTATAAATGTTAAATTTTGCCGTTAGACACATTTTTGCGGTTGCCGTCTATTATTTCCTTCCTAATATTTCCTTTTACTTGTAATGTTGAAAGAGAAAATGATTGATACTAAAGGAAAGGTAAATTAATCTGAGACTCAAATAGGGGTGGGGGGCGGGATATTAATAAAGTACCATACCAGCCTTGGTATTACCCTGATTTTATACAAATAGGGATATGGATTCAGGTGTTTAGGTTAATGAAGTACTAGCCTTGGGAGAGGGAAAGTGGGGTATAAACATTAAATTTAAAATTTTACGTTTTTCCATGTGAGCCTTGATGAGGACGGCTGATCTGCAACTTTTACAGCATTTATTTTTTGAGCACCAATATAACTTAAAATTTAACAATAAATTATAGAAATTCTTCAAAAAATTTGAACGAAGTTATGATCTTAGCTTTGTGTTTTCTTAGGGGTGGAAACAGTAATACTTTAATTTAGACCCATTCTCCTATTTTTCTTTATATTTTGAGCTTTTTGCCTGATCTATAATTTATAATAAAAATAGAGCAAATGCCGTAAAGGAAAACAGGAAAATAATAGGGGGTCTAGGGTTCAACTTTTACGGTAGGTGGCTGTTTTCACAGGGACGGCGGTTGCCGTGGTTTTAGCCTCGGTGACGGGGATGGGGGCTCTGGGGGAGAGCCTCCCACCGTCCCCGGGGACGGTGGTTGAACCTTTCTTTAAACCCAAAAGGAGGTCTCTACTAAAAATTTACTTCCTTCAAAAATAAGGTATTACAGGAATGTCCTTCGAGATTTACTATATTCTTATTTCATTATGTATATGAAACCTGTTTTTTAATTTTTTCTCCTGCCTCCAAATCAAGTATTTAAAATATTGTAAATATTTTGCCATTGATGACATCCTTTTGAAAAAGAATTTTTTTACATTTTAATAAATTTAAACATAATTTTAACAATTATTTTCAAGTTAATATTACTAACATTCAGCTAACTTTCAATAATAAATAGCCCTCAATTTAATGTATACCGTATTTACTCTAGTAATCCCCCAGTCTTTATTAATCCCCCAGTCTATTAATTCCCCACCCTGGGGATGGGTTGAAACAATAATCCCCCTGGGGAATTACCAGAGTAAATACGGTAATCCCTTTAATTTAGTTGGCCATTGGGTGGCAATACCATCAGTGATACACCCGATTTTAGGTACAATTTTTCATTCCAAGGGTGTGTTTAAAATTAAGATCCAACATTTTTAAGAATTTAAGCCCTACCTAGACAAAGCTGCATCAAAACATTTAAAAATTAAAGAAAATTTTTAGAATTTTAATTTTTAGGAAAATTTGGGGAGCCATTAGAATTTCCAATTGAATATATCGATACAACACACGCCCGAAAAGAGAGCGCAGCCATAACGGCGCAGAGCCATAACTTGCTTTAAGATATCCCAATCTTAACAAATTTAGTATTAAACTATTCCTCTCATCGAGCTAGAGAGATTGGTACCAAAAATGTTAAGGGCCAGAAATCTTCCAGCAAGTTATGGCTTTGCGCCGTTATGGCTGCGCCTGAGATTGCCCTTATCGATACTTGTTTGTGTTCGTGCGTGTGCCCTACTTAATCGCAAACAGTCTGAAAAGGTTCACAAGTAAACTCACACGATTAAACGGGCATCACCGCCATTTTTAAGGCACACATATCGCTGACGCACGCACGAAAAATTCTCTTTTACTCTCGCTTTTCTCTTTCTTTTTTATGCTTCATTACACATAGTAGCGAATAAATGCCTTATAAACTAAAGCTGTTCCCAACTTTATCTTAAATTTACAAAATTTTGTTAAATTTACAAAATAGGTATTTTGGATGGAAAAGTGAGCAAAAATATAGTTGAGAGGAGGAATCGATGAATTTAAATTTTATAAATTACAAATTTTGGGGAAATGCTATAAAGGGCAATTTATCAGTAAAACCAGCTTCGTTAACTTTGCGCTAACAATTTTGTTAAATTCCTATAAAATTAGAGCTCATTAATATAGAATGAGCTTAACAAAAGTTTAGCCTCCGGGGAGGATTAAACCTGCGACAACGCTAACAGTGATCGCTCGGCCTTGCTCACAGCAGGTGTTCTACCCCTGAACTACCTACCATGAGCTATTTTTTATCCTTTTAGATCGTTTAACCCTCGCGTAAGCGTTTTTAAAAAATTCAAAAAAATAAAGGTAGATTTTGAGGTAAACTTTAATATTTGAGAAAAACAATTTATAAATTAACGAGATCTCAATAATTTATGAAAGAAGTCAAATCTTTTATTAATCCTCTTAGTATCGTCAGCATCTACATATAAGGGGCATTAATGGCACGGTCATTGTTGGAGCGATTGTTGCAAGTTTTGTGAAAGGTTGTTTACTACAAAACATTCAAAGGGTTGTTTGAAGAGATTGGGACCTCAGGTTGTTGCTGGAATTGTAATTGTGGAAGTGTTGGATTTGTTGGAAGGGCATAAGAAACTGGTTGATGGAAATTTACCTTAAAGAAAAATTATGTAAAAATGCTTTTAGCAGTAAAGAGATGATTTTTTTAAAGGATTCATATTGGGTTCCCTTACTATTTTGCATTAAGTATGAAAAATGGAATTTCAAATTGATCTATCAACTTATCACTAAAGGGAATCACCCAATTATATCGATACTCTCTACATCGCTCCCATATATCGTCTACCCCCATATATCGAAGGCGAGAAAACTTGTTCCTGACGGGAAATGTTGTTCCAATCGGAGAAATTATTCCAAAAATAGTAAAGTTGTTCCAATACGGAGAATAAACTTCGCGTTGTTGGAACATATATATATAGGGGTATTTGAACGAGGCGAATCGATATGAGTCGACAGGATAAGTTGCCTGTTCCTTCTCAAGATTTAGGTTTAAAATCAAGAATATTAATAAACTGGTTGTTGCTGAAGCCTCATCTGGCATAATTGACATTGCTGACGCATACTCATTTCGAACGATCGAATTCCTTGTTCGCAACTTCGTTCAAATGACCAGCAAAAGTATCGAAATATCAAAGTAATTACAATGATAAAAGTACAAGCTAATGTTAGCATTATCACACTTGCCCGCGTTGAATATTCTGAAGGTGTCATGGAAAACGTTCTGGAAATGACTAAAATTAAATTTAAGCACAACCAGAGCAAGTTGAAAAGATATTTAGACTAGTAAAGATACTAGAGAATATTTAAAAAACTTCTTTGTTAATAAATTTTATCTTTAATGCTTTACAAAATTCAAATGATTTTTAATAAAAAGAGGAAAAAACATTTAATTTGACAAGAACATTTTTTAATTTTGACGAGAATAAAATAAATTTTACAAAAATATTTTCGATGGCAAAGTGAGCAAAAATATAATTAAGAGGAAGAATCGATGAGTTAAAATATTTTTAAAAATTATTAAAATTATTTACAAAAAATTTAATAAAATATGGAGAAATGCTTCAAAGGGCAGCTTTCGTTAATAGCAATGTAGTAATGTATGGAACAAATGATGCCAGAAATCTGTTAAAATTCGCTACTAACAAAGCTAAAAGTAAATATAAAATTGAGATTTTGAGGAATAAAAACTTAAAAAATTAGAATACATTCATTGCCAACGTATTGCCGAGCTATAACTTAAATCCAAAATTACCAGATCCTGAACGTCCCGGTATTGTCCGATGCTCATCAACAAGCTAAAGCAAACCATACTAGGAAGTTCAGGATACGATAATTTTGAACCAGAGATGGGCCGGAAATGACATAGTGCCGGAAATCGGAACTGTCGGAAATCGGAACAAAAGACGGAACTCGGAAATCAGCCTAAATTTTCGGAAATCGGAAGGAAAAAACGTCGGATATCGGAATTCCAACCCATCTCTATTTTGAACGAAGTTATAACTCCCGACAGCACATTGGACTCAAGGTATATTGGGGTGTACCTACAAGTAAAGAGGTGAGGAGAACCTATTTTTGTACCTTAAAAAACTAAAAATTATCAAAACCCTCCCAAACTCTCATAATCTCATTCACACTCCACTTTCTTCTTTGTTTCTTTATAACTTAAACGACCAACTAATGGATGAGACGATTCCAAATCATCGCCTTTTATTGTTGATTCAATATTATTTTGGTTATCATTCCCCATTAATTGAAGCCTTTGAATTATCATTCGATAACAATTTAGTTCTAGCCAATGTGGAGGTAATGAAGTTAAAAATGCAGGTAAAAGCACCTCAAAAAGATTATTTTTTAATAATTTTAAAAGGGTGCACCTCAGTTCAATACCGGCACAGTTCAGTCCTGAGGGGAGAAGCCCAGCTTACCGCAGAGCTATAACTTCGTTCAGATTTGTCGAATCCGAGACGACATGGTATGGTTCGATGCGCCTCGACTAGCTGAATCGAACCATACCAAGTCGTCCTGGGTTCGACAATTCTGAACGAAGTTATAGCTCTGCGATAAGTTGGGTTCGAGGTAAGTTAGGGTGTACCCAGCCCTTAGACCTATAACTTATCAAAGAGCTCATAATCTTTAAGAATCTTTGTACCATTGGATAGAGAATTAAACGCTCTACAAGATACCAAAAAATCAAAATTTTCGTTTGATTGATAAAAAAGTTATGATCGAAAAAGAAAAAGCGAAAAATCACATTTTTCTGATTTTTTAGACCATAAATTTTTTTATTATTTAATCAAAAATTCTGATTTTTAAGTATCTTGTAGAGCTTTTAATTCTCTATACAATGGTACCAAAAACATAAACAATTGACTATCCCTTCACGAGTTATTTGGTCGGGATCAGGGGTGGGCGCAAGAGACAATCTCACAAAACGCAAGACGCAAGGCCAAAAATTAACGCAACGCGCCCACCAAAGGTCGGGAGTGAACTGCGCCGGACTGAAGTGACTACTCAGTCAGTTTAAAAAAAAAACCAGTCCATGAAAAAGGCCCCAAATGACAACAAGAGAAATTGTTTTGACAAAAACCAAGGGAATATAATTCTAAAAAATATTAAAAATAAAAAAAAATAAAATAAACCTGCAAAAAGACAAGTGGAAAAACACAAATAACTGTGCTAAGACCAGCTTGAGACATTGGCCAAGCAATTGAGCGAATGGTATTTTCAAGTTTGTCGATTGATTTACTTAACCTTTTTTCTACAAGTTGGCCTTCTTTAATTTCTCGTTTGTGCGAAAGCTACAAAAAATTTTAGTTGAATTTGAAAAAAATTTTTGGCCCTTGTCCAGATGACGCGTCCAATAAACCTTTAAGCGTCCAATGAAAAGTTAATGCGTCCATTCACATTTTTAAGCGTCCAAATCTTTAGCGATAAGTACCCGGTTGCAAGTGTTAGGGAACAATGGTCCGGTATTGTGAGTGTACCAAAACTCAGGGTGAGTAGAGCGTTTCATTCCCAAAGATTTCATAATACTAAAGTGCAGAAATGCTTACAAGGGCCAGGGGTCGACTTTGGAAAGAGGCTAACGTGAGGTGTGTGCCAAAATTTTGGCAATTACTTTGGAGTTCCGAACGCACTTTTTTAAACTATATTTTATTTTCTAAATTTTAAAGGGGGGGGGGTGCTTCAGTTCCCCAGACCTCCCTGGTTACGCCTTTCGAAGCGTGTACTTGTCGCTGATTGGACTCATAAAGAGGCCAATGAGACGCATAATCTGGACAAGCTTTATAATTTTTGTCAAAAGTTAAACCTGAAAATGATATGACACATGTGCTGTAAAATCTACGCTCATTCCAATTGACATAAGTACTGCACAAAGGGAAACCTTTAAAAAATTATTTTAAAATTTATACAAAAAATGAAAAATAAACCGGGTCCAAATTCAAATTCCACCAACTTAAATAACCAATAACACCAATTGAAATTGATCCAATTGCAAAAGATGCCGTAGCCACAGAAAGGGGATTTTGGATGAAGATTAGGCAGACTAGAGCCATACAACAAAGAGTTAAAAATGTTGTCTAAAAAATATTTTTTAAAAAATTTTCAAACCCCTAGAAGGCTTCAAGGGCGTAGCTAGGGAGGCTAGAGCCTCCCCTAATGAGGGAAAATGAAAAAAAAATTATAAAGTGGGTTTTTTTCCGCCTACAACCCCAAAAATTCTCAAAACTTCGCCTGCGGCGATGAAACGCAAGAAATTATTCGGGCTTCTTAGCCTTCCAAAATGAAAACATTTTAGCCTACGTCATTGAAAAAATAAAAATAGAACAAAAAAATTTACGTTCGCAACGCCAAAGTAAACTGCAAAATTTTTGACGCATATCAATTATCCCTTTAAAATCGACCCTCTAGCTACGCCATTGGAAGGCTTTAAAAGGCCTAAAAAAATTTTTTTACAAACCTGTAATGTTAAAGACTTGAGACTTAACATTTGATCAACAAACATTGAATTTACTTCCCAAACTGTAACATTTAAATCTGGATAGTTTTCGGCAACTCTTCGCCATTCCTGCATTAAATTGATTCGTTCTTCCCAACTAACAGTATTGTGATAAGTTACGGAAAACCAAAATTTTGAAATTGGGACTTGGAATTCATGCCCAGTTCTTAAAAAAATTTTTTTAACAAAATCGGACACACCCAAGGGCGTATCCAGGGGGAGGCTAGAGACCCCCCCCCCAGAAATAGAGGCTGGATACGCCCTTGGACACACCTCAACTGAGTTCCGGACCCTATAACCTATCAAGGGATGGTCCACTTCTTTATGTTCTTGGTACCAATGGATAGAGCATTAAATACGCTACAATTAACCAAAAAATTAAAACCCTCGACTGATTGATAAAAAAAGTTATGATCGATAAAGTGCCGAAAAATCGAAATTTTTGAAAAAGTTAGTTTTTAAATCATAACTTTTTTATCAATCAATCGGGAATTTTGATTTTTTGGTATCTTGTAGCCCGTTCAATTCCATATCCATTGGTACCAAGAACATTAAAAAGTATCTACCCCTCCCTGAGTTATAGGGCCGGAACCAGAGGTGAGTCGGAACAGTCAGAGGTGTCGGAAATCGGAACTGGCTCAAAAGTCGGAACACGAAAATCAAAAATCAAAATTTTTTTCGGAAATCGGAAAGAAAAAAACGTCGCAAATCGGAAGTTGGAAATCAGAATTCCGACCCACCTCTGGCCGGGACTCAGTTGAACTGATACAAAAAAACAAACATTGGCCTTTTAATTTTTGAAGAAAACCTCAGAAAAGGAATGTAATGCTTGTAAAATGGAGAACTAAGAAATTGTTCTAGACGGGTGTACTGAAAATTAAAAATTATAAAAATTTAAATAAAATAAAAATAAACGTCAAATCCTGTTTTACTAATTGGAAAAGAATCAATATGCATTTCTGATGAATTATTGCTATTATCAAAAAAATCAAAATCATAGAGGGCAGCCATTTTACAATATTCTATATAATCTCTGAGCCATAAAATTGTGAATTGTTTACCTGAGAAATGTTAGGAAATTGGAATCAATTTAAAAAATAAAAAGGGTCATAAACTGGGACAAGAAAGAGTGCGCCGTAATACCAAACGCCGAAATACCAACCTCCAAAAGCTGCCAAAATATCTAACAGTGGAAAACGAAGAAACATAATAGTCTTCTTGGCAAAATCTCCCCCCCCCCTCCCAAAATGAGGAAAAAGAAATAATTTGGGGAAGTGAAAAAGAAAAAATTTTAGGGAGAAAAAAAGTGGCCCTCCACCCCCGAAACGAGAGCATATTTCAACACCTGGCCCTTCACCTCCGAAAATTTTTCCATGCCACGGGCCAGATGCGTCATCAACAGGAAAAAACATTTAAACAAACCTTTGCAAAATTTTAGCCCTTCAAATTCCTCTAACATTGTATTAAATCTATCAAATTTCCCCTTTAAACGAATATCAATTGGGTTATTGACCAAAATCGTTACAGGATAATACTCTGTCCAGACCTAAAATTTCAAATAAAATTTTTAAAAAATTTTGGTACTTGTGTAGTTTACACCCCACAAGCCCCGCCCCTTTGTCCTTTTTTCAGCTTCTTTATAGGAAAATGTTTATTAAAATATTGACCAAAATGGTCAATTTATAGAAGGAAGAGCGATAGAAAAGGCTGAAAGAAAAAGGGGCGGAGCTTATGGGGTGTAAACTACACAAGTACCAAAATTTTTAAAAACCATATGGGAAATCAATTTGTGTGGCTCAAGAATTGGACTGCTCCTAGGCAGAATTTTTTCACTAAAATTAAAAAGAAAAAATTTTTTTACTTTAAAAATTTATTCACGTATCCAATTTAGCCTGAATATTAAGTGTTCCAGCCAAAGCAAAATACCAATAAATAAGTACACCAAATAAAAGTAAAAACCCAAAAATTCTATTTGATATTATTTTACAATAAAATTTTAAAATCAAATTGAATAATGAATCGACCTAAAAAAATTTTTTTTCAATTTTTAAAAAATTTTTGGTAATAGTGCCGTCGGTGTGCATCATTTTATTATTCCTCAATTCCTTTTTATTGTCCGACTTGCTGTTAGTCACACTCCATGATGATAACTAGGGTTAGGGTTTTCGAAACGGGCCGACGTTCGAGACAATTTTTTCGTGTTCATTTTTAACGAACCAAGCCGATCGAGTCTTTTTCGGGCCAAAATTCGATGCCCGATGCTATCTTCAGACCGGACCAGGCTCCCAACCTTAGTGATAAGTACCAACCCTGCTTTTTAGAACCCATGGCTCTGGATTGTGTGTGTGTACCAAAACTCAGGGTAGTAAATTGCTCTATTCCCATATAGATTTCAGGTGAATATGTTAACATATTACAAATAGAAACAACACACACAAACCAAGCTATTACCAAATTTCATTTATAATTAAAAAAACCTCTTGTCTAATTTTATCCAAAAATGCAAATGTGTTATTCCCAGAATTGTCCATTCTTTCTTCAAAAATACTTGCAAAGTAAATAAGTGGGGCAAAAAGCATCAACTAAAAAATTAAAATTTAAGCAGGAAAATCAGAAAAAAATAAACCGTGTAAATATAAGCAAAACCAAGTGCAATAGCGGTGGCCAAACAAAAAAGTGAAATTTCTAAAAAAATAGGAAAAAATAAATGAACAACTACAACCCGAAGACCTATTGACCCTGAAGAACCACTACTTTTGAAAGGGAATATCAATGGATTTAGGTGATTGAAGGGGAAAAAGATCTCCACTTACCCAAAGTTATGGTACAGTCTAGAGATCAAACTTTTTGATAAGCCTGGGCCTGTTCCTGGGTTGTGGGTTTGATTTATTGACCTGGGCCGGATCCTGAGCCTGTAGTCCAGGAAAAACCCAGGCCCAGGAAAACCCCAGAGTCAAAAAATGCCTGGACCTGAACTCTGGGTACAGGAAAACCTCAAGCCTTGGTCCAGATCCAGCTCGATCTCTAGTACAGTCACATTAATGCATCACTGGTTCTAAATAGAGAAATGGATGGACCCCCCTTAATCCCCCGATATTCCCTTCCAAAAGTTGTAGGTCTTCAAGGATAGTCTCAAAAAACGAATAATTTTATTTATATAAACCTGGCGTTGGTGTCAATGCTCCAATCAAAAATGTAACAACATTTGTAAGAGTAGTAATAGTTATTGATGGACCAACTTCTTCAAAAATGATACCCAATCTTTCAGGAATCGGCAAATGCTTCCGAGCTGTTCTATTCCATGAATGGGCCATTAGAAAAGCATCATTGACTCCAATCCCACAAATTCTAAAAAAGAAAAAATTTTGGAAACTAAAAATGGGTACTTGTGTAGTTTACACCCCATAAGCCCCGCCTTTTTTTCTTTCAGCCTTTTCTATCGCTCTTCCTCCTATAAAATGACCATTTTGGTTAATATTTTAATAAACATTTTCTTATAAATAAGAGGAAAAAAGGACAAAGGGGCGGGGCTTATGGGGTGTAAACTACACAAGTACCCTAAAAATGTTGAAAGTTACAAGAATGGCATGATAAGAATGACAGAATTTGTCCGATAACCAGCGAGAGTACAAGCTCCAAATGTTGAAGTTATTGCGAGTACTGGACAGAGGGAAACGCTTCAAATGAAGAAAAAAATACTTTAGTTCAAGTTTTTGAAAAATCCAACCCTAAAGCTAATAAAGGTTTGGCTCTATCCATTACACCATAAAAGAAAGCACCAATAAGTAGTGTATAAATAACAAATGCAAACATAAAGAGAAAACCTGTTGAAGTTTTTAAGAAGAAAATCATGGCTCTTTCCCAGATTACGCGTACAATCACAACTTATACGCGGATCGGGCACGCCCGGTTAATTTTTGCCAATGGGCTCAAAATCGAGAAGAATAAAAAGTATTTGAGCCGATACAAGCAAAAATTAACCGCATCGCTTTGATTTTGCACATGCATCACCATAGTCTGGTAATGCATGTGCATATCTTTACATGTCCAATGGAAAGTTTATGCGTCCAACAAAAAATTTAGCGTCCAATTTATGCCGGTAAATACCCGTTTTTACGTACTAGAACCTATAGCCTGGTAATGCATGTGCACCATGAATTTGAGCGAGTAAAGCTTCCTATTCCCATAAATTTTATGATACTAAAATGCAGACTAAATACGCATCACTTTGATTGGACGCAAACTTTTCATTCGACATGGACGTGAAAAGGCGCAATTGGACGCGTAATCTGGACGAGAGCAAAAACAAATTTAAAAAATACCCATAATAAAATAGGGGACAGTCTTTTCCGCTTCTTTAGCCATTTCATAATCCACAATTTCTGATCCAAGCACCAACATTTCAATTAATGAATTATTAAACTGATTTTGACTAAATTCGTAAACACGCATCTCCCACCTTGCCATTTTTTCTTCATCCTTAGGGTGGGAAATGTCTGCTCTAAAGGTCATCATTATTGCCTAAATTTATTTTTTTACTTGTTAAGGAGTAATGAACTTCGTACCACCTTCTTTTTTCCCTCCACAAAGTGAAAAAATAACAGCCTTAAAATGTATTACCATCCTTCTCTATGGCTATAAGTACTCGGCGCCGCTTTTTAAAACGAATGCCAAAGTTGAGTGTAGGTACCACTATTTTTATTTGGAACAGGTTACCTTATTGCTATTAACTTACTCACATTGCCTCACCCAGAGCTCTGTTAACTAGTACAATAACGGAACATAGGTCCTATAAAACATAGCTGGGTACTTATCGCCACAGAGCAAGGATTTTAACAATGCCAAATTTTCATTTTGTGGAAGAAAAAAGGGGGTACTAAGTTCAATTTTACACAACCTCGATATGTTCAATATTGGTAAACGAAGAAAGTTGAGAAATCTCTGGGTCTTCTTTAATACGAGTTTCATTATTATTGCGAAGTCTAACACCTTTAAAAATTAAAATTTTAAGGAAAAAGAAATCAAAATAAACCATAGAAATTCCTTTCCAAGTGCAGATCAAAGCCATTTACCCTCGAAATTGGATAAGTGAGGTTAAGAGAATTGCTCGGCCGTTTTCCAGCATGAAGGCGCGTTAGTTGTGAATTAAGTGACTCCTTTAAAGAAAAGTTTAAAACAAGTTTTTCAAGCCAAAACCAAACATAGAAATAATTGATAGGCACATTTGCATCACAAAAAGGGCCGCAAATGTTGGAATAGTAGACAGACTTAAATAAAATTCTTAATTCTTAAGTGAGGAAAAAGCCCACGTAACGCGAACCCAATGTACTTCGTTCAAAATTAACGGATCCGTGACGCCCTGATAAGGTTTGATCAGCTTGTCCAGGTGTATCAAAGCATACAAGGGCTTCCCGGATTCAAAAACTTTTAATAAAGACATAGCTTGGCGGTACATTGGGATCGCAGTACGTTGGGGTGTACCCTTTAAAAGTGTCATAAAAATAGATAAACCTCTCCATCCAAATCGGCAGAAATATTTAGATGCAATAAAGAATGCAAATTGACTGAAGCGTTTAACCAACGCAATCTATGCATGCTACCACCATCCCGAGCTCTAAGCAGCACCGTTGTTAGAAGAGGATCGCCTGAATTTCAAGTTAAAAATGAAATTAATGGAGCTAATAAAAAACCTGTAGACCCCAGAAATTCTTTTAGAACATCGGTCTCATAACGAGACATTGAAGTTGTAGGTGTGTAACCATCTCTAACACGATCTTTTATTTCTAACCAGTAAATCCCAACTAAAATTGATTTAAAATTAATCTAAAAATAATACTAGAATCTACCAGAAAGCGAAGAAAGAATCAAAGAAGCAATTAGAAATGCCAGGGGGTAAACGCCGATTGAGTGACCAAGAAGTTTAAAGCCATTTTCAAGATTGAACTGCTCCCAAAAATTGAGAAATTTGACGAGTTTGGGGCCTGCAAATAAAAAAAATTTTAAATCAGATGACAGGCCAAGGGCGTAACCAGACTAGAGAGCCAAAGACAAAGGGCGTAACCCCAAGCCCCCTAACACGCCCTAGCGACAGACTCGAATTTTTGGTACTTTTGGATACCCCCCCCCCCAGTTCAAGTCTGTTATTCTTTACTTCTTCAAGCCTTCATTCTCCCTCAAGCACTATAGACGAAATGTAAGTGCAACCGTAAAAAAGATTAATGTTATCCCTTGACCAGATATAGTCGAAATAGGGAAAGGATATCTTATACAAGGCCCGTAGCCAGGGGGGTTGGAGGGGAATTCCCCCTCCTAAAACTTTACTGGTTACGAGCCTAAATGATACTCGAACTAGAGGAGGGCGAGATATAAAGAAGTACCGAATTTCTCGCAAATATAAACAATACCTTCTGGACTCCCAATTTCTGGAGGAGTATCAGTTTGATCACTGGAACCTTCCAACAATTTGGTATGCTGAACCTCCTGCTGAAATTATTTTCAAATTAAAATAAATTAAAAGAAAAATTGAAACCTTCGCCTCCGCCATATTTCTATTTCTCAGTCCTTTGACATTAACGAAGTTTAACCATCATAAGAACAGCACATATTTCAGGAATTATTCTAAAAACAAGTTTAACCTTGCCTTCTTGAAAATAATAAAATTAAAATGAATTAAAATAAACCTCTCAGAGGTCAGAAAAAAATCTTTTGAATTTCGGGTACACTCCAACGTACCGCAAGCCACACGTACCGCCGAGCTATAACTTCGTCCAAAATTGTCGAATCCGGATGCCCTGGTGTGGTTCGACTCGGCTCGTCGAAGTGCATCGAACATAACTCGGCGTCCTGGATCCGATAATTTTGAACGAAGTTATAGATCAGCGTACGTTGGTCACGCGATACGTTGGCCTGCTCCCTAAATTTTAAAAAATGAGCAAAAAATTTTATTAAAAATTAAAATTTAAAGAAATACTTCAAAATAAAAATAAATTTGACTGTTGACTGAAATAAAATATTCATTCCTTCCTCTCAAACATTCTCGTAGCTCGATTGGCACTTGCAAACGTACAATTAACAAATCCATTCCATTTTTTGACTAACGACAATTTTGCATCAGAAAAGGAGGGCATCTAAAATGAACGAAGTTGAATAGGTTCAGAAGGTTAATAATAAAGGGAAGGATACCGAATAGGATTCCGAACGAGATGAACCTAAAATCCTAAACGATCCCGAACGAACGGGTCCCGCAATCACGAGTTTAGGCAATAAATGGAATTACCGAGATTTACGAAATAATCTTGCGTCCCTTCCGTACAATCTCTGGTCATCTTCAGCTTCATTAGTCCTTAAATTAGAAAAAAATTGAAGGAATTTCGTCCTGGTCGAGTTCGTCTGAGATTCAAAATAGATTAAATATGAACTCAGATTCGGACACGGCACACCTCAAAAATAAGAGCCTCCTTGCTAATTTTTTCTAGGGACCAATGAAGTAGAAGATTAGCGGATCTCTTCCACCCGATATGAAAAAAATCTTGTTAAAAGACCCCTGGATTGCGATTTAACCAAACTCTATTAACAAAAACTGTTTGGGACAAAATGTCCAGTTTTCAGAAAAAAATTTAAAAAACAAACCTCTTCAAAATAAACAATAGTTCCAGGAATAACATCAGATTTTAAACGAGAATACAATGAAGCGCCTTTCTCCGCATTCGTTGACCTTACAAAATTAGGTATTGAACTCTTAAAAAATATTTTAAAAGTCATACCAAACTCCGCTGTCAACTGAAAGTTTTATTGGAAGAATAATTATAGCTGCACGTGTAGATTGCCTAAATTTAGAAAAATTTTCTTTGAAAAAAAAAAGAAAATACCTACTTGATTAAAGAACGCCAAAAATGCATTTGTGTCGGAAATTAAAATATGTTAAATATTTTAATCTAAAAAGGCTAAAATTATTTGCTTTATGCGGCACAAGGCGCGGCCACGCTAAATTTATTGGGACCCGGTTGGTCAATTTTGTAACTTCCTGATTTACGGACTCTCAAAAACTCCGTTCCCAACCGACCAGTTTGAATTTGGAACAAAAACATTTCATCGGAACACGCCCAAAACGGCGCGCGGCCATAACGGCGCAAAGCCATAACTAGTTGAAAAGAACCTGGATCTTAACAAATTTGCTACCAATCTCTTTAGCTCGATGAGAGGAATCGTTTAATACTAAATTTGGTAAGATTCGGGCAACTTGAAGCAAGTTATGGCTTTGCGCCTAATTGGCCGCGCGCCTACTCGGGACGCACCCATTTCATCAACAAAGTTAGAGAAATTAAAGGAAATATTAGAGTAGTTAAAGAAAAATATAAATATGTGTTTATGGTCTGTTCAGTGCTATGTTAAGAGTGAACAAAAAGCGATTTTTCGAAGCAACACATTCGAAATTTTTAAAAAAATTTTAATTATAAAAAATTTTATATCTTTAAAATAAATGCAATAATATACAATTTGGAACTATTTTACATTTTCGGATTTAAAAAAGCGAAATATAGTAAAAGGGATTAATCACAAAATATTAAATAGGCAAGGATTGTATTTACATATTTACAAAATATTTATAAATTGATCAACTCTGATAAAAGGTCTGAGGGATATTAATGTTAGGGGATCGATCCGGAAGACCTACACCCTGAAGACCTGTTGGTATCCCCCTTATCCCTCATCCCGACAGGGCCCTATTTCAATTGTCCACAGATTCTGCGGTCTGCGTTCTGTGCACAGACCACAGAACCACAGAAATTCTGTTTCAATTATTCCACAGATTCTGCGGAAAAAGAAGTCCGCAGATTCTGTGGAAACATGCACAGAATCTGTGGAAACATCCACAGATTCTGCAAAACATCCAAAAACATGCAAAAACCACAGAATTCTATTTCAATTATTTTTCTGTGCACAGAAAAAAATCCACAGATCTGTGGCTTTTTTAGTCGATTCTGTGCATTTCTGTTTCAATTATTTCTGTGGTCTGCGGAAAATACACAGAATTCTTTAAAAAATCCACCCTAAAATTTTTTCTGCGAACTTTCTGTGGAAAAACTTTAACAATTTTTTTCTAGGCCTAGGCTTAACCAAATTTCAAAATTTTTAAAGATTATTAAAGTTTGAATCATTCTCTATTTTTTGATATAAAAATTATAATTTTATTACCTAAAATTATTGCTTAAAATTAATTTTGAAAAAGGTACATCTTTTTTACGCAGTTTTTGTTATATTCAAGCAATAAAAAAATAAAAAACGTGAGAGATTCTGAAATTTAGAGCTATGATGTTCTAATCATCATGGATATCTCTAATGAGGGGATGTTTACCAGGATCTATAGAAGATATCTGTATAGCGTATACTGGGATATCTCCCATGATCTCTCATTGATATCCGTCATAATCTCTCCTCCTATTTAATGATAGATTTCCTCCTTAATCACTCCAATATATTAAACCTCAAAATCAATGGATATCCCACTTAATCACTCCTCTACGATTTTAAAGTTCCGATTTGACTATAATTTTGGATTCCAGGCATTTTCGATTTCCAGTAACCTCAATTTCTGACTAAACAATCCCCAGTTTTGTAACATTTCCCTCCCTTGCAACAACTTCTATCGTAGTTTGAAAAAGCCACATGTCGGATCGACATCTCCTGATTTTTCCGATCCGAACCCTGCTTTAGGACATTAATTTAATTGGAGATTTAAGGATATTGGATGAACAAGAAAATTAAGCGGTATATCAGCGGTTTTAAAGTGATATCAAAGAGATTTAAAGGGATGTTATGTGATTTGGAGGGAAAATTTTTAAATCTTTACAATATTTTTCAGTTTAATTTAAGAATTTTTAAAGTTTTACTTCAAAAAATCAGGTACCATTAATACTGCGGTAGTACCGAACTGTCCAAACCATTTTTCGTTTCAATAAAACTGTTATTTTCAAAAACGCGGAAATAAAAAATTTGAATTTAGAAGAAAAAATACACAGAACCACAGAAAAATAATTGAAATACAAATTCTGTGGATCAGTGGAAAAAATCCACAGATTTTTATATTTTCCACAGAAATTTTCATCCACAGAATCTGCGGAATGTTTCCACAGAATCATTGGATGTTTCCGCAGAATCTGCGGGCACCACAGATTCTGTGCACACAGAATTTAATTGAAACAGAATTTCCACAGAATCTGTGTTCTGTGCACAGAATGCAGAATCTGTGGACAATTGAAATAGGCCCCAGATCTCCTGATATCCACGACATCCATCCAAATCTTCCGATAAGTCTAATTGATATCACACTACCCACAGATATCCCCATTAAGCCCTCTAATCCCGCCAAATCTCCTGATATCCACGATATCCCTCCAAATCTTCCTATATACTCCTTTTTCCGCCCAAATCCCTCACCATCCCCTTTAATCCCTCCAGATCCCCACGATTAAGCAGTTAAAGAAACTGATCCCCATTAATCTCTCTTAACCCAGCCAAATCTCCCGATATCCATGATATCTCTCCAAATCTTCCGATATACCCCTCGATCCGCAAAATCCCTTGTTATCCCCCTTAATCCCTCAGATCCCCAAGATTAAACTTAAAGGAAAAAAAATGGTGTTGATCGAAAGGTTGTGGGTCTTCGAAGTGTATGACTTCAGGAGGTGGACTCAATTTTAGAGTTGAACTTTTCAAAATGAGAAAAAAATATACAAAATATATACCAAAATATAAAAATTTTTAAAATTATGTTGATAAGGCTGTCTCGTCAGTTACACAAAGCAATAATTTTTGCGCTGATCTTGTCATTTCAACTAAAATTAAAAAATATAAAGGACTTATAGGGGTTCAATTGTTTTTGGTGCCTTCGAAAAAGCTCGAAAAACTGAAACGAATGAGGTGAGTAGGGTTGGGGGCCCGATCTGGTCCGGTCCGAAAGTCGAGTCGAGCATCAAATTTTGACCCGAAAAAGACTCGGTCGAGCCGGCCCGATAAAAATGAAGCCCAAAAAATGACTCGAACGTCGGCCCGACTCGAAACCCCCAACCCTAGAGGTGAGGATGAAACACTCCAACATCTCGGGACCGAGTTACTGATCAAAGGTATGTCTGTGTAAGTCGATACAAAAACATAAGATTTTTCTATTAAATTGGGAAATTAAAAATATGCCCCTCAAAAATCCCTCTATCATCAGATTAACTCAAGTAAAATCCCTAAAAATCCCACAAAATAAAAATAAAAACTTACTCCAAGGTCTATAAAATAATTGAGGTTTGCAATGCCATCTAACAAACAAAAAGTAGAATGGAATTCCTGAAGCTATAATTCCAATAGCTACTATTAATTCGGTTGGTTGAATGAGTAAAGGCACAAACAAAATATACAAACATATTAAAAAGAATATTACTGGGACGAACAGTGGGAACTTTAAAAATAAATATTGAAGATGTTACATTCTCTTAAAATTTTTGGTACCGTTATACACCCGCAAAAATTTAGCTGTACTTTATCTGTTGATATAATTAAGTCGAGCTGATTTTAGTGTCAGCCGACATTCTGCCAGCTCGACGAGCTCTTTCTCAAATGAGCTTATATATTATTGAATTTCTGACCAAAATAAATGAGCTTGGATCTCCTATGGTTTCTCTATTTTTGAGTACATTAAACCAAAAAAAATATGTAAAAATCCCACAAAGTCCACAGGATTTTCCGATCATAGAAAGTGATACCGTTCGACTTATTATTAGATCGACAAGACAAATCGAAGGATACATGAATTGAAAGAATTTGGAACCGGCCACTGGCTAAAATACAGCCAAAGAATTTGCGGGCCTATAACGGGAAAATACCATATTCTTAATTTGAAAATTATTTTTCACTCAAAAAAAAATTTTCAGTCAAAAAAAAAGAATTTTTTTCAGTCAAAAGAAATTTTCCCTCCTATTATAAAAAATAATAAACCTGAATAATATTTTCATTGCTTTCCAAGTTATCACCTTCTGTCTCCTTTTTCTTTGATCTAGCATCTTGAAGTCTTAGTCTAATTAATCCAGCAACAGCACAAGTAATTACAGAAGACTCAGCAAATGCCAAATAATTTATTAAAACGTCTTTAAAAATTTTTTTAAAAAAAAATTTCAAAAAACTCACAAACATCAGCAAAAGCCAGCATAGCAATTGAAGAAGCACCCAAAAATATAAGTGAAGGTGTTGGTGTTAAACAGTCTATATTAATCATTGCTAATAATTCTGGTAATAGTCCATCACGAGCACCAGCAAAAAACATTCGGGAAGAAGTGAAAATTATCTTTAAGAAAATTTTTTTAGTGGCACATGATAAAAAGTCATCGCCAGCTCCCCTTAAGGCTTTAATGTACATTAGCTTGTCTTTGTAACATCTACCCATTTTATAAGGATGGGATTTCGTAGTAGAGGCCAGGGATGCCACGGGTTACCCGAAATCCGAGCCAAAAAATTTTACAAACCCAAACACAACATTTTTCCTCATAATCCCTCTGACCCGAAACCGGAATTTTTTATACCCGAAAACCAAACCCACATATGACATTTTCCTCTTTATATCCCTCCCGACCCGAACCCCAAACCTTTTCCCGGCGCGAAATCCGATCCGAAGAAAATTTTGAAGACCCGTCCCGACTTTGTTCTCAACCCGTGAGATCCCTGTTACTAAGGGAATTTAGCAAAAGTCAGGAAAAAATGAGGGAAAGACCGCGAGAAAGTCCGGGGATCCTCTACAAAATCCCCGGACATCGTTCTTGTTTTAAAAAATAAAAAAATTAACCCCATTAAGGCTTCCAACACATGAACAAGCAACAAAGAAAGGAACAAGTACAGCTAAAGGGCCTAAGACACGAGCTGCAAAAGTAACCGCCACAGCATCAGATTCCAAAATTTCATGGGAAGATAAAGCAGAGAAATAGGCCATATTGACGAGAATATACTAAAAATTAAAAAAATTAAATTTAAAATTTTTCAAAGCTTACAATTAAAGTAACAGTTGGAAGAGAAATATAAATTGCTCGAGGCAAATTTCTAAAAAAATAAAAATTTTTAGAAACCTTGAAAAAATTTTTGGCGCTGGTCTAGTTTATGCTTCCAATGAACTTTTATGCGTCCAATCAACAAAAAATGGATTTTTCTTGGTGTTTCAAAGTTGGGGTATGGTTCCAAAACATTTCTTCATGCTTCAGAGATTTAGGGGGATAGGGTAAGGAATGGTCCCAGACCCAGTGGACGTAGGTCCCGAACAGACCTGGGCGAAACTCGAAAATTTTTTCAGACGAAACGAAACGAAACAAAATTTTTTAAAAATCGTTTCGTTAACGAAACGAGACGAAACAGTAAAAATTTAGCGAAACGAAACGAAACAAAACGAAACATTTTAATTTTCAAAAAATTTAATAAAAATGGTTTTATTTTCTTAATTATTCGATTTTAGACACGTTATTAGGCCAGTTATGGCCTATAATTGATCTAATAGCTTAGTGGGACCTTAAATTGTGGTCCCAGGCTCGAATTATGTGTTGAGTATATGTGTATATGTATATCAGGGACCTGCCGACCCGTTTCCTGATTCCCTAAAATAGGGAATTAACTTTGTCGGAAATTACTATCGCCTAAACCCGTTCCTGATTCCCGGCATTTTTTTAAATTTTTTAAACCCTCCAAATCCACCGATATCCGTTTACTCTCTCCAAATTTCCTATACCACCATTGCTCCCGCCAAATCCAATGATATTTCTCAACTCAGATTTTTTTACTGATAACAACGTTCATGATTAGGGTTGCCAAAATGGTCCTACTCGGACCAAAATATCGAGTCGAGCCTAAGATATTTGGCCCGAAAAGTCTCGTACTGGCCCGACTCGATAGAAACAGGCCCGAAAAAAGGCAACCATATTCATGATCATTGCCATCAGTTGCGTTTTCGTTTATTGAAACTAAACTTTATTGAAACTCTTGCGCCTGCCCTGATTGGCATTAAGAGGTACATCGATTCTATATGCCTAATCTAGCATAGAATTCGAGCTTTGCATATTAAAAAAATAAAATCAAACGAGAAATTCAAAAAAAATATAGTAAATTATGCGCCGTAGGCGCTTAAAATCCAGATTTCAGCGCCGCAGGCAAAAATTTTTTGAATTTTGATCACCAAAGGGGAAAATTTTACAGTTTTTGGGTAATATTTTGGTCTAAAAAATGGGTAATGTTTCGTTAACGAAACGAAACGAAACAAACTAAAAAGTGTTTCGTCACGAAACGAGACGAAACAGGAAAAAACATAACGAAACTAACGAAACAACGAAACGAAACGTTTCGCCCACGTCTGGTCCCGAACATGAAGAAAAGTTTTGGAACTATACCCCAACTTGCAACACCATGAAAAAACCAATTTTTTGTTGATTGAACGCATAACTAGACCAACGCCAAATTTTTACTTGTGCGGTTCTCGAATTTCTTCTGTCACAAAATTAAGATAATTCCATCCAGAAAAGCTAAACACCCCAGAATAGAAAGCCAATGCCAAGTGAACTGGAGAAAAATTGGAATCTTCAAGTAAAGTTTCTTGGTTAAGAGTTTCTGATTTTCCTAAAGAAAAATAATTTTTGTCTAAAATAATGGAAATTTACCTAAAATAACATTTACCAAACCAGCAACAACAATTAAAGCTAAAGCAACAATTTTTGTAATAGTTGACCAATCCTGAGTTCGAGTAGACCACCTTACGTTGGCACAATTGACAAAGGTTAGAAGGACTTTAAAAAGAAATTTTTTCAAATCTTATTGAAAAAAATCAAGGGCGTAGCCAGGAGGGATGGGGCCCACCCCAACCCCCGAAATGGAGGAAAATGAAAGAAATTTGGGAGGAGAATGATAAAAAAAAGTGATAAAAGCTTCGAAAATTATCAGGATTTTCGTCTGTGTACGTACAAAAAATTCGCTTTGAAACACCAAAGTAGCTTCGGAACGCCAAATGGCGCACCCCCTATTTAGACCCCCTGAAATCGATCCACTGGCAACGCCCTCAAAAAATTTTCTAACCTATAATAGCAGCTGCAATTATTCTAACTGGAGTCTCAGGCACTGGACAGGCAGGGAAAAACGGTTTGAGAACATATTGAGCAAAAGTTAAGGCAATTACAGCGTTTGACGTTGGATTGACTATAAGAAGTGCAATCCAAAGGAAGAGAAAAGCAGGTAGAGGGCCGAATGCCTTTTGGAAAAAATTTTTTTAATTTTTATTTTTAAAAAATCTTTAAAAAACCTCAGAAATATAAACATAATCTCCTCCACTTTTAGGTATCCTTGTCCCCAATTCTGCGTAGCAAAGTGCACCAAGCATTGAAAATAGTCCACAGCCTGTCCATAAGGCAATTGAAAGGAGTGGGCTGCCGGCATGGATTAAAACACCTTTTGGGCTGATAAAAATGCCAGAACCGATAATAACACCAATTATGATTGCGCAGCCGTTGAAGAGGCCTAAAAACGAAAAAAATTCTTGAAAAACCCCCCAAAAAATTTTAACCTAATTTTGGCCTTAAACGAATTTGTTGTCTTTCTTGTGAAATTCCCCCATTCGAATTTTTCTTTCCAAATCCATTTGTTTGAGGAGTTAATGCTTCTTTCTCTGACGGCACAGAAATTCTTTCTTTTGGGCCATTGCCGGGCATTTTAATTTATTTCTAAGATAGAAAATTTTTCAAAAAAATTTAGAAATTGGGAGGGGGCATAGCTAAATTGGGAGGGGGCAGCCTATACACAGAAGACCTATACTTTTGAAAGGGAATGAGATTTAGAAGGATTAAGAGGGATAAGTACCCACTTTATTTAGTTAAATACCCAGTTCTGTATTGTCCAGTATTGTGAGGTGTACCTTAACTTAGGGCGAGTAGAGATCTCAATCCACCTCAAAAACACCAAATCCATCGGTATCTCCTTAATCCCTACAAATCCCTCAATATTCCCTTACGAAAATTTTAGGTCTTTAGGGTCAGTAGGTCTTCGGGGAGTAGGTCTTCAAGTGTGGACTCATCGAGAGTATTTTAAAAAATCTATACTTTAAAATAAATTAAAGAAAAAACCAGGTTTTTTCAAGGTTAAAATTGTTAAAACACACAAAATTTATATCAATTTATTTGATAAAAAGATCTCGCCTAATTAAACTAATTGATTATTAAATTTTACGGAAATGAGAGTAAAACGTAAGATACAAAAGGACAAATATTTTTTTAAAATTTGTCCATAGATGTTTGGGTAAATAAAAATTAGAATAGGGGCACGTGGGTGTGTTAAAATAACAAAAAATAAAAATAGAAAGTACATTGTTATTAATAGGAATAATTAATAACGAGGGGTGGGAAAAACATGCAAATTTGTGTTTTGACGATATGACATGATGAGAGAAGCTCTTAAATTGGTTGTAGGTCTTCAGGGTCAATTTTTAGGGCCAACTTCAGGCTCAACTTTAGTGCTCTTTTGCCTTCCGGTAGGTTTTTACCTTCATATATGTAGATCAAAGAGCTGTATGGAGGGAGCCATAGCTTTGTAAAAAGCGATGATGGCTTCCAGCTCTTGAAAGGTCGTTTCCTTGCCTACTATCTTGGTGTAAGAGTTGGGCCATCTGCGCATAAGAAGTATCATAGCCGTGACCTTGGTGGGCCCTGATCTTGGTCTATGCTTGGACTTTTTATGCGCATATGTAGCGAATTTTGGGGCATATTTTTCTCAGCCCTATTAATAACACATTAGAATAAATATTAATTTTTTAGCCTAGAAATCATTAAAGAGAGGAAATCCCCCCACACCACGCGGTGGCCGAGTGATATTTTATTTTCCCAAATTTTCAGTCAATTTCCCACACATAAAAGTCTGTCACGAGAAATTAGTCGATTAAGCAGTGGTGGCAATAAAAAAAAGTAAATTTTATAAAAGATGGCGGGAATCGAAAGTTGAAGAAAAAAAGGTTTTTTTTTCAGAAAAAGGGGGTTTTTTGGCCTTTTCTCGCAATCATTTCCCCCCATTAATTTTGAGTTTAATCGCACTTTTTTTAAAAGATCGATTTGTTGCGGAAAAGAGAAATAAATCTAAAGACACAAAATTTATTAGTTTTAAATTAGGATGGGAAAATTTTGAAACAAAATAAAAATTTGGTACTTTTCTGTTATATGTCCCGCAAGATTTTTTCAGCGAGGACTTTGTTCAGAATCACCGAATCACGTTGATTTTAGTGTCATTCGACTCATAACATCGAGCCCTTTCGAATAAGCTGTCTGTCATTTGGAATATATCGAATTTTTGACCCTTTAAATTAAGCTATGCCCCCCTGTACACATCTGACCATTATGAACTCCTAACTTGGTTTATAATTAAGATCGGAGCTTAATTTTGGTGTCAATCGACCTATATCTCAGTCAGAGGCACTTATCAAAGAAATACCATGACTTACACCGACGAATCGAAAGATATAACTCGTAAGGCTTTGGAACCGACCACTGGCTAAAGTACAGCCAAAGAATTTGCGGGCGTATAACAGAGAAGTACCAAATTTAAAAAATAGTAAAAATTAAAAAAAGATGCCACTATAAGAAGATTATAAAATAAATAACATTTTTGCACATTTAAAGCGGATTAACTTTTTTTAGATGATAAAAACGTAAAGAAACTGGTGATTTTAAAGAAACTGGTGAAAAATAGGCAGAAAAAACAATTTAAAAAAAGCTTTCAAATTATAAAAATAATTATAGGTATTTTTATTTTTTATCCAAGAAAATAAGGAAATCTCGCAAGGGTACTTTATGGATATATCACCCCCCCTCCTATTTTGAGTCTCAGAATTTTCCTTAAACGTAGAAAATGGTCACAGATTATTTTCTTCTCCATGTCAATCATTTTTCTTTCTTCAAGCAAATGTATAAACGAAATGACTGAAATGTAAGTACAAAATATGTGAAAAGGCAAAATAAACAAGCAAAATACTTGAAGAAGAAAAAAATGATTGACATGGAGAAGAAAATAATATCTGACCATTTTCTACGTTTAAGGAAAACTCTGAGACTCAAAATAGGAGGGGGGGTGACATATCCATAAAGTACCCTCGCAAGAATAAAATAAAAAATATTAAAAAAATATATAAGCCTGATGCAATAAAATTGGCATAGGAAATCAGCAGACAATAAGTATAATTTTTAATTTGCTCATCATTAATAGATCATATGTTTTTTTAAACATTAGAGATTGAAATTTAAAAAAAAAATTATTAATAAAATAATTTTTATAGAAGTGAAAGGGGTAAAAGGGGAAGGGAAGGGAGGGGGTGAAAGGGAAGGTGAAAGTGGGTACACCCCACCTACCGCGAGCCCAACCTACCGCCGAGGCTATAACTTCGTTCAAAATTGTCGAATCTGAGACAACTTAGTATGGCTGGATTCAGCTCGTCGAGGCGTATCGAACCATACCAAGGCGTTCCGGATTCGACAATTCTGAACAAAGTTATAGCCTCGGCAGTAGGTTGGGCTCGCGGTAGATTGGCCTGTTCCCTGTGAAAGTGGAGAGGAAAAATAGGCAGAAAAAAATAAATAATAAAATTTTATATAATTTTGTGTTATGGAAAAACGATTATTGGTCGCCTTTCTGCAAAAATAAAATTTATAATAATAAAATTGTAGTATAATTCAAGTTTGTGAAGATGGAAAACTTAATTGCAACCAAAAAATAAAAAGGAACCAATAATTAAAAACGCAAAGGGAATTCAAAAATTTGAAGGGAAAAAAGGAAATAAAATTTTATTTATTTTTATTACAAAAGAGGAAAAAATACAGAAAAGACAAGTAGACTGTACAAATATTTGAAACAACTATTCAAACCCAAATCTATATCCCTCAGACGGGGCCCAAAAAGACGCGCGGCCATAACTTGCTGGAAAATTTCTGGTCCTTATCAATTCTGGTGTGCCAACTTTTTAGCTCGATGAGGATCGTTTAATACTAAATTTGGTAAGATTCAGAAATCTTGAAGCAAGTTATGACTTTGCGCCGTTATGGCCGAGCGCCCTATAAGGCTGTACCCTCCTCAGACAGGAAATAAAGACTGTCTAGAATAGCTCTCAACAAAAAAGGAAAATCTTTCAAAATTTTCTAGTTTGTACAAAATTTTTTTGGATTCCTGCCATAGAGAAGAAAGACTTTATTGGAAGCTAGCCAACTGGCGTCAACTCTCCTTATTTTTCTTTTGAAATTTGGCAAATGAGAAAAAGGAAAAGAGCTGCATTAGAAATGCAGCTGGCAGAAAAATAAGAGAAAAATAAAAAATAGAAGGAAAGCAAAAAGTGTTTTGAAAGCCTAAGCGGATTTAAACTTTAGCGGAAGAAATCCGCAAGTTGAAAAAAAGGAGTGGCAGAATGAGAAACAAAAGATGTGTTTTTATGTATGGCCAACAACGCAGACAACAGCGTGAGTAAGCGTATGGCCAACGACACCACTTTTTTTAGTTTAATCTTAGCCTAAGTACACAAGTCCATTAAATGCACTGTTCGGGGATAAGCCAAGATGATACGTAGTTAAAGGAATATCGCCTACAACGATACGAGATAACTACCAGGTATGCCCCCGCACCTTAAAAAGTAGAAGTGGAAGGCGTAACGCCTAAGGGTAGAAAAGCGATATTCCAGGAAACAGAAGAGGAAAAATCTGCGGAAGCAGAAAACAGCCCCAGAGGGCATACCAGTCCGAGCGGGAATACGACGGTCAAAAGGGCATACATGAAGCAGAGGGCATAACTGTAAGAACCCTTTGTCCCTACAAAGAACCCCCATTATCCTTTGGGCTCCGATTGCCGTCTTTATTGAGCAGCAAAAATTAAAATAATTATTAACGATCATTAAGAGCGATGGATTTCTGTTATGGTTTCAATTTAAAATAAGAACCCATAAAAATTTGAATAAAAATAAATGGCAGCTGCTTACTAAATGCTGCTTTAATGCCTTATTTTATGTATTTTTCTATAAATAAAGGCCATTCTTGGCAGTTAGCCATTGTGTAAATAAAGGAAGAAAGGGAAGGAACGTCATGTGAGGAGGCTGGAAATTGAGAGAATTATTGATAGAGAATTGGGAAAATAAAATTCTGCGCATAGAAAGATTTGAAAAAAGAAAGGACAAAAAAATTTTAAAAATAACAATGAGATCCCAACAAAAATAATTTTAAAAATATCCAGCAAAAATTTCATGACGCTATTAATAACTCTCCAATGTAAGGGCGTGGCAGAATTTTTTTGTCTGACAGCTGACGGTTTTTTCTGACGCGGGATAAAAATAGATGTGGAAGAGGCGACAAAAAAAGAAAGAGATGTGGTGCTAAAAACAACAAAAAAATTTTTGCTAAAGTGCGAACAAAACAGAAAAAATTTGGGGGAAGAAAGTATATAGGTAAATATTTTTGGAAGAAAAAAAAGTGTAAAGGAATGTTGGAATGATTAGAAAATAGACAAAAAATAACTCGGGAAAAAAAATGAATCAAACTATCAAAAGGAAAGGAAATGGATATTATGAGATAAATTCCATGGATTCCAAAAGATGGAAAAGACCAAAATATAATGTAAAAATATTATAGTTTTTGATAAATTGAAAAAGAAAAGTGGAAAGGATAGGAGGACTTTGATCTCACAAATAGGTAGTAGGGTTGTCGGTTCGGAACCGAACCGAAGAATCGATGAACATTTTCGGTTCGGTTTCGGATATCCAAAAATTTGTTAGGCACGGGTCTAGATACGCGATCTACTCACAAATAATTAAAACAAAATCTGTGTCCTTATAGAAGCCAGACAAATAGAAACGGACATATGGGATATTTCAATGTCGAACCTACGGCCACTGGGTAGGAAGTATTGTCGATTCTGGCAAGACCGAATTTTGTCCGGACTGAGTTTTGGACTCCCAAAAACCCAAAAAAAACTTGGAAGACCGACTTTTGCCCCTCCCTCTTGGTTTAGAAACGGCATAAACATACAAGTTATTCTATTCTGTCACCGCAATCCCGAAATGTCCGTCCCGATATGTCTCCCTACCCCTTATAACTAATATTTAAACAAAAAAATCATACCAAACCTTGTGTTTCCATCACATTTCCGATCTTTAACAGCTTATTTTAATTTTTTCAGCCAATGCATCACATCACAAAATTGATCACCGTTATCTGATGTACTTTACACATTTTATACAAGTTAGTGTCTGTAAAAAATATAAAAAGAATTAAAAATTAAAAAAAGTAACGGGGAAAGCCGTGTTAAGGGCAACCCAGAAAACCAAAAAAGAAAGCTTAATGGAACTTTTTTTTACATATTTTTATCAAAAATAAAACTTAAAAACAAAAATTTTAACATGAAAATTTTAAAATACCCACAAATTGAGTGCCAGCCAAATTTGATCGGCTATAGCTTTTTGACACTTGATCCAATATGACTGAATCTTATATCATTCGAAAGTCCTCGATAAGCTGTATTTTTTCCCTATTTGTTAAATTAGGTCTGTTCCCTCGTTAAAAAGTTATAACCCGATAAATGTGAAAAATAAAAAAATAACTGGACTTATCAGGTTATAATTTTTAATGAGTGATCAGACCTGATCTACAAGGGCATAGCCAGGGAGTCTGGGGCCAGGCCCGTAGCCAGGATTTTTTTTCGGGGGGGGGGGGGGGGGGGGGAAATTTTTTGCGCCAAATTTTTGGCGCCGAAGGCGCCAAAAATTTTTATTTTCAGCGCCGCAGGCGAAAATTTTGAGAATTTTATAAGGCCGTAGGCCAAAAAAATTCAATTTTTCGGCGCCGCAGGCGCCAAAAATTTGATTTTCAGCGCCGCAGGCGAAAATTTTTTGAATTTTGGACCTCAAGAAGCTAGATTTCTTCCTTTTTTAGCGCCGCAGGCGAAAATTTTTTAAATTTCAGAGGCCGTAGGCCAAAAAAATTCACTTTTTTTGCCCCAGCCCTTCCCCAAATTTTTTCCTTTTTCCCATTTCGGGGGGGGGAATTCCCCCCCTCACCCCCCCCTGGCTACGGGCCTGTCTGGGGCTATAAGCCCTCTCCTGAAATGGGGAAAAGGGAAAGATATTGGGAGAAAGATGATAGGCGGCTCTGAAAAAATAAAAATGTGAACAAAAAAAAGCGTTCAAAACGCCAAAATAAACGCCAAAATTTTGGCGCACACCCCCCACCTAGCCCCCTGAAATCGACCCCTTAGCTATGCTCTTGTTGATTTCTTTCGAATCATATAGGATTTATTTGAATTGAATCAAGCCCATGAAATTCATAGCCGATCAAAGTCGTCTGGCACTCAATTTGAGGGCGTATAACGGATAAAGTACCAAAAAAATTATCACCTAAATCCAACAATAGTTTTAACATCTTCTAACGTTTTGGTAACAATCTGTCTAGCTCGTTTTCCTCCATTCTCTAAAACTTCCCAAAGAGTGCTTTCATCACTTAATAATTGGTGGTATGTTCCACGTATTGGTTCTAGATGCTCACTAAAATTTAAGAATTTTCCGTTTAATTTTTAAATAAAAATATACTTTATGATGGAGGCCAGTCGAAGTTTAAACGAGAGTGTATTCAATCCACTACAGTCCTCGACAACTTGATCTGTACTAATCCCTGCGAATTCTCCATACAGCGTTATCTAAAAAACAAATTGGAGGATGTGATTTGTAACAAAATTAAGTCGATAGTCATACGCTTAGATAAAAAACGCTGGCGTCTAGCGGAAAACGCCGGAGGAAAAAACGCTGCCGGAAAACGCTAATAATTACTTACATAAAAACAGCGTCTTCCGCAACACGTCTTCCCGCTAGGCGGAAAACGCTGTTTTTATGTAAGCACAAGACAGCGTCTTCCGTCACCGTTTTCTCCGCAAACGTTTTCCGCTAGACGCCAGCGTTTTTTATGTAAGCGTAGCATAACAGGGGAACATCCCAAACTGCGAGTCAAAATTTTGTATATTTTTTGGTACATATCAAGCGATAAAGCATCATCGATTTACTATAGAAAATCTTCGGCTTTTTGGCTAGGAATATAAAGTTAAAAAGTCACGGGGCCTCAACGTTCACAAAAATGGGGGAGAAAAGGAACGCAAGAGCAAGGTAAACCCGAACCCGGAGAAAATTCTAAAACCCGACCCTAAATCCAACCAGGCATTTTCTCAACCCGAACGCGAAGAAAACTTTGAAAACCAACCCGAACCCCAGACTTTTTTCTCACCCCAGCCCATCGATTAGTACCAAAAAATACAAAAATTTGACTCACAACTCGAAAAGTTCCCTTGTAAGTCCAATGCCTAAAGTAAAAAAAGAAACCAAATTGCTGACAGCAGGCCTGTCTTCTGGATCAAAAGTAATTTCTGGATTGAAGTCACTCAGCGCTGATTTTATTTTCTCGATAACCACTTCATTAGAATCCACAAGACTGATAAATGATTTAATTTTAGGATCAGATTTGCTCATTTTAATCATTGGATCACACAGACTTTTGATTTTTGGACAAGAAGTATGCACCTGAAAAACAAAATTTTAATTAAAACGTTCTCTAATCGATAACCCGTTGAGGAATTGAAAAATATTCTGCGCCCGTTTTACTGTTGAAAGACCGCGTTATCTCTTTAAGCAACTCCAAATGCTGTATTTGATCACTCCCAACAAGAACATGAGAAGAATGGTAACCTAGCACATCGGCTGCTTGCAAAAGAGGATATGTGGCTAGCCCGACTGGGACAGCCTTCAAGCTAAAAAAGCTGTCAAAAAATAAAAATAAGTGAAAAAATAACCTTTTTGATTTGTCTTTAAATTGACTGAGGCCAGTAAGTGAAGGCTAAAAAATTAAAGTTAGTGAAAAAAATAGGTAAAGGATGCTTTTACTGGTCCCGAGAAAAAAATGAGGAGGAAGGGCTCTTTTGAAATTTTTGATGATTGCCAGTAGAAAATCGAGTTCGAACTCATATTCGAATTTATTGTTAGTCAGTGGTGCCCAAGATTTTTGAAAAGTCTGGGCCTGTTCCTGGGTTTGATTTATTAACCTGGGCCGGATCCTGGGCCTGTAGTAGTTCAGGAAAAACCCAGGCCCAGGAAAAACCCAGGGAGGTCAAAAAATGCGTGGGCCTGGACTCTGGATACAAAAAAACACAGGCTTTGGTCCAGACTCAGACCGATCACTATTAGTCAGCACACTCGATTGTCCACTGGAAAACCTCAAAATTTTCAAGAGCCTTTGTTCCCAATTTTTTCTCGTGACCAGTAAAAGCCACCTTCACCAAAAAATATTAAAAAACCAAAGTAGTTGCAGTTCCCAATATCCACATCAATTCGGTAAGTTCAGGCACTCTGCTTTGTTGAACTATTATCGTTCTGAAGGGATCAACACCAGTGGAAAGAAGAATAGCCAATGTTTGACAAATATGCTCCCTAAGCTTGAATATAAATTTGAATGAAATTATAAGATTGAAAAATCGGTAATATTGAAGTATAACAACCCCTTTTGGAGAAGAAGACTTCCTACAATTTGACAAAATGTCTGAGGGAAATTTTTTCGTTAATATGTACATAATGGTCTGATTTTCTTCCTTCCTGTCTCTTTGAGTATGTCGCGGGGAAAAAGTAAAATTGAAAATCGTAATAAAATCTGACCCATATATACATCCGAGGGCGTGACCAAAGAGTCGATTTCAGGGAGGGCTAACATTGGGTGTGCGACAAAATCTTGGCGTTCCGAACACAATTTTTTGTGCATACATATTTATTCTTTTAGCGCCGCAGGCGAAAATTTTGAGAATCTTGAACCCCAACCCCATGGATACGCCATTGTGTACATCTAAAGGTAAAAACTTGGAAAAAGAAGGATCAAACCTCACCATTACCAAAAAATCAAAGAAAAATCAAACCTTTCTAGATGGCACAAAACCCGTAGAAATAGCATGCAAGTCAGCAATTTTTAATATCCGGCGATCGTAATCTTCACTCTAAACAAAACGTAAAGAAAAAATAATTTAGAAAACAAGTACTTCCTGCAATTTGACAAAATGCCTGAGGAAACCCTGCAAAAATTTTGTATAATGAATAATAAAAAAATAAATAAACCAAATAATTTCCAATGTGCATTGTTCCAGTCGGTTGTATTCCTGACATTAAAACTTTTGTAGCCATTAATAAAATTAAGAAAGAATTCCAAAATTAAAAATTTTTCTAAAAACATTGAAAACTTTTAAAAATCCCTCATTGACCATTTTGTAACATATCTCACTACGTACCCTTTTCACACTGACATTTTGTCGAGGGTCACTTTGTCGCGACAAAATGTCCCGCGTAAAAATGGAGGCCCAAACCGGCGCGCGGCCATAACGGCGCAAAGTCATAACTTGCTGGAAAATATCTGGCCCTCGTCAATTTTGGTACCAATCTCCCTAGCTCGATGAGAGGAATTGTTTAATACTAAATTTGGTCAGATTTGGACAGCTTGAAGCAAGTTATGCCTTGCGCCGTTATGGCCGCGCGGCGTTTTGGGCGTGTCCCACTTTGTCGTGACAAAATGGCCCGACAAATTGTCCCGCGTAAAAATGGTCGCTACAAAGCGTCCCGCAACATAGTTGGTCATACCCTTTCAGTGCACCCAATTCAGAGCTATTTTTCCTCTCTAATTCACGAAAATCATAATTTCCTTTTCCGTTTAACCCCCCTGAAATTTTTTCCTACTGAAGATTTTTTATTTTAGTGACGTCTAAATATTTTGCCTATTCTCACTCAGTCTACATTTAAATTCTCTTCATTTGGTTAATAGTGGATTCTACAATGGTAAGAGAGGAAACGACCAATGAAATTGTTACGTGGAATGGATTTAAGGTTTTTTTTTGTTAAAATTTCTGATAATACTTTTGCTGATCTCCTCCCAGTTTTTTCTGTTTGCCTGACCATTTTGAGCTTTTTTTTTGCTTGCTCGGTAATTCCAAGGCTGGTCCCCCCCTTTTTTTTCTGTTCCCCTGACCATTTTGAGATTTTTTTCTTGAAATATAATTTACAATATATTATTCGAAAGAGCTGTTCGAGCTGAGTAGAATGATACTATGGTCGGATAGATTTGTCGATTTTGAACCAAATTACGAAGCTAAATCCTCGATGGACATGCTTTTTGTGATGTTGAAAGGGATTAAAACAAATGGTCATAACTATGTTTATTTAAGTCGGATTTCGATAAATTTAGTACCGTTCTACACAGCTTGAAGAGCTCTTTCGAACGATATATAATTTCCTTTAAAAAGTTTAAAAAATAAAAAAAAATTTAAAGGAAAAAAAAGGGGGGGACCAGCCTTGGAATTACCGCTTGCTCTATAATTAGTCGTTCGAGGGAGCTCTTCATTTGGGTCTAATGATACCAAGATCGGTAAGTAGATTTGGGATTCTGACTGAATTATGGAGCCGAAACCTCGCTGGAAAAGCTGTGCAAGGGATTTAAACTAGAGTTGCGCCCGACCTCGTTCCCCGAACGATTTTTTCAGATTTTCCCCGACCCGTTCCCCACCTCGAAACAATTCGAAAACCCCGTACCCCGATACAACGTTACTCAACACACACACACCCGAGCGTTCGTGGCCCAACCATAATTTAAACAAAGGGTCATCTTTTAAGTCAGATTTTGTTGATTTTAGTGTCATTCGACTCTGTTCGGGAAGCTCTTTCGAATGATTTACAATTTCCCATAAAAAGAGAATCAGAAAAATTGGAAAGCAAAAATAAGGGAGTGGTATCAGCCAAAGTATTACCGCCTTTTCCTCCCCAAAATTATTTTTTTAGCCATACAAACCGGCTAAAATTGATGTGTTTTTGGCCAAAGTGTTTCCGGCAAACATTAGCGAAACTACATTTCTTGGTCTTGTAACAGTATTTGCTATAGGAATGGGTATTCGTGGACGGATGAAACGATAATTGATAAATATGTATTGTTTTTGTAGGAATAAATATGTGGGATAAATTGATTTACGGTTTTTTAACTTTTTATTTGACCATTTTGGCTATTTTTCTATGCAAAATTATCTGAATTATTCGTCTATTTCCTTTAAAATTTTCCAGATTTTTTTCTTTCATTTTTTAATTGAAATGGGTGATGGGAAGAAATCTGGTGGAGGTAGAAAACAAAGGCCATCATACAAGGATCGTCAAGGAATTTCTTATCAACAAGGAGAGGACCCTCCATTTCTGGCACAAATGAAGCAAAAATTAGGATATAAAGAATACACTGTTGATGACAAGGTTTCTTTAAAATAATTCCTGTTTTTAGTTTGGGCAGTTTCTAGAGATCGGCCTGGATCTGGATCCTGAATGTGAATCTGGTCGAGGTCCTCGGTAACAGTCCTTTACGAACCCTACCTTTTTCCTCCCTTAATAGTATAGAATGTTCGAGTTTTCCCTTCCTCATCCTAGTCTTCCCCGTATATATAGGAAAAAATTTGGGGGGGGGGGGAAGTATGGTCTGTGAACGTCAACTATTACCAGATCTCATTCTTTTTAGCTGGGTAAAACTAATTTTGGTTCCCCCATTTTTTCTTCTCCAAGTATATTCCTTTTTGTGTAAGGAAAGGTCAGATTTCTTCCTTCCCTAATTCCCCGGGCGACTTTTCACCCTCTTCTTTGAACTAGTCAGAAGTCACTATTCAAAATAAATTCCATTTTATAGTTTACCAAAGAGGACGAAGAAAAATCAGAGCACTCTGGGGATGATGAGGATGACATTCGGAACGTTCCCGCTGAGAGAAGACCACAGATTGTTGTGCTAGAACCAGGAAAGGACCTGACTACTGAACAACTTCAAAAAGAAATTGATAAAAAGCGGGAGGAAGACGATAGTAAGAATTTTTTATTTTTGATTCTGACATTTGTACCAGAGCTGGGCAAAATTTTTCGTTTCGTGTCCCTTCTTTTCAAGCTGTAAGGGAAATATGGGACAAACCCGAATGATCGCGCGGCCATAAGGTCGCAAAGCCATAACTTGCTTTAAGATTTCCGAATCTTTCCAAATTTAGTATTAAACGATTCCTCTCATCGAGGAACCAAAAATTCTTTAGCAAGTTATGGCTTGGCGACCTTATGGCCGCGCAACCTTATTCGGGCTGTACCCGGGAAATATGAATGGCTTTCCTCTTCCTTTCCTTCCTACCTATAGGGGTATATTTTTGTCCAGAAAACGAAATTTTCGTCCACAAAAAGACCTCTGATGTGTACCGCTGACATTTTCAATGGCTGCATTTAAGCTACTTGCCATAAATTATGGTGCAAATGTTAGCGGCCAAATATAGGCAACCCAAATTCCCAAAGTTGACCCGAAATTTTAAAATTTTCTCGTTTTTAGAACAAAAAATTCTCCAAGGCAAAATTACATTTCGAAAACCAGAAAAACGTTCATTGGATTCTAGTGAAAGTAAAGAAGAAATTGACAAAAAGAAGTCGATGAAAGAACAATCTTCTAGGGAACCAGTACATAAACGTTTACTTTCATTTGGAAATGAAGACGAGGAAGAATAAAAAATTTTTATTCTTTATTTGAAAATAAAAAATATCTTCTCATATTGAGAAGAATGTAAAAACGTGTCAAAAATACTTTTAAATATGTCAAAGTGAAATGCAATGGAAAGAATATATGAGCGAGTCAAATACTGAAATATTTACGAAATCAACGATATCCTCAACTTGGTACACCCCATTAGAGATCGAGCTGGACCTGGACCAAGGCCTTGGGGTACTAATTTAGTTTCCCCCCCCCCCCCAGCCAGTTTTTTCGAAAATTATGTAAAAATGGTCAGTCTGAACAGCAATTGTAGAACCCATCGAGCTGTGTCGAATGACACCAAAATCAACAAAATCAGACTCGATTTGACCGAAATACAGACCCCTAAACCACAGGGGCACAAAATCATAAAGACGAAAATCTATACAAATGATAGCTCATTCGAAAGAGCTCGTCGAGCTGAGTCGAATGAGACCAAAATCAACGAAATCCGACTTGATTTGACAAAGATATGACATAAATCGTCGACTCCGGTAGGTCTAAATAATGTCATAACTTCGTCAAATCTTGTCCGATTTCGTTGATTTTGCTGTCATTCGACTCAGCTCGACAAGCTCTTTCGAATGAGCTATCATTTGGGTAAACTTTTTTTATTTCGAAAAATCACCCCCATGGTTGTTCAATTTTCAGGGGTCTGTATTTCGGTCAAATCGAGTCGGATTTTGTTGATTTTGGTGTCATTCGACACAGCTCGATGGGTTCTACAATTGCTGTTCAGACTGACCATTTTTACATAATTTTCGAAAAAATTGACTGGGGGGGGGGAAACTAAATAAGTACCGGCCTTGGTTTTTCCTGTACCCAGAAGCCCAGGCATTTTTTGACCTTCCTGGGTTTTTCCTGGACTAGAGGCCCAAGATCCAGTCCAGGTCAAGAGATCACACTCCAGTCTAGGAACAGGTCCAGGCTTTTCAAAAATACCGATCTCTACACCCCATGTACCGCGAGACCAATGTTTTGAACGAAGTTATAGCTCGGCGGTACATTGGTCTTCTCCCTTCTCAAATATCGTTGATTTCCTCTTGGAATGTTAAAATTTAAAATTTGATCCAGCCTTCTTACTAATTTCCTCCACTGCTGCCATTCTCACAATTAGTGCTGCTTTTTAAAGCAATTTTATCATCTTCAACTGGTTGGCGTCTACTAGCATTACTTGTTTTGTAATTATATTCAGGGATGAACAATCTTCTAGTTCCGTGTACAACATCAAAGCGACCTCGGGTTCCCTAAAGAATAATTCCAGAGTTAGGGTTTACAGGTAGAGGAGAGGATTATACTAATGGGACCCAGTATTTATGAGAAGCTCGATGTCCTAACTTCATACCCTTCAGGCCCTGGTTTGGTGGAGGATATGGAGATGATCGAGACGGGGCGCCGGCGACACCTAGTGCGCGGGACAGCTCCCATCGGCATCTTCTCAGGCTGATGACGGGAGCGAGTGGTGTCCCCCAAACCTGTAAACCTTAACTCCAGCATAATAATAAATTTTTCAACCTTTTTGCTACGCTTATAGAAGATCGTTCCAAATGTTATCACAGAAAGAAATGCAATTCCCATTATCGCCAATGTTGTAAGATAAACTTCACTGTTTTTAGAACCAAATTTAGAGACCCCAAGATCCTGTTCTAGTTCCTTCTCTTTTGAAACCCGAAGCTGTTCAGCACTTGAATGTGTTAGGATTTCACAATTATTGAAATTATCTGGCGTCCGGAAGTACGGGCAGCCCTAAAGTAAAAAACCTTTTAGTCAATTATTTAAAATCTAACCAATGATGGACAGAAATAAGCATCCTGTGAAAGCACAGCCTTAGAGAAGTTATAATTTGGTCCACTAATGAGACGATTCCAAAGCCATTTTGCAGCATAATTGTGTCCCCGCCGATTTAAGAGTGGCTAAAAATTGTAAAAAATTTGATGTTTGAATAGAATAAGGTTGTCAGTTTGGTTCCACTTTAGCAGGTGGCCGGCTTAAAAGCCCTTGGAAATATATATCATTCGATTCGTCTCGGCGAGCTAAATCGAACGGTACCACTCTCCACCACGTGAAATACCTGTGAACCGAGATATAGACTCCTGAAACTTGAGAAACCAAAGGGAGTAGAGGATAGAATGTTATACATTTCAAAGGGCTTTCGAATCAGCCAACAGCTAAAGTATATCCGTCGGTTTCATCAGATTCTTCTGTTAACCGAAACCGACAAATCGAACCGAAAATATTCGGTTTGAAATCTAAGACCCTATGCTTGAAATAAAATAAACCTTATTCGGTATAAATAGTGAATATGGATATCGAGAGTGTAGAGTCAGAAATGGAAGTGTCAATGCGCTAAATGTTTTCCTTTTAACGTTTTGAACATGAGATTGAACTGTAGCAAAAGAGTTAGCCCATTTAGTACTTAAAGATTGCATAAATCCATCAGGTTGTTGTCGAGAACAAGGACATCGAGTTTTCATTAGGTTCTCCTGTTGTTGAAATGAAGAGCTAATATGTATCGGTCCGACGAGAACAATAAAAGCCTTGGGGATTCCACGGTTGAGAATGTCCATTGCTTTGATAAGCGCTCCAGTATCAGGTCCGGTACAATTATTACAAATCTTGAAAAATTTAAAACGTTTCTAACAAGGAAAGGTTGCGAGGTGTCCGACCTAAAAACAGTCAAGACCGGGCTCATTCGATAGAGAATCTGCCCTTTCTAGCAAGGATTTTGTGCCGTTTTTTATCTGGCCAAGATATTGCCCTCCAAAGCCACAAAATTCCTTGCTAGAAAGGACAGATTCTCTATCAAATGAGCCCGGTCCCGACCGCTTTTAGGTCGGACACCTCGCAACCTCCCTTGTAAGTTTATAAAAACCTCTTCCGTTCCAATTGTAATTATCACCAAAGTCCAGGTATTTCGAGTATCGACATCCTTTAATTGCTTTATCCTCCTCACTAGTTCTGTAGCTTGTGAAGGCATAAATTTACTTCCAGCTTCAGCCATAGCAACATTTAATTGATTTTCAGGTAATTGATCACGAAGGCCCATTCCGTGTGAAACACCAAGCAGGTGATTGGAAGGGACAAACTCACGGAGAATATTTGGAACGGTGACTAATCCATCAATAGTAGCGTCTCCTCCAATGGGGAAAGCGGCACCACGGAATTCAATATCCGCCCTAAAATGGAGAATATTATAATATTTTTATTTACGTTCAAAACCTGTACTAATGTTGCCCCTCCCCCCAAGTCAGTTTTTTCTTGATGTACAAAATGGTCAGTCATCTCTTTGCATATAAGGTAGAGTGAATGAATGAATGATGCCACAGGGAAATTTTGTTAAAATTTTGTCATAAGAGAAAACTGACGAGGGGAGGGAAACGACATTAGCACCTTTCAAAACCTCGGCCAGAGGCCAATCCCAGTCGCCAAGGAGTCCCCCATAGCTGAAATTATACCAATATCTTCTGGGGAAAGATTTGAAGTTGATGTACCCGTTACTAAATCTGTAAAAGATTTTGAAATTACAGAAAATTAGCAAAATTAACCTGCTTTAATTTTTGGGCATGAAAAAGTTTTTCGATTGTTAAATACAGAATTAATTATAGAGACAATATCATCAGGCCTCTGCTGCTCAGAATCGATGAGCTTGACAGGAGAAAGCATTGTATTGAGCAAATCCTCATTCCTGTTTTTCTAATTTTAAAATAAAGCAAAAAAGAGGGTCGGTTTGACACTCCCAATCGAGAATAGGTAGACTGGGGCGAATCGGAGCGACGAAAATGACCCTTTGAAGAATTTTTTCCAAATCCAGCGTTACACCTCGATCATTCAAGTTACCTATAACTTATGAAGGGGTGGGTAATTTTTACTGTTCTTGGTACCACTGGATTGAGAATTAAATAAACTACAAGCACCCAAAAAATCAAAACTCTTGAATGATTAATAGAAAAGTTATGATTGATAAACTGCCGAAAAATAACATTTTTTGAGAAAGTTAGTTTTTAAATCATAACTTTTTTATCAATCAATCGGAAATTTTTATCTTTTGGTAGCATGTAGTCCATTTAATGCTCTAGCCATTGGTACCAAGAACATGAAGAAGTGCCCCTTCGAATGTTGTGACTTATAGTGGGTTTTTTTTGGCTGGACCGATTTTGACAAATGAGGTGTCATTCGAAAGAGCTTCGAAAACTGAATCGAACTAGATATGGGGGAAGTCGGTCCGACAATCAGGGGCCGAGTTACAGACCCCTGAAGTTTGAAAAAGAGAAGGGGGGAGTAAGCTCATTTTGCGGTGAAAAATTCGAAAATGCAAATAATAGCTCATTCGACTCAGCTCGACGAGCTGAGTCGAATGACACCAAAATCACCTCGATATCTTGATTCTGAGCCAAGATAAAGTGGTTCAAAATGGTCAACGTAAACCTATGGGGCGTTGGCGAGGCGCTTGTGCAAAACCCCGCGCTTCGCGCGGGGTTTTGCGGCACGCGCCTCGCGGGGAGTCTACGGGCGCTGGGTCTGGGTCAGTAACATAAACCTATTCCTATCTCGCTTGTTCTGGACGTATTTGGGGCCTCCGTAGCAGCAAAAATATCCACAGATCCCATAGGTAAGGAGCTAAAACAAACGGTCATAACTTTGTCTAATCAAGTCAGATTTCGGTGATTTTGGTGTCATTCGACTCAGCTCGTCGAGCTGAGTCGAATGAGCTATTATTTGCATTTTCGAATTTTTCACCGCAAAATGAGCTTACTCCCCCCTTCTCTTTTTCAAACTTCAGGGGTCTGTAACTCGGCCCCTGATTGTCGGACCGACTTCCCCCATATCTAGTTCGACTCAGTTTTCGAAGCTCTTTCGAATGACACCTCATTTGTCGAAATCGGTCCAGCCAAAAAAACCCACTATAAGTCACAATACCCGCCCCTTCCTTCATAAATTATAGCGTCAGGACTGAACTGAGGTGGTACTGACTGCCCCTCAAATTCAAAATAAAATTAAAAAAAACCTTTCATTAAAGTCCTCCTCTTCCATCTCATTTAAATTTTCCAAAGAAGAGTCTGAAGAACTCTCACTCGATTTGCCAGTAAAATTTGAATGCTTTTGTGTCTCTAAATAAAAAATCAATTTTTATTACAAAAAATTTTTTAATCCACGTTTACGTCCATTAAAGTTGTTTTGTTTATTTTTGTTGTTTGTTTGAGCTAAAATAACATTGGGTTTTGTGCTAGCGACAACATCCCTCAATGTGCTAATTGTTTGGAGATGAGAAGACAAAGTTGTTGATATTCCAGTATTTAATGTTGCTGTTGTAATTATTAAAAATAAAAAGGCAAATTGAACTAGCGACAAGTGAATTTCTGTGAGCATTATATCTGTGTGCATCTAGAAGAAAATAATTTTAGGCAAAAATTTTAAGAAGTTACTAACTTAAAGCTCTAGAAAAAACATTTCAGGCCCGCAGGCTCTGTTTAAAATTTTGACATATGCCCAATTAGACGCGCGCCATAACGGCGCAAAGCCAAAACTTGCAGGAAAATTTCTGGCCCTTATCAATTTTGGTACCAATCTCTTTAGCTCATTAAGAGGAATCGTTTAATACTAAATTTGGTAAGATTCGGTAATGTTGAAGCAAGTTATGGCTTTGCGCCGTTTTGGCTTCGCGCCTACTTGGGCTGTAACCTAATGGCAAATTTGCAGAAATTGGCGTTTTGAAGTTAGGCATTTTGTTCTTTTTAAATTTGAAATTTTTCTGGCGTTTTGAAATTAATTTTTAATTATTTTTCGCGGAAATTTAAAATACAGAATTTTTAGAATCCGGGATCTGAACTTTTTATTCTCGTTCTAATTGAATTTTCTACTTTTGAATTGTTTTGCTAATACCAAAAAAGGATTCCATTTAAATCATTTTTAGGAAATATTCATTTTTCTTCAAAAATTTGCGTTTTATTAAATTCCAGGCGAGTGACAAAACACCGTCTGACCAAAATACCGTCGGACGTTTGAGTAGAAAACACCCTCCGCTTTCACAGATAAATTCGATTTACGTCGATATTATGTTATCTTAATATCTTTGACCTTAAGGCTATTGGTTTTGATTAGTTCTATAACTTGTAAGCCTAAAAATTTTATTTTAAAAATTTTTGCTATAAGCGAAATGGACGGTATTTTATACTCTAATGGGTGGACGGTATTTTGGTCGGTCGGTGATTTGCCCTGACACGGAAATTTCACCTTAACTTTTTATAAACTTTTTAAACTCGAATATTATTTATCCAGCATATCTTAGACGTTGTCAAAACTTCCCACTTCCTCAACTCTATTAAATTAAGATAGCCCCTCATACTCCACATTTTAAATAGTCTTCTCTCACAGTCAGCAAAGGCATTATTTTTGTGTAATTTTAACCCAAAGTTAGTATTTAACTTTAATATTTTTTAGTGATCTTTTGGAGTTTTTTAGCTGTAACATCTCGTCTTCATGGTTTACATTCTCAACCATTGTCGGACGATGTTGTTGTTTCGCTTCTCCCCTGTTCTCCTCCTTTTTTCATTCAATCCACTACTTTTTCATTTTTTTTCTTTTCAATCTTTTTCAACCAAAAGACCAACAATAATTAAAGTATTGCACTGCATCCAAAACGGCCACGCTAAAACTTTAATTTTATTTGCTAGAGAAAAATTTATATCCAAACTATATTTTTTCAATAAAAAAAACTAGCAAACGACTGGTTGGAAATTGACAATCCACGCGCAATATGTGTAGTTTATATTTTTAGAGTAACGTTATTAAATTACCTTATTATTTCATAAGTAAACGGGTCCACCCTGAAGACCACCTAGATCATGTCCTCGCCCCTTAAGACCTACACCATATAGACCTATTGGCTCTGAAGACCTACAACTTTTGGGAGGGACTATCAAAAGGGAGTTTAATCTTAAGAGATTTGGTGGAATTAAGGGGATGTCAATGGATTTGGTGTGGATCACCCAGAGTTAAGCTAACCCAGGTACTCTGGTGAGTACTCACCCAGGTACTCTGTTGAGTCTCACAATACCGCACCATAGGTTCTAAATACAAAACTGGGAACTTACTTCCATAGAGCTGGGTGCTTACCTCCCCTCCCCTTTTAATCCCTCGATTTTCCCTTTCAAAATTTGTAGGTCTTCCACGTCAATAGGACTTTGTGGAGGTCTCCAGGGTGAGGTATTCTGGCGTGTCTTCAGGGTTGACCTCAAGTAAGCATTAAATGTTTCTTCAAACAATTTTTTCTTAATAGGAGCATTACTTCCCCCCCCCCCCCCCCCCCCCCCCGTTTTATTTTTTCTTAAACAGTTTTCAGTCTGCTCTAATTTTGGCACTTCCCCTTTCATTTCCATCATCTCATCTTCATACGCGCATAGTTTTTTTTAAAAGTCTTGCCATTTATATTGAGTCCATGTGTTTGTTATAGTGTGGTAATTCGATAATGTGAGTGAATGGTAAGTAGCAAAAAAATATTTTAGTATGTATTAAGACTAAATTTATTTTTTCACTTGTTTGCCCTACTCCAATAAGTTGGAGTTTTTACAACGGTCAATTTCCTTATTTTTTTCTTTACTGTTTTTCGTCCGCTTTTGAATTTTGCTTTTTTTCTCTATTTTCAATTTCGAATCTACCTTTAGCCCTTTCTGGGAATATTTTGTAACACACATTGCTCCGACCTCAGGATCTGTTACCTCGGGACCCGAGGTTAAAAAATTCTCTCTAAAAATAGGTCCATGACTGAAAAGACGGGACTGAGGCGTTCCCTACCCGCAGAATTAGCCAACGCATAATTTAAGGAGATAAAGCATCGCCTGTTTATGATTTCTCAATCGTGGCAGACGACAATCATGATTTAATATGTTTAATCACTTTATTAAATTTTTTCATATAAAACTTTGTCACCACATGCCTTCCTTGTGATTTAGGGACCGGTGGTCTTGATAATGTCGGCCATTGCTGCTTGATGGCTTGACGAAAATCAATATTGATTATTCACTTTTTGGCTGGAAGGAGAGCGGTTGGTTTTGAGGGGTTGGAGGATAAGGAGGAAAAGGCGAATGTAGAAGAGGTGGTTGGAGGGGGTCGGACTTTTCTCAATAACAAACAGCACACACAAACGCAGTCCCTGCAAAGGACAAATGGGAATGTGAATTATGGGTGGAAGGGGAAATGGATGATGATGGTGAATAGCAAAAAGCCAACTATGCGCTTTTTTACACTTTTTAATGAAAAATAAGCACTTTGTAACTTCATAAAAATATGCCATTTAAGTATTACAGGAGCAATCGAGACGAACTCCAACTGATCAACAGTCTCCTCGTTCTTCGAGTTTAAATTGCTGACAGCTGGCTGACATGAGTTCCACGTTTTCAACAAGATCAAGTATGTAGTTGAGGATTTTGTCTACAAATTTCGCTTACAGAGCTGATTCCCTAAAGGGTTAAGTTTAAAATGAGATGCTTCATTGTGCCTACTCTGGCCATTTTTTCAACACACAAACAAAATTTATTTTGTCATTTTCTGGCAATACATACTATACCTTTTTTAAAAATCTAAGTAACGGCAGCAAAACATTAATGCTTGTTTTTCTTTGCCGACTCCTTACATATTCATATTATGTTTGTTGGATGCTTTGGACTCTATACAATTAGGAGACTTCGCAATTTGATAATCAATAATTTTTTTTATTTCGGTCCTCACTTTATGTACTATATTTGCTCTTACACACCCGCATTAGTTGTCGCCATTGTAGTCCTACTCTTTCAGCTTGCGTTCTTTTTTACTTCTTATCCCCAATTCTCCAATCCAAATTCCGAATAATTTTTCCATTTTCCCCTTGCCAGCTCTTCTATCTTCACCATATCCTTCCACCACTTTTTTTAAATGCTATGCGTGTGTGCATCATCTACTATGACCAGCAACCCATTTTCAAACCATTGTCATCAAATTCAAAGTATATCCGCATAATCCCCTTGACGTCAAAATTGACGGACTGTTACATTGATAACGAATTTTCTGATAACTTTTTGTACTGATTCTTGGTCTTATAGACTAAAACGGACAAAAATAGAACATTTCTTCCTTTTTTTGTTTTGTAAATTTTAAATGTTCCACTTCTCTATTAAATTAAAATTGACAGTAAGTTGCTGTTTTTTGCCATGTTGTCATAGAAATAGTGCTTGCAAGCGTGTGCTTTTCAGGTCCAATCCAAAAATTTTAAAATTTCAAAACTAAATTATAGCAATCTTTGTTTCTGTAATAAGGGACAAGTAGGCGCGCGCCCATAACGGCGCAATGCCATAACTTGCTGGAAAATTTCTGGCCCTTATCAATTTGGGTATCAATCTCTTTAGCTCGATGAGAGGAATCGCTTAATTCTAAATTTGTTAAGATTCGGAAACCTTGAAACAAGTTGTGGCTTTGCGCCGTTATGGCCGCGCGCCTACTTGGGCTACCCCTGTAATATGTTCTTTATTTTCTTAAGAAATTTTGAGAGCCATTATTGAGCTCAATTCATAATAGACCTCATTTACTATATTCTTACAAACCTTTTGGTTCTTCAAAAGCTAAATTGAGTAGCGACAACTTTACAGAATAAGACAAAAATATTTGTTACAACGGATCAGGAAACGACCACAATCAGCGCCCCTGCTGATAAGAGTGCAATAAAATCCCAGAGTGACCCGATCTCATCTGTATTTGAGGTAAATGATAATTTTACTAGATTTTGACCGATCCCGATAATTATAGGAGGAAAAGCAGCTTCCAAATTGTTCTACCAACGAATCAGCAACAAATATTCAGGAGACCTCCCCGCTTAGACGTTCATCGCGTGTTGAATCATTAAAGGTCCAGAAAAGAGAGAAAGGTAGACTAAGCGGTTTTGTGTTTTATTTCAGTTATAAATTATTGTTTTTAGATATCCTCGCCGAAACTAAGCAAACTCTGACGGAATCTACCAAAGAATCGACAAAAATGGTAGGGTCTTGTTTTATTTTAAAAATTACCTATCTATTGGGGTTTATTAAATTTCCAGAATAATTCCGGGAAACAGCCCGGTAATTCCAAGGCCTTGGAATTACCAACACCAGCCTTGGAATTACCAACAGCCCGTAGCCACGATTTTTTTCTGGGGAGGGGCAAGAGGGGAGAATTTTTCTGCGTTCGCCTTCGGCCTCCTGCCTACGGGCCTGCCAGGAAACTCGAATGATTCCTCCCTTAGTTCTCTGTTTTATTTCAATTCCTAGCCAATAGAGATAGGTATTTTTGAGAAGCCTAGGCCTGTTCCTGTTCTGGGTTTGATTTATTGACCTGGGCCTGTAGTCCAGGAAAAACCCAGGCCCAGGAAAATCCCAGGAAGGGCAAAAAATGCCTGGGCATGGACTCTGGGTAAAGGAAAAGCTCAGGCCTTGGTTCAGGCTTAGGCAGATCTCTACAAGCCATCAATTTACGATTTTTAAAAATTAATTTTAATTTAGGTTCAGGAGTCTGCAGCTATGGATGTTGAAGTTGCTTCTCCATTTATTGGTGTTGATCAAAATCAAGAGCAAAGAGTTTCTTCGTTAAAGCGAAAATTGAAAAGAAAATTGTCTTGTGGCCAATCGCTTGATCAGTATGATTGCAAATTTGGGGTAATTAAGGAAAAATTCAAGATTTAATTTCTAAAATCGTTTACAGATCCGTTTAGACGCTCAAGGTGATGTGGTGCTAATGTCAGATGAAAGCGAAATTTCCTCACTGGATGAGGCTGATGTCGGACGGCTACGGGAACATTATGAGAACGTAGGGCCCTTTCAAAAATTTTATATCTAAAAATTTTTAGGTCCAAAAACACGAAGTTTCTGAGGAGGTTCAACTTCAACGAGATCAACAAATCCGGGAATTGGAGGCTGTTCTTCGAATTGAGGAAGCAAAGTTGCTTATGATGAAGAAACTAAGGCATAGTCAGCTACATCATGACGAGAAAATGCTGGTTTGTTTGTTAATTTATTAAAACTTATTGGAGATCGGCCTGGATCTGGGTCAAAACCTTGATTTTCCCCTGATCCATAGTCAAGATCAATGTGTTTTTCAGAGTTCCTTGATTTCCCCTGACTTGATTTTTCCTTAACTCGTCCTTATATAGCTTTCAACTCATTTTCTCCCTTTTGCAGGACGGTGGTGGAAATGCTGCCAGTGTTCGTCGACTAGCTCCCTTGCAAAATTCTTCAGGTCAAGCTTATAAACCAAAAGTTGCTGTTGCTCCAAATCAACACAAAAAAGACACAAACTCTTCCAACAACCAAAAACCAACTGCAAAGCTGAATGGTGCTACAGCTCCTCAACATATGTCTGGTGACAAGAAGGGAGGGAATGGAGGTTTTCTCAAAATTATTTTTAAATGAATTTTTTTTTAGCTGCTAAAAACTCGGTCGATGCAACTGGAGGCATGCAAGGCCTTGCTAATGTTGCTGTTGGCGGGATTCAGCTTTCTACCTTACCACCTCAGCATTTATCGGTTATTTTTCATTTTATTATTTTTAAAATGTCAGCTTTCATGTTCAGGTTATTCAACAGTTGTATGAGCGTCTTTCGCAAAATCCACAGCAAATGGCCGGTATGATCAAGACGCTTCCACCACAGACGGGACAAGCTTTGACGGAACTTTTACGCCAGTATGCAGTTGCACAAACTACCAGTGCTGCGTCTCAACAAACACAAAAATCCTCTCAACAACAAAAACAGCAACATTCGACTACGGCTGCTCCGACTTCCCAATCACATGATGTTGAAAATTAACAATTTTATGACCTTTTTTATAATTATTTTTAAGGCACGCGAACTCACTCAACAAAGTATTTCCAAAGCGCGTCAACAATTACGTCGAGAATTAGATCAATTGATCGCCAAATTGCCTGTGCCTAAGGCTCCTCTTCCAGATTTATCATTTATTCCAAATGGAGGAAGCAACCAGCCAGAATTTGTTTACCTTTTAGGCTTGGATTTGACAGTTCAAAGAGTGCTTAAAGACAGGCAGATGTTCAAGTTTGTTTAATTTTTTAAAATTTAATTCAGCTATTTTAATAGAAAATCTGATGTTCCACCTTATCGATGTGAAGAATGTGACACCGATTTTACACCGTCTTGGAAGGCTATTTGCGGAGATAATGAGGTAATTTTTAATAAAATTCATTTTACCTAAACTTTTAGGAATACCATTTGTATTGTGAACGTTGTGTAAGACTAGCACAGAAACGAAAAGTTTGCCTTGATTATAAGGCACTGCTCAACCGTGCGTTTCAGCAAATTAAGGAGCGCGAAAAGGTTATTTTATAATTTTTAGGAAAATAGTTCCTTTTAATTTTAGGAATTTGAGAGACACGTTGCCTCTGGAAAGTATAATGTTGATCCAGTGTTGCCTTTACCCACTGCAACTGTTCCTACTGGTGCCGTTTCTGCTCAAAAACAGTCTACAACCGATAGTAAATTGTCAAAATCGCAGCAACAAAGTAACAACGGTTTGTTAAAATTTCCTATGATTGTGTGTGTAATGCTAAAATTTAATTTAAGCTTCGGTCACTTCTGCTTCTTTAACTCATCAAAAGGATGGTGTTGCTCCATCAATCCAACATTTAACTTCTACCCAACAAGCAACGGCATTAAATTTGAGTATGGCTGCTGCCCCAGCGAATGTTCCAAATACTTTGGCTAATCCTGCTAAGGTAATTTTTCAACTCTGTTTTATAATATAAATTCGTTTCTCATTGTTAGACTGTTCAGAATCATGCAAAAACAGGAGTTTCAACCTCAGGCAATTCCGGGGCTTCTACCAGTACTTCAAAACGCGGCGTTGCCAACACTCGTACCGCTAATACAATGAGCAATGCTGGAAATAATACGGCTGCAATGGCATCGAATGCCGCAGCTGCCGCTTCAAATCCTTTGGCTGCTGTGCTTCAACAAAATCCACTTATGCAGCAGGTTGTTTAAAAACATAACGGATTTTTTTTTAATTTTTGCTTTTAGCATTTAGCGGCGATGGCAGCTTCACCTATTTTCAGGCAGTTGGGAAATTTGGCTTCAAATCCAGTAATGCTAGCGGCGCTTTCACAAAATCCAATGCTTGTACAGGTTTTCTTTTAATTTTACACAAAAATTCCTCACCTCATTTAAGCAGTTATTTGCTGCAATGACTGCTCAGCATCAACAACATCAACAGCAGCAACAACAACAACGTGCTCAACCAACAATTGCCTCAACACCTATTAATGTTCCATCTGGAGCAGCACACGCTTTAGCACAGATTGCACAAAAGTCAAGTCAGCAACTTCAACAACAGACTCAGCAACAGCATCACCGAGCTTCAACGGTAACCACTTCATCGACTGCCCCACATTCCTCTACACATCATTCTGCATCAAACGTGGCTGCGTCTGCTGCTTCTAACCAACAGCAGCAACAACAATTGGTAAGGATACCAAATGACCTATGAAATCAACTGATATGCCTCTTAATCTCCTTATATTCCACATAATCCTCCGATATTCCGTCAAATCCTCCTCTAAATGCACTTAATCCCTCAATATCCCTTTAAATACCATGATATCCTGTAAATACCCGTATATCCCACTTAATCTCCTGATATTCCTCAAAATAAAAAATCAAGAAGCTCAGGCCTGGATCCAGACAAAAATGATCCTTGATTTTTCCTTTACTCAAGGTCAAGAATCTAGTCAATTTCTTTGCTTAAAATCAAGGGGCAAGGTTTTTTTAAATTTTCTGATCTCTAATAGTTAATTAGCTAAAATAATTCCTAAATATATTTACAGGCCTCTCTGGCAGCAGCCATGAATTTACAGAACCTCAGTCAAAATCCACAATTGCTTACTCAATTAACTGCAAATCCACAATTTCGACAAATGATGCAAGCGTATATTCAACAAGCAAAAGGAGGACCTTCAACATCTAGTGGCAGTGGGAAAAAATAAAAACTACAATTATTGTTGTGAGTTTTTTTCTGTTTTAAGACATCAAAAATTTTTATTTTTTAGTTAATGTTCGGGTTTCTTTTTATGCAATGTATGTACTCAAATCTATAGAGAACAAGGACTATTTTTTGTTTTATTCTGGTCGTCCACTATTTGTTTTGGTTTTTGTTGAGGTGTGCCTGATTTTATATATAGACGATATTTGTGTATTATTTTTATAAATATTCAATCTCAGGGTTGGACTTTTCGTTCATATGTTTGGGATAGAAATTTCAACTCTGATATCATCTAGTTTTATATATAATTGAACAATCATAGTATGTAAATGTCTATGCCCGTTTTATTTTCTGTTTCCATATATGGGTCAATCTTGAAGACCTACAAACTGAAGACCTACAACTTTTGAAAGGGGATATCGAGGGACTGGATAGGATTATGGGATATATCGATGGATGGTGTGATTGAAGGGGATATCGAGGGATTGGCAGGATTAAGGGAATTTCGATGGATTGGATAGGATTAAGGGAATATTGATAGGTGGCGTGATTGAAGGGGATATAGATATCTACTCACCTAGAGTTATGTTACACACCCAAAGGGTATATACTGGATATTCTCCAAATAGCTGGGTATTTGTCCCGCTTAATCCCTCTATATTCTCTTTCAAATGTTGAAGGTCTTCAGTGTCGATAAGTCTTTAGGGTTGCACTCCCATAATATATCTTCCATAATTCGTTTATATATTTTCGTTGTGTGACCTTCGTAATTTTTTCCGTGCTTTGTTTCAAATTAAAACCTTTTTTTAAAAATGCTTGGAAATTTTTATTTAATTTTTCTATCGTAAAATCCTCAAAAATTTTCTATAATTTCCAAGTATATATCACTTAATCTTCATTGGTTTTAATAAATTATTTTCTTATATATTTTCCTAGAATATTGCCTCTGTGCTTCTCCGCATCACCTCGTTTTTCTCGCTTTTCCCTAAGACATTTTTTCAGAATAGACCCAATTTATTTTTTAAAAAGTTTTCTTGGTTTTAAATTGCGAATAATATTTGCTTTTCACTGTTTTTTTACTTCGTTGGAATAAACTGTCAATTTATAATTTGTATTGATAAAAATGGGTTTTGAATCATTTGTCTATGATTTATGTTGAAAAGCCTAGTAGAAATTCACAAAAATACTTCAAGACGAGATTCACTTAGCAATCCTGTGATGCTACCGCAAGACGAAAACTAAGTGGATCTCCAGTCCATACTTTTTTTTACGTCTTTACGTCTGAGGAATTCTCTGCAATTTCCTAAAGATAATGCCTGAGGAATGAGGAGTTACTAGCAAAGGTGCCTTCCAGCTCTTGGTGAACCTCCAGCACCCTCGTCCGAAACGCTCAAGATCAGCCTAACTCACCAATCATACTCCTAGTCGAAACTACCAGAAAGAAATGACGCTGACACGAAGATGAAAGCTAGAATAGAGTCCCAACCCACAATTTCCCCTTTGGTGAGATAAGCACCCCCTCTTGGGGCATTTAAGTTCCCACAGTTCCAAGCAAAAAACATCCACCTTTCCGTATAAAATATATGGCAAAGAACCACTAACATTAAAAAATCAAATTTCAAGTCTACAATTTATTTAAACAAAATCGCATTTCTTTTTATGTGTGTAAATAAGTTTTTTTTATCGAAATCATAAAGAGAATAAACGAGAAAGATGATATTTGGGGGAGTCTGTTACATAATTAAATTTTTTTATTTTGTGGAGTGTGTATCGGGATTATCTCCTTCCTTCATCCGTTGCTTCATTTGCCTTGTCGCGAACGATAGACCTCCATATCAGCCTCATACCGCTTCTTGTCATCAGCAGCCTTTAAATTTAAATTATTTTTGGACTATCCCCCATCACCCCCCCCCCCTCCGAAACTTCCCAAAATATTAAATACCTTCTTCTCCCAAACGGATTTCTCGGAAGCAGACAACTTGCCCCATTCCACACCAGCAGCCTTTGCGACATCAGCGACACTTATAAAAAACAAATTATAAAAATTTTATTAAAAAAATAAAAGCGAACCTCATCCCCGGCTTCTTGATGCGCTCTCTGTTCTCTTGCATCCAAATGAAGTAAGCGGATTGAGCGCGCTTCGGCATGTTGGGATCCTTGGTCTTTTTCGATGCTTTCGGCATTTTCACTTTTTATTAGCTTTTGAAGAAAATTAAAGTTTACTTGCTAAAAAATAAGAAAAATTATTTCAAAAATTGACAAATTTAAATCAACAAAAAAATATTTTAATGCCTTAAACGAAGCTTTTGAAAAAAAATTTTATATAGGAAAGAAGTAAAAGTTAAGGTGGTGAAGAAAAATGTGAAGGGAGAAAATGGTTGGGAGACCGCTGCTGCCGTCGTTGTTTGGGGAGAAAATAAGGGGGGAGTTGGTTGGCTGTGGAGAAGAAAATAAAAGGTTCGTTGGCTGGGCTTTGGCTGAATGAGAGGAGCATGACTATAGGGGCACCACACATTATTGCTTGGGCTACCGCTAAGAGAGAAACATTTGAGAAAGGGGTTATTTCAGTCAGAAGTTGTTTAATTCTTAAGAGGATAAAAATCAAAGAAATCAAATCAAACTTTTAACAGATAAAAAAGAAACGAAAATTAAAATGTTAAAAAAGTAGATATTATATCTGAAGGGAGTTCTAACAATCCGAATTTAAGACTAGAATGGGACCTTCACCAATAAAAAGATAAAAAATGAATGGGAAGTCAGTACTGCTATTGCCGCCCTATTGAGGGGTATCTGTTGACTACGCTGTGTTTGCTTGGGCAGCCGTTAAATAGAAATAATAACGTTGACGCGCAGCGACAACGAAGATAAACTACTACATATGAAGAGAAGATTTGAGAAGAAAAATTGGGGAGAAAAAATTGGGGAGAAATGGTTACCATTGACGTTAGTCTATAGCAATTGAGAAAGAAAAGGGAGAATGCAAGCGACAACGAATTTTAGATTATTGGTAATGGGAATTGGGAAAGCTTAAGTAATAGCGAGAAAAATAAAACGACAACACACACAGCGATCGCTAAAATAATAAGCACTGTGGAAAATTTGCTCTCTGTCTGTCTTGTTTACGAAATAGCGCATTATAAACATTATGACAGAACTTTGATTAATTATGGCGAGGTTTTGAAATAGGGACAATTGAGTACCAAATTAGCTCTGATTCTTCCCCACCAAAGAAGTTATCGGATCTTTTGAGATTTCAGAGGATTTTGATCGCTTATCTGAAACGCAGCGGTACATGGGGTTTGCTTTAAAAGTACTTCGCCTTATTTTTTCCCTCAAATTTCCGTCACGACTCTATAAAATATTTGATGGACAAGCTCTGGGGCCTATTTCAATTGTCCACAGATTCTGCATTCTGTGCACAGAACACAGATTCTGTGGAAATTCTGTTTCAATTAAATTCTGTGTGCACAGAATCTGTGGTGCCCGCAGATTCTGCGGAAACATCCAATGATTCTGTGGAAACATTCCGCAGATTCTGTGGATGAAAATTTCTGTGGAAAATATAAAAATCTGTGGATTTTTTCCACTGATCCACAGAATTTGTATTTCAATTATTTTTCTGTGGTTCTGTGTATTTTTTCTTCTAAATTCAAATTTTTTATTTCCGCGTTTTTGAAAATAACAGTTTTATTGAAACGAAAAATGGTTTGGACAGTTCGGTACTACCGCAGTATTAATGGTACCTGATTTTTTGAAGTAAAACTTTAAAAATTCTTAAATTAAACTGAAAAATATTGTAAAGATTTAAAAATTTTCCCTCCAAATCACATAACATCCCTTTAAATCTCTTTGATATCACTTTAAAACCGCTGATATACCGCTTAATTTTCTTGTTCATCCAATATCCTTAAATCTCCAATTAAATTAATGTCCTAAAGCAGGGTTCGGATCGGAAAAATCAGGAGATGTCGATCCGACATGTGGCTTTTTCAAACTACGATAGAAGTTGTTGCAAGGGAGGGAAATGTTTGGGGATTGTTTAGTCAGAAATTGAGGTTCCTGGAAATCGAAAATGCCTGGAATCCAAAATTATAGTCAAATCGGAACTTTAAAATCGTAGAGGAGTGATTAAGTGGGATATCCATTGATTTTGAGGTTTAATATATTGGAGTGATTAAGGAGGAAATCTATCATTAAATAGGAGGAGAGATTATGACGGATATCAATGAGAGATCATGGGAGATATCCCAGTATACGCTATACAGATATATTCTATAGATCCTGGTAAACATCCCCTCATTAGAGATATCCATGATGATTAGAACATCATAGCTCTAAATTTCAGAATCTCTCACGTTTTTTATTTTTTTATTGCTTGAATATAACAAAAACTGCGTAAAAAAGATGTACCTTTTTCAAAATTAATTTTAAGCAATAATTTTAGGTAATAAAATTATAATTTTTATATCAAAAAATAGAGAATGATTCAAACTTTAATAATCTTTAAAAATTTTGAAATTTGGTTAAGCCTAGGCCTAGAAAAAAATTGTTAAAGTTTTTCCACAGAAAGTTCGCAGAAAAAATTTTAGGGTGGATTTTTTAAAGAATTCTGTGTATTTTCCGCAGACCACAGAAATAATTGAAACAGAAATGCACAGAATCGACTAAAAAAGCCACAGATCTGTGGATTTTTTTCTGTGCACAGAAAAATAATTGAAATAGAATTCTGTGGTTTTTGCATGTTTTTGGATGTTTTGCAGAATCTGTGGATGTTTCCACAGATTCTGTGCATGTTTCCACAGAATCTGCGGACTTCTTTTTCCGCAGAATCTGTGGAATAATTGAAACAGAATTTCTGTGGTTCTGTGGTCTGTGCACAGAACGCAGACCGCAGAATCTGTGGACAATTGAAATAGGGCCCTGATGTCGTTGGTTTTATTTAGAGGACTCGCTTAAATAAAAATGTGAAGAAAATAAAAGGGGCCCATTCCCCTTTATATTCAACAACAAACTAACATAAGCAGCAAGGAAGGAAGGACACCAACAACCCTACAATGTTGACGACGCGACCACTAGTAAGGTCGATATGAAAAAGGGGCGCTTGGTTGGGAAGGACGTCGGAGTCTTGTTTCGTACCCAGACTCTCTCCTATTATCTATCCACTGCAACTGTTTATAAATAAAGAGCGAGTACTGAGAAAACGAAAGGATAGTCAAAATAGAAAGCGAGTCGTGAAGGAAAATGGGGGTTTAAAAAATAGTTTTGAGATATGCCAAAGATTTGGTTGACATGTTTTGAAATGAAAAATATGAGGGGAAAATATTTTAAATTAAAAACAAAAAAACATAACAAAATCTAAGACAAATTTTGAGACAATTTGTGAAAACAGATAAATAAAGCACGTTCTCAATTCTTATTAGCAGCTTTCTCCTCTTCCTTCTTTTTGTTTCCACTCTTTTTTTCATCTGTTTCCATCTCTTTATTCCATGATTCGAGACCTTAATTTGGAAATTTTTAAAGTCTTTTAAGACAAAATTTAACCTTTTGGCAGAGAAGTGTCTTCGTCCATTCCACCAGTACCAGCTACAAATTCTTCATAAGTATGTTTTTCAGGGAATGGACGTGGGCCTAACAACCTAAAAAATATTTGAAAAATAGTTGTAAACTTTGAAAAAAAATTTACTCGATCATATCCTCACGTGCAATCACTTCCTTTTCTAAAAGTCTGAGCGCAACCTTGAAAATTTTTAAAAATTCGTTTACTAATTCTGACTCAAACCTTTTCAATTAAATCAACTTTGGACATTAGCAAATCGCGTGTACGTCTCAATGCATTTCCAACCATATCACGCACTTCTTGGTCAATAAGTTGAGCAGTTGCTTCGGAGTATGGCTTGTCAAAGGCCATCTCTCCAGGCTGAGGCGTGTCAAAGGAAATTGGGCCAACCTTCTCGCTCATTCCAAATTTGACAATCTACAAAACTAAATTTAACTACGTAAAGAATGGAATTACTTTAATATAGAAGTGAAAATTATTTGAAGAACGAACCTGCGCATATGCGATTTGAGTGACTTTTTGCAAATCATCTTGTGCACCAGTAGTTATTCTTCCAAAAAAGATTTCTTCGGATACGCGCCCTCCCAATGTCATACAAATACGGTCTAGCAGTTGCTCTTTAGAATAAAGATATTGATCTTTTGGCATATATTGAGCATATCCAAGTCCTTTGCCACGCGGAATTATTGAGACTTTTAATAACGGATCAGCAAATTCCAAAAACCATCCAGCAACTGCATGTCCAGCTGTTAAAATTATTTTTGAAAAATGCCCGTGAGAAATCACTAGAAAAATACCTTCATGGTAGGCGACTGTCTTTTTCTCGTCAGGTTGCAGCACTTGACTTTTCTTTTCCATTCCAGCAACAACTCTTTCAATGGCCTTTTCAAAATCCTTTGCAGTCACTTCATCATGAGCATCACGAGCAGCGATTAATGCAGCCTCATTACAAACGTTTGCAACATCAGCTCCTAATCAGAATCAACTAGTAAAGCCTTTTAAAAAAATAAACCTGAGAATCCGGGTGTATGAGCAGCTAGTTTTCTTGATAATTCCACTTTATCCAGACTAGTCTTTATCGGTTTTAAATGAACACGGAAAATAGAAGCTCTCCCTTTGATATCCGGGACAGGAATAAAAATTTGTCTGTCAAAGCGTCCAGGCCGCATAAGTGCTGGATCTAACACATCTGATCGATTTGTTGCTGCGATTACTACAACATTGGCCTCTTCAGTTGAGAACCCTAAAATAACCGACTCATAATTCAGAAAATAATGTGAATTATACCATCCATCTCCACGAGTAATTGATTGAGAGTATTTTCCTGTTCAGAATGTCCCCCAATAGAAGAGCGACCACCTCGTTTTTTCCCAATAGCATCAATCTCATCAATAAAAAGAATGCAAGGTGATTTCTTTCGTGCCATTTCGAACATATCCCTCACACGTCCAGGGCCAACACCAACAAACATCTCAAGGAATTCTGAGCCAGAAACAGTGATGAAAGGTACATTTGCCTCTCCTGCAGTTGCTTTGGCAAGCAAAGTCTTGCCAGTTCCTGGTGGACCAGTCAGAAGAGCACCCTAAATTTAAAAAATTTTCAATAATAACTAAAAATTATCAAAAAATCTAACCTTTGGAATTTTTGCACCAAGCGCCCGATATTGTTGAGGATTCTTCAAAAAATTTACAAATTCCATAATTTCAATTTTTGCTTCTTCGCAACCAGCCACGTCTTTAAATGTTGTTTTTATATCTTCTTTGTTAATAACTCTAGCAGTTGATTGTGAGAAGCCAAAAAGATTTCCCATCGGTCCAGGCATACCTCCTCGTCCCTTTTTGCCTTTAATTTTAAAAATAATTTAAAATTGTCAGTTTCAAACCTGTCATTCCACTTCGAAAAAAACTGCGGAAAATAAAAAGAGGAATCGCAATCATTATAATAAAATTCAAAACAGAAGGTATGACGTGCCCCCTAAATTTTTAAAGAATAAAATCAGATAAACTTTGACAAAAATCAAACCAATCAACTTCAGTTTTGTACAAAACAGAAATTTGCTGTTCGGGAGGAAGTCCATAATGTTGTTGAGCTGCGGCCAAACTCCGCTCAAAACTTTCTACGCTTCCAATATTGAAGAAATAAGTGTACTGGAAATGATTTATAACGAGAAATTGCCTAAAAAAAATACCTGAGCAGAATGCTTAGGCACAACTTGAACCCATCTAGAGTCATAAACTATTAGACGTAGTACATTGTCTTGTGATAAAAAGTCAGAACAAAATTCCTTCCACGAGATCTCCTTATATGATATTTGTGAAAAGAGAACATTTAGGCCGATGATGACACCAGCAACAATAGCGATCTTTTGCCAATTTGGAATATTTCCACTGCTCCATCCTGCGCTGCTTGTTCCATCTTGTCCCGACTTTTTATCAGACTGTTGTTCCTCGCTGCTTTTATCGGTTGCTCTAAGAAGAAAAGGTCTAACAACATCTCCACAGCTACTAAATCTAAAATAAAACTAGGTAATTCCGAGCCTGGTCCTCTTTCTTTTCCTTTCCTTAAGATTGTACAGAATGGTCAGATTCTCACCTTACTCAATTTTCAAATATTCCCCTGTGGCATATTCAAACAAAAGAGTAAAAATATTTTAGAATTTATGGAAGTTGAGGAAGGTGAAAATCTGACCATTATGTACAATCTTAAGGAAGGAAAAAGGGGGGAGAAAACAGGCTCAGAATTGGCTAAAACTAGCAAGTTGTAAAATATTATAATAAAAAACCTCAGAAAATTATTTCCTCCTTGTCTGGTGATAACAGAAAATGTTGCAAAATCTTTCGTAAATAAATATCCTCTAAATTTTAGAACGCCTCGTACTCGCAAGAGCAATGAAAATTTCATCAAAATCTAAAAATTTAATAAAAAATTATTGCCGAAATTAATTAAAGAAAACGGGCAAAGCGAAAAACAACACCTAACAATAAGTGTGGCCAAATGAGAAGAAACCGACTTAAATGCCCCCCCTACTCAAATGGCTGTTCAGTGGCGATTCAAATCCGTGGCATTTTATTTCAGTGGCGATGTTTGAAATTCCAAATCGAAATTTAAAAATTTCTGGCATTCTGTTTATTATTGATTGATTAGAAAATAGTGTGGTGAGAGAAAAAGTTTAAGTTTTCGTTTTAGGAGAAAGCCACTTGAGTCTAGTTCCCGCTGCACTTATTTTTAGTTAGCCCTCATTTGATTGATTTGGTTTCTTCGACATTGTTTTGGGTTTCTAATTTTTAATTTCTTTTAAAAAATCATCTAACATCATTCCCCGTTCTATCTAGTGAGGTTTGGTCCTCGAACATTGAAAAAAATTCGTGAAAAATTTCTCGAGGTGTTCAGCGATCTCCAGCATAAGTTTTTTCGTGAAATTTTACCTGCCTTTTTTATCTTTAAATTCTTCTAATTTTTAACCCTGGTTTTATTTTTCGAAACTAAACAAAAGCCCACAGGTGGATTCTGCTAAAACGAAAACAGAAAACTTTCCAGTTATCGTGAATTTTGTATTTCTTTTTTTCCCAATCAGCTGTTAGCGTGTGATTCATTGAATAAATTAAATAATAATTCTATTTTAGTGACATTATTCTTTATTTTCGGTCTTATTTACATTTATTAGCTGATGGTTGATTCTACTATGGTAAATTTTGATAGACTTACTTTTACGGTAAATTTACTTTTTTAAGGTTTCTGATTTAAATCAAGAGGAGGTGAACGATATTTGCATCAAGGCTCTTCAGGATCAAATTCGCTCCCCCTCTTACCAACACACTGAAGCTGTTAAATGGAATCAAAATGTAGTTGAGGTTTTTATTTTTCAGTAATAAACATATAAAAATAACATTCTTTTTCGTTTAGACCGTTACAGAAAGCCTTGTCCGCTTAGGATATCCTTACAAATATTGTGGTAAGTGGAGTTAACTTGAAAATTTATTAACAATTTCGGCGCTGGTCCAATGAACCTTTATGAGTCCAATTAAGTTTTACAAGTTCAATGAGGATTTACTCATAAACTTTAGCTTCATTGGACTGATAAAGCTTCATTGGACGCATAAATTAGACTAGAGCTAAAATTTCTTTTTTTTTAGTTTGCTGCGTTATCATGCAAGCTGGATTGGGCGCTGGCCTGAATATTGCTAGCATGTGTTTTTGGGGTTGGTTTCCGAGCCACAACTGATTTTACTTTTTTCTTTCAGACAAACAAATCGATGTTAACTTTGTTGTCAGATGGGAGAGCAAAGCTGTGATTGCAGTTTGTAACGGTTTGTTATCTTTTTTATTTTCCCAAACGATTTTAATTTTAGTGTTCGCCTTGCGTCTTGACAATTTGCCGCCTCAGATCATGAAGAGTGATGTTGAGGAGAACTGCGACGGACATGTCAACACAAATGGAGGCTCTTGAAGGTGCAATATCAGATTGAAATGTCATGAGTGGAAAAAGCAGGGACTAATAAGAGGCAACAAAAACAACAGTAAAATTCAGTGGAAGCCCATCAAGTTTATTCCTATTTATCTAATTTCCATTTTGGTTAAAAGGACATTGTTGTGGGCTTTTAGTAATTAATTTGTCTCACGCCTTCCTTAAAATTTCGGAAAGTGTTTGGTCCTTTAGTCTTTTAGTTTTTTTCAAAATATGCTAAAAATGTCCTTTTACACACCTTTAGTAGTGTTATCTACTTTCCTGCTCATTTTTAAATCTACACCTTGTTTTGAAAATATACCCCGATAATTTTCAGACCAAGCACAAAGATGCTATTTATATATAAAATTGTAAATTATAGAAATTTCTTTCTTCAGGAAAAACAAACGATAATTTTAAATATATTTTACTGTTTGAATTAATTTGCCAAAATTTAAAAGGGCTAATCTTTCAGACTATACATACAGTTTTGTGGGCTCCTTAATACAACCTCCCTTGTTTTCTTATGATTTTGGGAACGGAATTTCCACCCTGTCCATCCCTTTACGTATTTCAAACTTAACATAGAGGGAATATCTGTTAACGTCCTTTAGACTTTCTTAAACGAATTTTTCTTAAAAACTGAAAATAACTATTACCATATAATGCCATCTCCAAAACATAATTGTTATTGTTCATTAGAACATCTTTAAATATTTATTTTTTAAATTAACTATCTCCTGTTATTCGTTTTATCAATTTAGGTAGAATGCACAAAAATTTTTTTAATAAACTGAATAAATCTCTTAAAATAATTTGTCAACTTTTCTAGAAAAAATTAGAAAGTACTTGAATAAATACTTGATTAATTGTTAATTTTATTTTGAATATTTACTTATAATTTAGTTTAGTATTAGCAATAAATTCTTTTAAATAAAAACAACTTCAAAAGTGCATATGACTCGATATTATTGCCATAAATGTAACCGACAATGTAATGTGACAAACGATGACTTTGGTGATGTGCGTTGTACGGGCTGCAATGATACTTTTGTTGAGGTTTCTTTCAATTCTCTTCTAGGATAAATTAAGTAAAATTTTTTGTTTAAGGAAATGCAAAGCTCAGGGTCGAGTCCAGAAACTCCGACTGTTACTACTATGCCACCATTTGGTGGAGCAATTCCGGTAAATGAGAATCCATTTGGTGGTTTTCCGGTTTGTTGTTTTGCGGTAGATTACAATTAGAAATCGTTTCTTTCTAGGATTCTCCTTTTTCGCGACTCTTTTCTCAGGCATTTGCTGCAGCAGGGAGTAGCGGTCAACCGAACCCCTCAGCTAGCCGTAATTCTCAGGTTTTGCTGAATACAAAATATTTGAAAACCCTTCAAATTTTAGGATACTGGAGGTCCGTCATCTAGATCTACGACTAATGATCCAGGACAAGCTTCTCGTCCAGGACATGCTTCTCGTCCTCGTGTTCCGCCTACACAAAATCAACAGACTGGTACTAGTGATGAGGATCCAATGGCTGTTTTTATTCAAAGCATTTTTGCGGGTTTGGGACAGACTGGTATTTTTATTAGAATTACTAATATTAAATTTTCTTTATAGCTCAGCGTGCTCAAAGGGAAGGAAGCAATCAAGGTACGCCAAACCCGAATCTTACCCAAGGTAGTACACCAGCTCGATTTTCGTTTGTTCAAATTATAACTGGCCCTGATCATGAAGGAGGAGGCGCTTCTATATTTGCGTATTTTTTAAATTTACACTCTAACAAACTCAATATTTATAACAAATTAAGACCAAACACTACTTTGCAAGATTATGCATGGGGAACAAATGGTTTGGACAATATATTAACTGCACTTCTTAATCAAGTAGCAGATCAAGAACAAAACACAGCACTTCGTCCGGAAGGTATATTTTATACTTTATTTATGGACAAAATATTTTTTAGATATTAAACGACTGCCTATGACAAAAGTGACTCAAGAACGTAAGTTAAGATTTCAGAATAATTTTTGAATTTTTATTTCCAGATTGTGATAAGGGAACGCAGTGTACGACATGCATGGAGACATTTGCATTGGATGAAGAAGTTGCGCAATTAAACTGCAAAGTTTATAATTAATAAAATAATTTTTAATTTTTTTATTGCAGCATATATTTCATAAAGCCTGTATCGAGCCTTGGTTGCAACGGAAAAATACTTGTCCAATTTGCCGAACAACCATTGATCCTAGTGAATGGGGGCCACGTATTGCGGATGTTGATGAGCTGGATTGAGTTGAAACAGTATCTAAGAAAACTATTGAGAGCAAATTTTTGGAAGAAACTTAAGTGAATCAAGCTTCATTTCAGTGATGTTTTCAAAACTTAAGAAGATTTTTTGTACTTGTTGGTTGTGGCATACTTATGCGGAAGCATAATGGTCAGAAAAATATAAAATGTAAAACCATTCCAGCTTTCAATTTTTCCACTAAGCAATCATCACTTCATCAAATATTTTGAATAGTGAATGGATGAGACCATTTTGAGACCATTATGATTATAAGTCTGCATAAATATGTCCTCAAAACTCGTTTGAAACCCACAAGTATCGATTTTTCTCAAAATATTTTTAGATTAATTTTTTATCTGATACGTCGCTGATTTGGGCTTTATTTTATTCACTTTATCTCTCTCACTGTATTCATAACGCTTCTCTTTTTCAAATATAGAATATTTAATTCACATCAGTTTTCTGCTCGTTAATTCTTTAAAAAATCCAAAAATTTATTCAATAAAAAAAATTTGTGTTTCAACGACAATAAAAATTTAAAACGATTAAATATGCTTGTTTAAAGTAGATTTCGTGGCCTTCAAATATTTAAGAATACTTGTTGCATTTAAAAATTTTTTTGTAATACTTATTGTTAGGTGAACATGGATGTTAAACGAAAGCCATATTCTGACCAGAAGAGGTGGATTACTATTTACCCGGCCTATATTGACGCGAAGAAAAGCACTGGTGAAGGACGACGGATTAGGAAAGACAAGGTTTGAAATTTTAATAGGGGTTTTTTTCGTTTTTAGAATTTCAAGACAAAAAAGGTAATTTTTTATTTTAGGCCGTCGAGAGACCAACATCTCAAGAGATTTATGATATTGTTAATCACCTTGGGTTCAACTGTGTGTTAGAGGTATTATATTTAAACACGATTTCCAAATTACCTTTGTGTTTAAAAATTAAGAAAGACAAGATGTACCCACGTGACACGGACCAGAAAGGCAGAGTACGAGTTCAGACCCGCAACGACGATGGAACGTTCACCAAAAATGAATTTCAGACAAGTTTTTAATTTTTTAAATTCCATTTCGTTTATTTATAGAAGGGGCTCTTTTCCTTCATTTGGCTGAAATGATTCCTAAATTGAAGAGTCGACAAGGCGGCAGCACCCAAGATCAGCAACAACAAAATGCTGGGGGTGGAGGTGGCAAACAGAAGAAAAAGAAATAAAATACGAAATTTATTTTTATTAATGAAGATTGTACCCTAAACAAACATTTTGTTCTATTTATTTTTTAGATGATTTAGTAAAATGTCTAATATGTGAACTTTAAAGTTGTGTTTTTATTTTATCTAAAGTTGCGTCCATGCTTACTGTTAGGTGATCTTCAAGGGCAGATGAATTGAAAGTTTAAAAACTCCACATTTTCACATTGGAGTTACGGTGTGGCGGGATCCCTGACCGTTTTTGTATTTTTTGAATTTACGTTTATGTATGCTAAATTTAAATTTTTTGGCGTAATGTTTGAAAATGACAATTTATCCCTGTACTATTTCTTCATTAGAGAAAGAAACTAATTTAGAGAGTGCTTAATTTTTTCTTGGTTTAGTTGGAAAATTTTTAGTTTTTTGTATATCTAATTCTCATTAAGGCTGGATGGTTCGAACCCTTTTGTTCAGATATTTTTTATTTCGAATTAAAATACCCGTTCTTTAATCACTAATCTTAAGTATCCTTCAATTTAAAAATCGTCCTTTAAATTAGTGAAATTTGTTATCGGTTTTTGCTGTAGTTCGACTTTGATCTTAAGATTAGTGATTTTCGCCTTTGTGTCAAATTTTAACACTTTGTGATTTTGTCGTTTATAATATCATTTTTATTTTGTTTAACTATTCAAACTATTTCTTTTAGATTATATTTTTAAATGGACGTTAAAAGTAGTACTATATACAATTTTCCAAATTCTTCCTCTTATAATAGCCAACGACTTCATTCAGATGATATTTCTAACGAAAATGAGACTGTTTCAGGCAACGATATTGTAATAAAACAACATATGAAAAAGATTGTTGGTGGCGACTTTAAAGCTTTTTCTCCAATAACGCCTGTCAAGGCTTGTTCGCCAATAACATCGACTCCAAAATCCACAAGGTCATCGTTCCGTTCGTCTTCGACATTGCGTCGTCAGCAAGGTAGTCGTCAACGGCAAGATGTCATTCCTGAGGGCGCCGCTATCACTGATGTTCAGGTTTAGTTTCTTTAGTTGCCAGTATTTGATTATTTTAGGAGCTTCTACAGCTTATTCAAGCTCAGAGAGATTTGATGGATCAGGCTGCAGCAGCTATTGCATTTTGTAAGAAAAAGTATTCGTACAGTGGTAATTTACAGGAGGTGCGTCTAACTGATTTTTCTAATTTTTGTTCTCTTTTTTAGCTCATATCTCAACGCATTTTGTTGGTTTCTCAAGAGCGTCTAATTATGTTCAACCGCAAATTGGACGAGTTAAAAGATCATCGTTTTCTTCCCAATTTCACTCCGCAGTTGGATGATATTCCTGAAAGCGTTGATTTGGAAACTGAAGATGGTACGACTGAAGACTTTGGAGGCACTGCTTCAGTCAATGGTGGCACAGCAAGTTTTGCCTGTCGACGTTCGCCAACTTATACGCTTTTCATTGAAAAATTTGTACTTCATTTGAATCCATCCTTCAGCATGAAAAAGATTGACAAAGGTTTTATTAACTTTTACAAAAAATTTGTATTCTAATTCAGACTTTTCGTATGCATTTATAATACTTTGCCGTTATTCTGATTATATTCACGCAACTCAAATTTCCAGCATGGTACGAAAAATTTTTTGATTATCAAAAATTAAAATTTACAGTTAGACATTGGAGAGTTGCGCAACAACAAAGTGAAAATACGAGAGCTTATTGCATTTGAGGAGTTACCGGCCGATTTTTGCATTATGGTTGAGGTATTTGCTCTTCGACTTGGCAAGCGATGGGATCACAAATGGCAGTCTGTTTGGGACTTGGCAGCTAGAACATTCAGTTAGTTTGTTTATAACTTTAGCCTTAAAAATTCTTTGTCTAACTGATTTTTTTTATTAATTTGTTATTTTTAACCCAATATTGAACTACCTAATTTAAGGAAGTATTCGACGCATTTTCTCATCCAGAGGCAATAATAATGACCAAGTACAGTCAGCAAGTAAAGGTGTTAAAGGCGCATCATTCTCTGCCTCGTCCGTTCTCATGCAACCGACTGCGCCGATTAGCTCCGATTTTCAACGCTGTGGATATTTACATCTGAATCGCGATTCACTCTCACTTGGAAAAGAAAAGTTTTATTTGATTGATGCGGATTATCCACTTGAAGGAAGCATTGAGGTTTGATCTACAAAATAATTATAAATTTTATTTTATAAAGGTATGCGCTCATTATACATCCAGGAACATGCCAGTAACTGACTGGCCAGACACGGATCGTGATATTGGAGCTGGGGGTATGGCGGCTTTCAGTGGTACTAACAGCCCAATTTAATTACAAACTACGTTGATTTTAAAGAATATTTATTAAAGATTCGATTTTCGACCCACAAGATATTATTATTGTTTGATCCCCATGCATTCCCTAATGTCCCAAAAATACGAAATTTTTTCAATTCGTCTGAATATTAATTAAATATATTTTTGTTTCACTTATGTTTTGTTAAAGTTTTTATTAAATGAAAGGACGAAATTTATATTTTTTTTCACGCGATAATTTTCTCGCTCAACTACATACTTCTTTACATTCCATAAAACTTATTTAGAGCATGAATAACTCTGAATATGGCGATGCAAAGAAGCACGTAGCCTAGCTGAAGAACAATTTAATTTAAAAAAAGAATTGGACGTTAATCTGTTGCTTTGTATTCACAAGTTTATTGGGATCGAAATTTGCAGTAAAATCAGGTTATTTTTCGTAACAGGATTGGGTGGGTACACTCACAGGGGATTGGATTTTTTGGGTGGGTGCCACAGAGTATTGTTGGGTTGTTACATTTACAGCGTATTAGGTTTTTGGGTGGTTGCATTCACAATGGCTTTAGGCTTTTCGAGGGTTACACGTTTAAATGTAAATGAATAGCGATTCGATTTGGAAAATTTTAAAAGGGCTTTTTGGATTCCGATATGTGGAGATTATTAAATGATTTCTTAAATAAGCGAGACAAGTGTGGGGTAAGTAATGGAACTCTCCATGTAAAAGAAAGTGGGGGCGTTTGTGAGAAGTTAGTTGGAAAAGCATAGTAGACAGGTTGGTCGTTATTTGAGGAGAGGAAAAATGAAGGCGGAAGAAGAAAAATTTCGACTGATGAGTGAAAATGAAGACAGGAAAATGGACATGCTGCGAATAACGGAGTAAAAAAGCGGGGTTTGTGTGGAGATTTGTGGAAGTGTGGAAATGAGGAAAAAGTATATATTGAAAGAAATGGGTGGGAGTTATTTAAGAGAAGAAGATCGGCATATATATTACTGCTAACCGAAACAGCATCAAAAATGATCATTTCTCTATGCTTTTTAACTAACATAAGTGTTGGTTTTTACCCAACCTACTTCTCTCTAGCTTGTCTCGTTTTCTTTCTTATTTCTCTCTAGATCAAAACCCGTTTGTTTTAAAGCTTTATTCTGGATAATGCAAGTTTTTCTTTAATTTACCAGCTTAGATCTCAATATCTTTTTAATTTCTCCAGCAGTCTCTTGATCCTCCATATTTCTAACAAAAGATTTTTTTCGTCTCTGCTTTCTTTTCAACATTTGATCAATCACATATCAATTTCCGCCCAATTATTTTTTTACTTTTTCTTCCATGCCATTTACTTCATTTTGATTTAGTTGTTTTTCTTCTTATTGTTAGTTTTTTTTAACTTGTGCTGATTATCACTACTGTCTGGATCTTATTTTATTCGTTATTTTTCATTTGTCTGTTTATTTCGTTTTTAGTATATTCTTCGCGCGTTTTTCTCGTTAATTTTAATGACCTGAAAACAGAAAGCATGGTGATTTAGCAATTTCTTCACAGCTTTTTAAAAGTTGAGGATCGTTTCCTTTATCCACTTGATTCTTTCATTCTTCTTTACTTTATAAACTCATTTTTTCTTGATACAAAAATTCATTCCTTTCACTCTCGTCTCGTAAAATTGAAGATGGCTGGAAGAACAGTTGTTAATTGGTAGATTATCAGATTATGTATTTATCCATGCTCTTTTCCACGAGTTTAGGTGCAAATGTATAATGGCTGATCCTTAAATGTTAACTCATTCGGTTATCTTTTTTATAATGGTTCCCACCCACAATATGAAATAACCTCAAATATAATTTAAAAAAATGAAAAATTAAAAAATAGTATGAAACAGATAAATAGGATATAAAAATCAAAATTGTACATAAATTTAGGAGCAAAACTTTTCTACTAGAAAAGGAGGTAAAAGTAAAATTTTAGGAAATTTTAATTGAAAAATGGATGTCTATTTTTGACTCAAACTTTATCAAAAAGCAAATTCGGGTTTTCAGCGAACGCATCCATGCTTGGCATCCTTACATTTATTATTTAAAAAATGAAATGTGAATAAGTGAACTAATATTGAATGTGAATGAACACGCCGAAGGAATAGATTGGTTAGCGTGCATGATTGGTGGCGCTACCGGTTGATGTGTATTGGGGTTTGATGTTGGGTTGAAAAAATGACAGAGAGAGAGCAGCAGCAAAAATGAAATGCGCGAAATTCCTCAAACGAATTGAATGTTCCACTTTCTGTGGCAAAGGCTGATTTTTAGCTAGGTTAGTAGAACCTTGGGATGTTGGTGAATTGCAAGAGATGGTGAAATTAGTAGAAAAATTGCGGATTTTTAATGGCTAAGGAAGTGAATTTTTATATACATATTTTTAACAAATATCCGAATTTCTTCTGTGAGGAAAGTTTTCAGAGATTAGGAATTCAGGGATTTATTATTTAGACTTTCGTATTGCGTGTACGGGAGTGAAATAAAAAAATTGAGTGTATGTACATGCGTATTTGTGCAAATAATCTGACCTATGAAGGACAGACAAGTTCTCTTCTGTTTTCACTTGTTTCTCGACTAGCCAGCCCTAATCACCACATCGTCCTTTCTCGCCGTTGCAATTTTGCGCAGCGTTCTCTCCCGAACCAATGAATCATGTTTAAACAAAAAATTAACTCGTTTTTTCTTTTGTGCACTTCTTTGGTGAAATTTATGTAGTAAAGCTTAATAAATTGATTACCAAACTGGGACCATCTTTAATTTAAAAGCAAAAAGTTAACAAAAATTATCCTGACAGATATCAATTTATAACCTAGAAAATTTAAATGTTGCAGTCGGGCATTTGCACCAAGACGGAAACGTCAAAACGGGGCTCTAGGAAAATGTCTATTTTGATAGATTTTTATTTTTTTGTGCAAAAAATTTTACAACAAAATTTTAATATTTTTGTCTAGTAATTCATATTCGTATGGAGAATGTTAACAATGATTCAGAATTTTTTACTTCTGGAGAATTAAATGCACCAGAATGTTAATTATTTTTTTATATTTTCTTTGATATTGAATTTTAGACGTTGCCGATTTTTTACGTTCTGTTCGCCCTGGAGAAGAGGCTAAAAAACTTCACAATTTGCGTCAATCTCTTACAGCCCGGTCAAACAATGCGGCAGACCAGATAAAAGATATCGTGTTTGATCACTATAAACAATTTATTGATACATCTAAGGAGATCTCAAGTTAGTTTTTAGATTACAATTAATTAACTTTCAATCAAATTTAGAATTGGAAAAGGAAATTTACCAGCTCTCGACATTGTTGACGGATCAACGACATTTGTTAGAAGGACTAATGGAAATGACTGGACTTGAGAAGCGTTCATCTTGCAGTGCGTCACTTACTACTAGTTCAGGATTAAGTAGTCAACAAACACATCAACTGCAGATATTAATGAATAGGATGGATGATATTGCAGTTAGTAATTTTAAGTTATTAAATCAAACTTTATATCGAATCGAATTAAAATTTTGAAAATAGATACTTTTTTAACAGACCATTTCTAGCCTATTTTAAACTCGGCTGGCGAGCAAGAGCGTATTCTTTTACAAGGACAACTTCAATTATTGGACTCTGAAACATTCAAACCAAAACACACTGTTTATGCAGTTCTTTTGAGTAACAATTTACTAATTGGACATCCAAACCCAGACAGTGGAACTGGTCAACAAAAACATCCATTTCATTTGGTATTTTCTAATTATAATTTGAATTTATTATTTTTCCAGGCAGCTAACTACAGCTTGGATTCACTTGCTTTAATAAATGTTAAAAGAACACCCTCAAATTTTGATGAGTCATCCGAAAATATTGTCCAGCTACTTGTTTTTCCTGAATATTTATACTTGCGTTGCGAAAATGGTGGGCTTTTTTAAATAGTTTTAAACAGTTGGTTTTGTGTTTATATTTGGGTTTTTTAGCCCGAGTTAAACGTGATTGGCTTGAATCTGTTGAGGAAACAAAACGGAAACAACACGAAGAACGGGCACTTGTTAGACAGGCAACGATAAGAGGTTTTTTGTCATTAATCTTTCATGAATTCTTACAATTAGTCATTTAAGCTCGGCGTCGAAGCATTCTTAACACAATTGCTACACGTGCATCAACATCTGATAATATTCGAAATAAGAAAAGTCATAATCTTCATGAAAAAATCGACGAAGAAGATGAAATTGAGGAAGGAAAGCAAAGTGAACTTGGAAGACGAAGGAGGATGTCAATAGAAGATTCAGTTTGGCTAAATGATCTAATTAATGAACTTCAAGATGTAATTTCGCACAGACACATGGAAGAGGTTTTCAATTTTCTTTAAAGTTGGCTAATATTTTGGAAAAATTAAGTCCAGATGTGATGGAGGGTTTTAATAACGTTGTGGAATTTTCGGTCATCCCCGCAGTTTTTCAGTACAATTTTTACGGACTCATAATGTTTAGGCCAATATTTCTTTTTTTGCACAAACGTAAATGAACTGCCTTAACCATTATGAGTCTCAAAATATTATGGAGGTAATCAACAATTTCTAGGCAGTTGAAATGTTGATGGAATGGAAAAGCTGCTCGTATAGCGATGCTGCTCTAAACGCCAGATTTGCGGCAATTGAAAAACAAGTTTGAATATATTTTTGGTTGTCGTCTTGTTATTTTATTTCTTTTAGGTAGTTCAAATACTAACAGATGACTTGAAACGATTTAGTTCTGTTTATGGAGGTTCTAAGGTATTAGCACAGCCACTTCAACAACTTATCGCACTTGGTCGTTCTACTTATGCTATTGAGTTATATCTAAAGAAACGAAGCGCTGTCCTCAGAACTGCTGCACGAGAACTCATAGTAAATTATTTTTTGATCCACAAAATCCCAAAAATTTTGAAAATTCCCTTAAGCTATTAATAGTTGCGTTTCTAATATCCTTTCGTTTTTGAAGATAAGCGAAGAACCACTCTCGTATGTTCGGCAAGTATCCGGTCTGTTTATTAATGACATAGTCGAGGTAATTCTTATGGAAGATAAATTTAATTATTTATAAAAATTAGGTATGTACAGAACTATCCATTTATCCAAAACAACTTTGTTTAATTATTGCTTGGTCTTCTCGTGAGCTGGGAATCCTACTTTCACTTATTAGAAAAAATGTGATAGAGGTGGCACCTACGATGGCTGTTTTAACGTTAGTTCTTTTACCTTTTTTGGCTTCTTAGAAGTTGACTTAAAATAAATTTTTATTTCAAAATTATTTCAGAAACACATGGCGCATACTTGTTGGAAAATGTTCACATTTATCATATATTGGATTGGACCTTAGTTTTGAGATTAATCGATTAGCAGCCCCTTCATTACGGACAGCACTTCAAGCGAATTTTGACAATATTTTAGAAAGCATTAAATTGAGAAATTCGGTATATATTTTTATTTAAAATGATTAATTTTGAATTATAAGGAAGAACGTTGGACACCGTTCTCGCTTGATTCTGATCAGAATTTGATCCGTTTCTTGGAAGAGATGTCCGATATTGGGTTTCAAATGGAATGGGTAGGTGTTTTTAATATCAGACAATATTTTATTTTAGGCAATCTGTCGAGAATCGCCGTCTCCAGATTACAAGTATAGATACGCACTTAATGTTTCTCAGAATGTTTGCATGTTTGCTCGGATTGCTCTTCAATTGAGTTAGTAATTTAATAATTTTAATGGTAATAATAATTTTAATGTTTTAGGTAGAGATTTGGCTTTATTAAATAGTTCTCCACATTTGCAACAAATTTCCAATGCATTTATCTGTGAGATTTGGAATTTAGAATTGTCTCATTTAACTTCAACAATGCATCCCTCTATTGTGCATCATTGTTCAAGTCGTTTTATTATTTCACAGGTAAGGACATTTGAGTTGAAATGTTCTAGATAATTTTTTGATTTTTTTCTTGTAAGATAAAGATGATTTTTTAGGTTCTTCCTCTATGCGAGCAAGTACTGCAATGCGGAGATGATTCTGAAGGAGTTCTCTATGAAATTCTTCATAAGAAATTTTCTCATCTAGTTCATTTTCAAAGAAGGCCTAGCAATCTTTACCCACAAGATGAAGAAACAGATGATCACAATGTTTTGGAGTAAGCAGATGAAAAAATTGTTTAAATAATTATTAAAAATATAATTTATTAAAAATTAAATACTGAGGAGAGTAAATTTTTATAATTTTAGGGATCTGGTTTAAAAAATATAATTTAATAATAGGAATTTAAAAATTGAAGGTAAATTCTAGTTCTTTCTCCATTCCTTCTTATCCTTACAATTAGTTGCCTTTGTGCCGCCAATAAGCTTTTTGTCCACTTTATTGAAAAGAACGATTAATAGGCGAAAAAATGCATATGAATTGCCTTGCGATGAGCGTCTTTTTTTGAAAATTATTGTATAGCGCCGTGATCTGTCCATAATTTTTTTGCATATTATGCAGAAGATCCGGAATTTAACTAGTTGTGGTCATCATACTGCCACTCATTAAAAGTAGAATGAATGCTACTCAGTGTTGCTTTACCTCAGTCGTGTCCTAGCAATTAGTAATGACTAGGGCTGGGAAAAACATGCAAATGCATGTTTTGTATGCGGATATGCCTTGATGAGAGAAGCCCAAAAATGGTATTTTTACATTGGTCCGAGCACTTTGGGACCCGGTTCTTAATGCATATTTTTGCATATTTCGGCCCTCTCGTGCATATTTGCATATCTGTGCATATTTTGGACAATTTTGCATATTTTTACCTAAATTTGAGCATATTTTGGCATTTTTTGCTAAATTTTATAAAAATTGGTCAAAATTTTAAAAATTTTCGGAACTTTTTGTCAAAAAATTTTTAATAAAAATTTTTTGAAAAAAATTTTTCTAGAAATTTTTTGAGAAAAAATTTTTTCAAAAATTTTTTTCTGCGAAAATTTAAAGTCCATAAAATCTTATACAAATGATCTTAAATTTAAATTTTAAAGGCCAAAATAGTGTTTTCTAGATAAAAAATTGATTTTTAATGTAAATTTTCGCCATTTTTTGCTGCATATTTAGTGCATATTTTGGGCGTTTTCGGTGCATATATATGCGCATATTTTGCGATTTTGCGTGCATATTTTTCCCAGCCCTAGTAATGACCATTAGTTTTATTACCTGGATTAAATTTTGATCAAGTATGATAAAATCATTGTTATAGTTCAAGGTAAATAGAAATATTCTTATTCATCAAGTATATTTCAACCACCGTTCAAATGTTTCGTAGAAAATGCCAGAATAGAGCTGCTTTAAGGATAATTTTATTAATGTTTGAATGTACGCTTCTATTAAATCTGATAATGAGAATATGCAACGGGCAGTTTCCTGAATTGGAAAATGCTGTTCTGGCAGAGCCTAGAGTTGATTGTGGAGTAGAATCAATCACTGTATGTCGAGTGAATTTAAATTTTGCTAGTTATTACAAGTAACTGGGATCATTGAATTTTTCAGGTGTGGATCCGAATGGAAAAGCCATTCCATGGAAGGTTTTACATACTTTTCGAAAATTTTTATTTGATCCTTTAGGTTGTACGTTGAAGATGAGGTAGTTTAAGTTTTAAATATACTAGATAACCGATGATTATTTGTTGATCAAGTGATTTAATTAGGTCGACCAGCCAGAATGTGTCCACAGCTATGCTAAGGATTGGGGGTCGGATTCTGACGGGCCATTGGATTCTCGTGGTGCTGACTTTACAATCCGTTTTGGGCAATGTAATATGCGGAGGCAACGACTGGTATTTCATGATTTCTCTTTTTATTAGTTTTTCAGTTAAATCCTCGTGGTGTCAGTTATTCTTTCACGCTTGTTGTATCATTTCATCCAATTTTCCTCACGGGCATTGATAGGGCATTCAACATCCGCTGCTTCTTCATGGAGGCGGTAAAATCTATTGAAACTGCTCTGGATGTTAGGTGATGGTTATTATATTAATGAGTCGAGAGTTTTTTCAATTTTTAAAATTTAGCCCATTAGTAACTTCCATTGTCGAGCATGAATTCACATTACCGCATTGCTCATATCAGGTAAATTTTAAAAATTGCATCTACACATGTGTAATTTGCAACTTGCCAAGAAGTTGAACTTTAAAATTTAAATAAAAATTAAAGCTGAAACAACGTGGAGTGGATGGTCCTCTCATGAAATATGCAACAATTGGAGAGGTTACTTATACCAAATTGAAATTATCGTCTTTACATTCAGCCGATCACACATCTTTGGCAATGCGATCCAATTGCTGGATGGCTTTATGGATTGTTAATCCACTCTTGCTTTGTAGACGATGGACATGGAAAGAACCGATTTGATCTTATCGATGAAAGAGGGTAATTAGAACTCAAATTAGAGATTTGATTAAATTTTTGTACCTTCTTTCTAATTCTCAGTTGTGTTACAGACCGTTCACTCCTTGCAGAAATCTCTTACGACGAGAAGGCATTCACTGCATATGCACATACACATGTATTTCGTTATGCCGACAGGTTCATGTCTACCTTCGAAAATTAATTTTAAGGCAATTTTTAGAATCCAACTATTCTTCACTTGCACTATCCAACTTTGTTTTAGAGAAGACGGTGGATGTGATGGGTGAATAAGCAAAAAATAGTTTTAATAAGTGAATATTCCCTTTAGGATTTCACCACCACAATGCAATAAAGGAAAAGTTGGATCATCGTAAGACTTAAGTTTCAAATTCTTTAGTAGAATCATGCACTTTTTAGATTTCCAGAAACCCCAGTTTCGCCTTCATTTGTGCCTATAGATTCTCATGAAGAATCGCCTATTTTTAGAAGAGGGCATCTCCACAGGTTTTCTAGATAATTTTAAATTGAATATTTTGTCTTAAAGCAAATCCTCACTTTCATTAAAAGACAGTCCGATTTTAACGTCAAATAACAATGAGAGTGTAATTGACGAGCAACTTCTCGGAGACACGTTTCAACCGTCACTTAACAATCATAGTCGTGCGGGTAGGAATGCCGCTCTTGAATTCTTGAACAACCGAATGGAGACAGATTTGAGCGCTGGTACGTGGGTATTTTAAAGATGATAGAATAATTGTCTTAAAAATGACAAAAATTCTTTTAGATTTAACTGTTGTACCGAGAACAAGTAATGGAATAGCTGAAAGAAGCAAGGATGAGCGCATGGCTGGAAGAGGTTTGCCACTTAATTAAAGGAAAAGAATCGTATTTAGATCCATTCATCCGTGTGTTTCCGATAAAGAATGGAGAATATGGCACAGCCACGCCCCAGATCTATTCATTAGATTCCCAGAGGTTTGGAAGCTTTGAGGTTCTAGCAATTGCTGTAGCAAGTTTTTTAATTACAATAACGGTAAAATCTTAACGTTTAAGTTACTTGATTTTTAATTTTTTAAGTTCGTGCTTCTAATAACTACATTCGGGCTTCAACATTGTCGTCTAAAAAAATTACTTGTTCACAAACTGTGTTCTACAGAAAATGATGGAACCATAATAATAGGATAATTAAAATACTTCTCTAAAGTCTAGTATTTGACCCTAGCTAGAAGAGGAAGGAACCTCTCAAGATATGACCAAAAATCTTTAAATAAAAATTATACCATCGTGTAGAGAAAGGTCGATAACCTATTACCGATTTTTGGTTTTTCCCCTGACCCCCAAATTAAAAAGTTATAGGGGCTCAAAGTTTTGGACCGAACGAAACTCGAGCTATGACTAAAATTTTTTGGTCATAGCTCGAGAGGTTCCATTGTTGTGACAACCACATGTATAATCATTTTTGTCATAATAATTTATGCAAGAAAATTAAATGTAAAAATTACAAAATCAACTTCTACAAATCTTCTTAGGGATCAATCCATCTGCAATTTTCATGCCTTCGTGCATCGGTTTTGAATCCTGTATTAGTAGCAGTGCTCTAAGATCTCTAACAACATCTCCCCATAAAAAATCAACAGCACATCTTGGACACCGCCCAGAGACTGGAAAAACCTTTTCCTCCAAATGCCCTTCAGATTCTAAGCAACGCTCAGCAAGACAAGAAGCTAAATTTATGAAATTATCAGTTATTATTAAAGAAAAAAAACCATGGAAATGCGCACCACAAACTTCAAATGCTGGACATCTCAGAGCTTGTATTATCTTCAAATAACAAATTATTTACAAAGAAACACCTTTTTAATTTTGAAATAACCTGGGGGATTGAGGATTTACAAACTTCACAATCTCTTAATGTTGTGTATGCATTCAACTCAATCGGAATCAACACCGATGATTTTTGCACTTTTCCATAAGCCAATTTCATGTGTGGAGGTAGGGTCAAGTTGTGGTTGAAAGGAATTTCATACTCCTAAGTAATAAGAATTTCGGCATAGATTTTCTTTACCTTTATCAGCCACCTGAACTTTAACTTGTATATTCTTAAAATTAAAATTAAGTAAAAACCTAAAAGTCAATGCCAATTCTCGCCAAGGTCGCGTGTTTAACATTTGAATAACAATTCGAAAGCGAAAAGCAAAAGGAGTTTCTTTTCGATCTTTTTGCATGTAACGACGTTTGAGTCGTTTTGATTTGTCCGGGTTTTGCCAAGCCCATTCAAACTGGAGAGCAGAAATTGCATTTGGAAAGCCATGGACTATACAAACCATATCCCTAAATTAAGTTCTAAAACTAAAATCCATAAACGGCCTTTTAAATTATACCAAGGTCCTTTGCTATCAGTTTTTTTCGCTCCTCCATGTTCTCTGCCAGAATTGTGCTGTCGGATTCGCCTGTTAGGGTCAACAGTGTAGCCAATATAACAACGATTCTAAAAAAAGGAAATTGTTCAATAGAATGTTAAAAGCTGAGGATTTTTGAAAATAATTCCAAGTAATCATAAGATACCTTGTAAACCTTCTCTACACTTCTGCTCACCAGACAATAGACACCAAAGAATTCGTCTTGAACATAAGTCTCTTTAGGTGGAACCAACTTAATAGGTGAGTTTGAAAACTAATATTGCAAGTTTAAAAAACGATACCTACCGGTTCAGATAAATCATGTAAAAGTTTTATCATTAAATATGTAGTACAAATCCCTTTCAAATTAAAATTCTGACGTGTAGATGTGACGGAATACTACGTAGAAGAAGCTAAAATTAAAAAAGCCTGATGTTTCGCTAATGAAATATTGTACTCAAGTGGAACGACTCAACCGTCAGAGCGGACAATTGAGTGCGATGGTGGCATGATCGGACAGTAAGACAATTGGACAGAAGAAAATGCAATTTTAGCGAAGATTAATATTGTAATCTGGGTTCGGATCTTGTTTGGGTTAATAATTTTTTGATTGATAATATTATTTAAATCGATTAAGAATCGAAAAGATGGCTCAAAATCAAAATATAGCCAAGGTATAAAAAAATGGCCTGAAGCGGCGAGACTGAAACATACCGCTCCAATAGAGCATACGGCCCGCCTTGTCGCGACCACTTTGTCGCAGCCACTTTGTCGTAAGCGCAGGCCACTTTGTCGTCGGTGTTTTCAAAATTTCCCTTCGTTGTTTTCAAATTTCCCTTCATTTCCCTTTCGCAAAGTAAAAATCAAAGGAAAGCTTGCTGGCCTGCGACACAGTGGTCACGACAAGGTGTCCGTGTCCCAATTGATGCGGCTGCGCCGAAGTTTACCATCTTTTAGCTTAAACATTTTTAGGAAATTATCTAAAACGTTAACAGTTTTATGGACGTTACTATCAACACTGTTTGTACTTTTCCAAGCTCTTCGAATGGCCATCAACAACATTCTGATGCTATTTCAAATGAATTGGAGACCTCTAGCAAGGGTATAGTCAATAAGCAACGGGTGATGAAGATTGATACGGATGTCAACTTCAAAACTTTTTCTCCTATAATAGCTCCAACGTCACCGAACAACGAATTACAAGCCAAAGTTTCCGATGGAACTGTTATTGATATCAAGGTTTTTTTTAAATTATGCGTTCGAAAAACATTTTTATTTTTAAAAATTTTGAGGTGCACAACATTCTTTGTAATTACACTCTTCCAATGCATATCGATCTACGGTTATTGGCATATCACTGTATCAATGTGGACTATGACCGTTTCAAAGGGGTATGAATTCATAATATTTTCCAACTTTTCGTTTCTCTTTTAGGTCTTAGTCAAGCAATTAAGGGATCCTGATTGTACAGTAAAAATTTTCAACAGTGGTAAAGTGGTGATATTCCGTTGTAAGAGGTGAGTTGATTTTTATACTCTTCGGTTTTATTGAACTTTGTTTGGTTCATTAAACTAGAAAAATTTTATTTCTTTAAATATATGTAATCTATTTTAAGTGAAATAGAATGTAAGCGTGCATCACGACAAATTGGACGAATGATTCAACGTGGAATGAATAAACTCGATCAACGTATTTGCATACGCAAGTACCGTGTCTCCAACATTTTTGCCACGTGCCGACTTCCTTTTTCTATTCACATAGATGACGTGGCCCGAAAATACCGCGGCGAAGGCGTTAAGTATGAACCAGAATTAGCGCCCGGTCTCGAGTGGACTCTTCGGGATCCAAAGTCATATTTGCGTATTCACACAACCGGATCAATAACAATTTCAGGAGGTTAATTGTTTTCTCTCGATAACTTTGATTTTTGATTATGTGTTTTTCAGCAACATCAGAGCTTGATTTGATTACAAGTATTCAGCGTGTATATCCTTTCTTGAAGGAGTTTTCATATCAAAGAGATCTCGGGGTAGAAGTAAATCTTGATGACGAAACTCAATTTATGGCTGATTCCTACAAACATTTGCGGAAACGTCCTCGACAACAGACGAAACATTTTCTTGGCAGCAGTTCGGAAAAAAGTCAAGGAATTCTACCATCTAAAAAGGGGCGTTATGTTGACACAATGGAAAAGGGTGCAGGTGTTCTCGGCACTGGAATTTATAACAATCAATTGTATTTTGAAGATGAGGTAATGCTGAATCTAGTTTTTCTATACTATAAATTTCCCTAATTTAGGACGAAAATGTAATCGCTGATGATGAGTATTTCCCGGACGACGAAGACTGCATATATGATGAAGATGATAATTGAATAGTTATGCGCATTAACGGGTTTTTTTTGAATCATATAGCATATTAATTCGAATCGGCAATCCACAAACAAGATCTTCACAATTGTTTTTGCTTGAAATGGCGTTAAAGTCATTTCTTTAATTTTAAAGTCATTCTTTACACTTTTTTATTTTTAAATTTTTTAAAGAAATCTCCTAAATATGTTTTTGATATAAATTGCTATTTTTTCACCACTTCAAATATTTCCAGTAAATTTTATTGAAATTTAATTTTAATCAAAATTTGTTTTTAAACTTGATATTTGTCATTAATTTATTTACATAAAAATTAAATTGTTTAGAGATAGTTTTAAATGATTGACTTAAGAGAACACTGTGAACTTCTAAGGCCTTTAATTGCTGTTTACACCTCTCATTCAGGTTAATCTGTCTTTAGTCATAATCTTAATAGAGCTTCTATTCAGCGCATGAATCGGCAGAAAAGAACGGATTAGACTTCGCACAAATGCTTTTGCCTTTTTCCAGCGTGTTAATTCAAATAAAGGTTTTTATTCTCCTTTTTTTCGTAGTACTTTTGAAGCAGAGGGTTGCCCGTTTTCTCTCCACTTTTTCCCTCCTTAAAAGATACTCTTTCCTCACTCGCTATTTCCTAAAGCCACGATTGAGGCTTGAGGAAGATGGGTGAATGAAGAGAAAGGATTCAGCTTCAAAATTACTTTGTTATTTCCTGCCATAAGTTTGTTTTGGTTCTATTTTTAAGGATCCAATCAGTCAACAGCAACATGAACACAAACTTCGTTTAGACTTACGTGACCTACGACGGAGTGGGTTTTTGCTCAGCCATACCGTCTTTCGTTATGTCATCCAAGAGGTACAATTTAAGCTTATATTTTATCCCTTAAATTTGACTTTTCAATTGAATTTTTATAGAGCATTCTTTCTTCCGCTGGATGCTCTATTCCATCCACAAATAACCAAGAAGAAATAGGCATTAATAGCATACTCACCAATTCATTTTACCAAACATTTATACATTGGCTAGAACCTTCCGAACATGAATTCCTGCGTACTTATTTGGCCTGTATTTTTGTTGTTTCTACAGCGGATTCAGATCCATTAAATAAACTTGCAGAACTACAAGCTGAGCAGCAATGGGAGCAGGTATTCTCTAAATAATCCATTCTTAAGTTTATTTTAATATTGTTTTCCAAGACGCTTACTAATGTTTTCAATTTTTTTTCTAAGCAAAATGAAGGCGGAAATTCAACAGCAAAACGTATTTCACCAGCCCATTGTGTGCCTCCAAAGTGGTTTTTTCCCAACGTGCTCAAGTATTATGTACTGCTTCATGACAATTCTTTACAGGATCTGGACAAACAGAGGTCTATGTTTCTGACTTCTTCCTCAACTCTGAATTTTTATTTTATACAGATATGAGGAAATACTTAGAGCCGTTTATGAACGTTATGGCGAGAAATTTTGCTCATTCATTACTTTGAATTCTGCAAACCCTTCTGATTCAACTTATACCAGTATGCCTGATATTTGGAGGCTATTAGTTGATCCTATTCAAGAAAATTTACAAACGGGTCTTAAACTAGCCAAACAAAATTTGTATTCCTCAAATGATACTAAAACCGGGGTATTCTTTTTTATTTCATGCAAAAAATTTATTCTTTTTTTGTATCAAAGTAGTAATGTATCTTTATTTTCAGTCCCAAAATAATATTACAAATTTTCTAACCCGACAACAACAACAGCCAACTTATCTACCTCCTGTTTCTTCTTCACCAGCACTTTCATATGATAATGAAGCAACGACGTCTGTTAATCCTTCCTTATTCACAACCAATGCAGAGTTTAGCATTGGTCAGATAAATTCAACTTTTCTCCAAAATGAACATTCATCTGTTGTAAATAATTTGCCTATAACAAAATCGCCTATGACTTATGCACAGGTTTTATTTTTAGTAAAAATCTCCCTTTGTTAGCACATGATTATATAACTACGTGATTATATGAACACTGATTATAAACACAATTAAGATTACTTCTGGATCTACCAACTCTACAACTGCATTTTTACCAAACTGTGATAAATTAACTTCAAAAATATCAAGTGAAAATATTTGCGATCATGATATCGAGATGACCAACAAAATTTATGGTTTCAATTTACAAATTGATTTTAAAAACTTCATTCAATTTTCAAGGTCAATGGTTGTCTGTTGAAGACCGGCTGGGTTTACAGAAATTTGTCGAGGAATTTGTTCGAGACGCGCTCGGTAAACTAATTAATTTATCCATCCTTGTCATCTTCTAACATTACAGTTCCTTTTGTGGAGAAACACCTATCAGACCAAAATGAATTTTTGCTCAATAAAAGAAGTTTAGCTAAAACCACATTTAGCTCCATGAAAAAATGGCTTCAAACTGCGACAACTAATACAAATCCCACACCAATCTTTAATGTGCAACAGTTACATCAAAGCCAGTCTTCAACTAATCTGCCAATTTCTGTTAATATTTCAACCGAGAGTGTTGAATATCAAGCAAGACGTTTAGCAGATTTAGCTTTCCTCTTTGGACTATACCAATATGCAAATCAGTTTTATCAGTCTTTGAAAAAGGAATTTGCCAGCGAACAGGCCTGGGTTTCTATTCACATTATATGATCCAAATATTAGTTTTTTCCTTATACATTAGCGCTTTATCTATTTATTAAAATTATTTTAATAAATTTTTTTGCAGATACATCATATTGGCTGTTTAGAAATGGCAGGTATTTCTGCCTTCTTGCATTCTTGGCAACAACTTTCGCAACAACTTATTAATCCGACATTAAGATCGGTCGCTCTGGCCAACTTACGAAAACTTTATCCACAAAGATATTTGAACAATGCCATTAATTTATATGCAAATGTCTTCAGGTTTTTTTTTTATTTTTTTCATTATGTATTAATCTTTTCAGACAACCATACCTGGCACTACGTGCACTCATGAACAGTGTACTAATACTAACGCAGCTTGAACTTTATTCAGAAGCTGCTCAACAACTCATTTTATTTAATACATTACCTGAACTAGTGGATCTAGCTGATTTGATTGGAGCTGTTCTGTTGGAACATTCAGCACGAATTTTTGCTAAAGCGGGGAACAGACGACGGAAATTAGCTTTTTATCTGGTTTGGTTTCTATTGTTATTTTATATTTGATTCACATTTAGGTAACTGCGGGAACTCATGTACTTAAATTCGCCTCTAAAAGGCAGAAAATTTCGGCAGAAATGTTGAGTCGAGCAAAACTCTTGTCACGTCGTCTATATTCTGAAGTTCTACATTCATCATCATTTACGGGAAAAGGCTGGGCATGGGCAGATGATTATCTTTTATATCAATACATCTCATGCCTATAGATATTTATTATTGTGATAAAGTTATTGTAAATTAAAATTACGACTTTGATCCTAACAGCTAAACACTAGCATTAAATTTTTCTCATTCAATCATCTCTGCCTTATAATTTACTCTGCAAAGATTTGTGAGAGTACTTGCCTTGCATTTTAATCAAAGCTTTTGTTGCATGCACTATTGTTCTCTACAAATAATGTTCAATGACGTCTCCCGATTTTATGGTAAAAGATTGGTTTGACAAGACGCAAAACATGCCTGATTTCGAGTCGCAAGACAATTTTGTCGCAATTCTGGAATGCCTTGTTCGGTATTTTAAAAATTAATAAAGCACCAAAGATTAATAATTTTTAGAATACTAAGGCCACCTAGTCCCCAACCTATTAACAAACAAATAGAAACTTTCGCCAGATATGTACAGCTACTTAACAGGTTCAAGATTTTTTTCTTTAAAACATTTTTTCAGTCGAGATTCAAGCGATCTAGTTTGCATGGACTGGATTAACCTGTTGGTTGATTTGACGAGGGTGACAACATTCGTAGGGCTTGGAATGTCAGATTTTGTTACTCAAGATTGTCAGAATTCTGCAGATCCCTTCATAAAAATAGGAAGATTTTCACAGGAAGGTAAATGCTTTCAATCTAACACCTTAATTTAAATATTTATAGTTTACCCTTCAAATGCTGCTTGTATTCCGGTCTGGAATGAACTTTTTGAATGTGCTGGTAAAGCAGTTGATGCCTTCCTTCCGAATTCACCTCCAACTTTATTCTTAAATGAATATACAAACAACAATAAGCAATGTTATTTACCAAGAAACGAGCCTTTGGTTGTGCGCTTGAGGTTTTTTAGATAATTTTTCAAAAATTTCATTGTCAGATTCAATAATCCTTTTCCCTTCCCATTACTTTTGCGTGATTTAAGGCTTTCAATTTGTGATGTAAGTATTTTTCTTTATTGTCCTTTATTTAAATTACGCCTAGTTAAACTTAACCAATTTTAATTTTTCTTTGCAGGTAAAGGTTTCTTCTAAAAATGGAAACAATCATTCCGATGATGACTTCTTTAGACTATCAAATAAAGATATTAATTTGCCTGGAAATTCAAACGAACCACTTTGTTTTAGAATGACTGAGGAAGATCGATCAAAAGAATCTTCAGATGCTGAAATTATTGTTGATTTGCAGGCGATTCCAAACAGTGAAATTGTTCAATCCTTTAGAGTGGAAGGAATTCGTTTCCAACTGTGCGTCCCTTTTCCAACTACTTCAATCATTGATAATAAGGATGCTGAGGTTAATGCTTCTTATAATAACTTAAACATTGTTGGCAATGAAGAGAGTAAATTATTAAGTGTGCTTGGATTCATTCCTATTAAATTACGTGGACCACGTCTTGCAATGACAAAAGAACAGGCAATTATGAAAGCACAATTTTTACTAAAAATTTTCATTTTAGCGTAGAACAAAGCAGTATGCTGCAGACAAACGACTTGAGTTTTTCGTTCAACCTACTCCCTCACCGCTGTTGGCATTCCATCTTTCTGGTGACGATAAACATTTGATTAATACAACTTCTGATGCCATTCAATTCGATGCTTACGCTAATCAGATTTTACAAATTGTGCTTGAAGTCAAGAACATTGGTCAATGTCCAGTTGAAAAACTGGTGGTCTGTACGAACTGGCCTGAACAAGGTATAAATATTTTGTCTTTCAACTATTAATGAACGTATGATATTTAGTTTCTGTGAGCGAACCAAATTTACCGACTACATCTAATTCTGACAATGAGCAGCGAGGTCGCTGGATAAGCGCTCAGTTTATTCCATGTAGGTGTCCAACATTCGCTGACCAGCCATATCCAGCATCATCCGAATTTGAAGGAACTGCTTTTCTTGCTAAATTCAATTGTACAAAAATCAACAAATCAAATCCTTTGAAAGTTGGGCATAGAACAAGGTTATTTTTAAAATTAATTTTAACCTTTTTCTCATTTTAGACTTCGTATTGCACTTCGTGCTTGGCACAATATAAAAATGCCAGCCGATTGGTCGCAGCTCTTTTACTTCCTTTTTCTCTACTCTGATGGAAATAATTGTAGACAATTTCGTTTTACAATTCGTATTCGAACCATAGAAAGGCTATTTTCTTCGACGTTTCAACTATTGAAATCTGACGTTGGTTTATATCTGTTAAAACTGCAGAATGCTGTATCCCAAACGCTTCCTTTTACTAACGTAAAAGTGCTTCGGCTTGCTGCATTTTATTGCAAATCAAATACCTCAAAGAAAGGGGATGAAAGCGATGTTTTTCAAGAAGAATTTAATAGCCTTGCAATTAATGAAGATAAGAATAAGAGTTGGAACGAACTTGTGGAGTTAAATGGTTGTACATTAATGTCATTAACAAACACAGGTTTTTTAAATTAAAATTTCGAATATTGAATAATTTAAATTTTTATAGTTGCCTTCGAAAGTAACCAAAGTCTTTCATTTTGTTTCTTTGCTACACCTATTTCTCATGCGTTTAATGAAACTAAAACTTTGAATGTTTGGAATAACGAACTTTGGTTAACAAATCAACAAGAATTTCTTGACATTCCACAATGGAACTTTCCATTATCTTTTATTAAAGAAGACCAATTGGAAGAGCATTCAGAGAGTAGTTTAAAAACTCAGCATGAAAGAATGCTTGCTTTGAAAATTCTTTGGTGGGGAAATATCTGTTTTGGTTATAAATTTTGCATTAAAGGTCAGCGACACTGGTGCAGGCTGATAAAACCTCGAATATGATTTTTGGTGAGTCCTTTTTGCTTTCTGATGCTATGACAAAGGATAATGAGACGTCCGGTGATTGCGGTACATTTTTAGAGAAAACTTGACTTTATTTACTAAAAATAAAAATACTTGTGTTAACCCATTTTGGAAATAAAACTTTTTAATCCTTAATAAATTTGTCTTTGTGCCTATAGCTTTGCAGCACTAAAGGTTGGATTTACTACAACGGATTATAACCTATGCCAAACTTCAAAGGCAACATAAGTACTTAGGAATAAATAAGTTTGCCTTGTTTTACATTTGTGTTTGTTTATCCTTCTTTTCTTATAAAACCTTTTTGGGTGTTTTTGATCCAGGATTTTGTTGAACAAACGAATTGAGTAAAATTGTTTTACAATTACTATAAAAATGTAGAATTTGCTATGGATTTTTCTATGCAAATTAGATGTTTAGCAATTATATATGAAAATCGAGACAATTAGCTTATGGCCTTGTATCATATGTACTGTTAATCTTTATAAATGTGAAGGAAAAATATAATATTTACTCAAGAACAACAACATATGTTCTTGCGCGAGGATATTTAATTTTCCTCACTTCCTTGTTCCATCCATTCCTTTCGTCTTACACTAGGGCATCAACTCTCCCTATTCCTAAAATAAATGCCTAAACATAAGACTAATCGCCATTTCGCAATATGGGCAATAACACTACCTTACGGCATATATTTTTTCAATTTAGCAATTTTTGCTGTCTGTTTTTATCAAAAAGTTCATATTTGTTCGTGTGGTCACGAAATAAAACTTTTAGTTTAGATTTTATGTACTTTTCTCCATCTTATAACTTTGCAGCTGTCGCCTTTCCCTCCATATCTTGGCACTTTTGTGTGCGCAGGTGTGGTCAACTTCTCTTTCAAAATTCCTTCCATTTCATCTTCATGAAAAGCTAAAAAATTTTTAAAAATAAAACTTAAATATCGCGAACTTTATTCCGAACACTTATTTTATGACTACCTAATATGTAAAAAATTTAAAAATACATAAATGCACATTTTTACTTTAATTTTTATGAGGTGACGTAAAATTTTTATGAGGTTAAGTTGTCGTTTCAATTTCTAATTTTATACCTCACCTTAAGATTCTTTATTGGAATGCACAGCATTTTCTCCAGCATGCACCACTGTTTCTAATTTAATTTCTCCCTTTGAGTTCCTTCCAAAAAATTTCCCTCAATTCCAACTAACTTTTCGTAATGTCTTCTTCGTCCAATAAAAGTTTATTTTCTTCTCCGAGATTAGATTAATTTACTGGTTTTATAAACTCAATCGAATTATAAATTAAGATCTTTTTCATAATTTTTCAATTTGTATTCCAATTACTTTCCTTCAAAGAATTTTAATTAAGTCTGAGTGAAAAATCCTGAAAAAGGAAAAGACCTGCGGCTATTACATATATATCTTTTTTGAGCTTAAATCTAATTCTAAACTTTAAATTAATGCTTTCTTCCAAAAAACAACTACCTACGTGACTAAAGTAATTTTATAAGTCTTAATCTTTTAGCAGAAAGTTCCTTTTATCATTTTCTTATGTTTGTACGATTGCGTAGACTGAAACCAACAATTTCACTCCCTGTGTTCTTTATTATTTTTTCTAAATTTTTTAATTTGATTATTGCTTCTGGTCAATTACGTTTTCATTTGGCTATTTTTAATATTTCTGAACATGGCATAAATGACAGCAATGTTTCTAATCCTATTAAAAGTTGTTACTGTATTAATGGCGGTAAATGTATTGGAAGTAAATGTGTTTGCCCCCTTGGCTATTGGGGAGAGAATTGTGAAAAAGTAATTTTAATTTAATGTTGACAATTAATAATTTATCTTTTCAATTAAAATTTACTTATTTTAGTGTATTCCAAACTCAAGATGTAAAGGATTTTGTCGTCGGGGACCTGGTGGATGTTCTTGTCCCTTTGGAAAGGGAGGACAATTTTGTGAAAAAGGTTAATCCTAGTAATATTTTTAAAATTTCCATTTTAAAAGATTTGGTATTCTGCACTAAAAATTCACCTTGTCAGAATGGTGGAATATGCCAAAATAATGCTGAAGGAAATTATACTTGTAAATGTATTCCCGGTTTTGGCGGCAGAAATTGTGAAAGAAAATTAACAAAATGTGAAGAAGAACCATGCTATAATGGGGCAAAATGCATTCCAGTTAATTCTGAAGCCATAATTTTTTATTTATTCTCTTTTCTAGTCGTTTTCCTATCCTGGATTTCGTTGTTTGTGTTCTTCTCTACTTGGTCTTTTTGGCCGTTTTTGTGAAATAAAAGCTCCGAATGGGTGTCTTGATTTACCTTGCCAAAATGGCGGTTCATGTATTGACTATTCTTCAAATACTGTTCACAACAATTCGTTTAAATGTATATGTCCTGAAGGATGGACTGGACCTCTCTGTGAATTACCTTGGGGATATTGTAGTGAAAATCCTTGTCAAAATGGTCAGAGCTTGCAATTTTTTAGAATGAACTTAACTTAAAAATTTTATTCTAGGTGGTTCTTGTGTAACAGATAATTTGAATGAAAAGGGATATGTTTGCTTTTGTAAGCCTGGTTGGTCTGGTGTTAATTGTGAAGATAAGATCAATAACTGTTTGATAAATCCATGCTTAAATGGAGGAATTTGTTTTAATTCAATGAATGCCTTTCGCTGTTATTGTACAAATCAATGGGAAGGTGAAATTTGTCAATACAGGATACAGAGGCAGTTAAGAGATTATAAACGGTTAGTATTTTATGAGTTTACACAGAGGATTCTAAGGACAAATTTTGAAAGAAGAGAATTTCAAAGGGGTGTTAAGACGATAATACTTTACGAAGGACCTCAAATGAAAAATTTGCTTTGACCAATTTCTTTCCTACTTTCTTTGCGGTGTACGAGCATACTACTTCCTGCCAAAGGGCTGCCTTCATGTGTATGAGGCTTTCCTCCAGGGTACTACAGCTAATGTATTTTTAAAAATTTTCAAGCGATCATATCGAATCTTCAAAACAACGGAACAACAATAAAAATTATTTGTTTAATGTTATTTCTTTATTACTGGCTCTAATAGCTTTATTATTGGCATTTCTTTCTTTACTTTATTATGTTTTACGTTTTCTACTTTTATTTAATAATTCAAATAATTTAAGAATGAACAAAAGAAATGTTGATTTAGAAAGTTGTCAAAACCTTCAACAAATTTCATTCATTTATTCAAGATATAAAAAAAGTAGACATTTTGGGGATATCTCTATACCAGAGTGTTCATCACCACGTTATATATCGTTACCTGTTACACAAAATAAAACAACAAATTCTAATATTTATGAGGAAATCAATTATGACTTAAGCCATCAAAATATTTGAAACAATGTTTCAATCTCTTGTTTATTCTAATAGATGGACAGCCCAGCCTGTCAAATATTTCAAAGTGTCTATGCTAATGAAGGCTTCATATCAGAGGATTCTGGTAGTAGAATACAATAGTTCACTCATACAACATACTTTTACGGGTCATGCATGTAATTTCATAGTTATTTTTGTTGTTATCTCACATTAGTAATAAAATTTTAATCGTACTTTATTTACTTTCTATTTTTAATCCATTGTTGTAAAACTTTTTCATTTCTGAATCCTTGTTCTTTCTCCAATGTTTCCTTATTTTCCTTTTGAACAGCTGAACAGGCGGGCTCATCGTCAATTTGTTAATAATGGCTCATAAGTAAAGCTGTGATAGTTAGGCAAGTAAAATCAGTGAAATAGGCGCCTAAAATAGGCACCAAAAAGCCAAAAAAGGCACAAAAATAGGCATGTAAAAAGGTTATCAGGCCTATGAAATTAAGAAAAAAGCAAGAAAATAACCACATATTCATCGTTTTTTTTGACCATTTTGCCATTTATTCGCCATTTTAAATCATTTCTTGAGCAAAAATTGTGTAATTTTTTTAAAATGTCGATAATTGGAAAAAGCAAATCTCGCCCAACCCACAAATCGTCCCACCCCAAAATGTCCCGCCACCAAAACGTCTAATCTCAAAATGTCCAATAGAGGAAAAATACTCAATTTGTCGAACTAAAAATTAAAAATGGGACCTGGCATTGATTTTTTCTAATTTGGGACTGATTTTTTTAGATTTTTCACTGATTTTTAGGCAAAATTTCGAAAAAATCGCTAAAAAGGCAAAAATAGTACCAAAAATTACTAAATAGGCAAAAAGGCTCAAAAAGTCCAAAATAGGCAAAAATAGGCAAATTAAAAGTCATGCTTAACACTTCGGACCAAGTAAAAACACGTTTTTTGAACGTATTACACCATCCCAAGCTTGCAGAAAAAATAGGCATTTGCCTATAAATCACAGCCTTACTCATAAGTTTTGGTATAAATCATCGATTATTTAAAATGTCGTCACGGGCAAAAGGTCAATACATCGCCGCAGTTCAAATTAATTCAAATGTCACCGCCCTAATATTTTGTTAGCAGCAGCGATATTTTGTCCCTTTTTGCCCATAGCGACATTTTGATGAACGACATTTTAACTATTTTGCACGTTACGACATTTACTTAAATCGGCTACGAATAAATCTTTAAAGTGCCGTGGCGCTGCGTGTCCATAATTATCTATGATGTTGTTTCATTTTTAAAATTTATTCTAATTATTGTTCAGCTAATACTAAATTTCAGAATTTTTTTAGATAAGATGATTTTCGACTTAATTTTTTTTCTAAATCTTTTTGCTTTGATACCATGTTATAATGGTGAGACGATAGATTTAGATTATTTACGCTTATTGGATGATCGTTTGATGTACAGCATTGATTATAAACCGATTGACCAGTTTCCGACGGACATAGAAGAAAAGGAGGGAAAGTTAGTTCAGATAACTTCACCAGATCAAGAACAGTACAAGTGTCTCATACCTACAATTAACACTTACGTTTGGACTATAATTTTTATTTTATATTTTACTTTTTATTTAGTCAAAGAAGCGCATTGAAGCATATACTGGTCCTTCACCCGCACAGTTACTCAATCCAATCTACGACGAAAGCATATGTTCATACAAATTTGAAGCTTATTGGAACTACGAGGTACCAAAAATACTCGATTATTTTGTCTACTTTTTCAGCTTTGTCATGGACGATATGTATTGCAATATCATGAAGAAAAGGACACAAAGAAAAGAACTGAATTTTTCCTGGGCAATTATGTGAGCGTTGCTGCCGTTGTGGTATTTGTTTGAATAAATATAGCTAACATTTCTAAATTTTAATAAAAATTAAATGGCAGAATTTTCTTTGAAAAAAATTTCTAATTAATTTTTTGGATGCGTCCTAAACTATAAATGTTTCAGGAAGCCAAAAATTTTGACCAATTGAATCCTCCCACAAAGAAGATTGGAGATGAGGTGCGCGCTTACTATCCTGGTATATTTATATTAATACGTATCTCAAGTCTATTTTTTTAGTTACCTACTCACACGGAACTTTATGTGATCTAAATGGCAAGCCTCGACAAACAGTTGTGCTATATGTTTGCGAGGAGGTTTGTTTTTCTGTAACTAATTTAATCGATGAATATAAGGAAAAAATGGGATTTGAATGTTTATTCTTTCCAGAATGCCCAGCAAAATATTTATTCATTCACGGAAATATCATCTTGCCATTATGAGATAATTGTTTTTGTAAATGAATTGTGCGCTCATCCGGCCTTTCAGATAATGCCTCGTAAAGAAAATGAGATTAAGTATTTTGGAAAATGTATAGAATACCGACCACAAAGGAATATGGACAAATTATATATCATTTAAAAGAGCTCGTCGAGACAAGTCGAATGACACAAAAATTATTTGGGGCTTGCAACTTTGGGCTGAGATATAGGGCTCGAAATGGTCAAAACTTAAAGGGTTAAAAATAGTCAAAAACTCAAATGTCTATCCCTCATCTTTTTCCATGAATGTCATTTTAAAATGCTCGACGAGCTGAGAAGAATGACACCAAAAGCACAGTGATTGAACAAGTTTGGACAAAGTTATGACAAAAACAAACAACGTATACCTATGGAGAGTAGGCGAGGCGCTTGTGCAAAACCCCGCGCTTCGCGCGGGGTTTTGCGGCACGCGCCTCGCGGGGAGTCTACGGGCGCTGGGTCTGGGCTCGTAACATAAACTTATGCCTATCTTAGCTGCGGTCGGCATGCCTGGCTTCCTCCGCTTCAGCAAAAACCTGCACGTGGACCAAAGGTACGGAGCCAAAACAAATGCTCATAACTTTGTCGAATCAAGTCGGATTTCGCTGATTTTTGTGTCATTCGACTCAGATCGAGGAGCTCTTTCGAATGAGCTATTATTTGGCTTTTCGAATTTTCACCACAAAATTGAGCTTGGTACCCCCCATGGTTTTTGACCATTTCGAGCCCTATATCTCAGCCCAAAGTTGCAAGCCCCAAATAATTTTGGTGTCATTCGACTCGTCTCGACGAGCTCTTTTGATTGATATATAATTTGTCCATATTCCTTTGTGGTCGGTATTCTATACATTTACCAGTATTTTTATTTTTAAATTAGTTCATATTTATTTTCTAATTACAGATGTTTCCCATTGAGTAAACTTCATAATGAGGATCCAAAACCAAAAGCTGTTATAAAAATTCAAGAAGAAGCCGAAAAACAATATGCACAAGAATATGCACTATTAAAACAATTGACTGATGTAAAAACCGCGAAACAAATTTTCAGCAAATTCTTCCAGGTTTTTTTTGCAAATTCTATTAAATAGCTTGGGATGGTAATTTTGTTTTGTCGCTCTCTTTTTCTTTCTTGTCGGGAAAAAAGGAGCAACGAAACCACACCGTCTATAATTCATAAATTTTGTGATCCATTAGAAAACACTACTAAAGAATGTATATCCAATGTTTCACAGCTCTTTAGCATTTGGAGAAAAATTTCTTATCAGACTTTACAGATCAATGACGAATCCATAGAAGATGGTTTTGGACAACTCACAGCTGTTCTTGAATCTATCAAAAAAGTTGCGCAACAAAAACGTGCTGATATGAAAAAATCTCTTGCATCAAAGGAGCATAGTCCAGAGAAACAGGAGCTGACTAAAGATCAAGATCCTGAATCTCCTCCAAATGAATTGGAACATATCGTTAAAGGATTCTTTCGTGGAACTGTTTGTTTGCATGGTGGTTTTGGCTGGTGGAAATATGAAGTTTGTTACGGAAAAACGGTATTCTTTGCAATGTTTTTACCTTATTAATTTTTTTCAAGGTGATGCAATACCACTCTGAAATTGGTAAAAAGCGCGAAAATATTTTGTTGGGGGTTTTTGACAAGGCTGTACATATGGTGCATTTAATTCTTATTGTAAATTGGGTTCATACTTTTTATTTAAGGCTTGGGCCATAGAGCATCCAGAGAAGGTTATTGAGCGTAACGAGGATGGAAAAGTTATGAGTGCAACAAACCTTTACACACAAGGCGATAAGTGTGAGGAGAATGGTGCTCACAGGTTTTTTAAAGGTTCTTTCTGTCCGATATATTGAGGATTCTTTAGATCGTGTGAAGTGCGGATTCGCTGTAGAGATGATATTGTTTCTCAGAAGGTGTTCATCTATATGCTAGAGGTTCTATTTTATATTTATAAAAATTTCAGTCTAATTCGATTATTTTGTAGCCATCAACGTGCCAATACATAGTGGTGTTGGAATCAACTATGTTTTGTGAACCGCTTCAAAATGTAGACTCTTTCGGGTTATTAAGAGAGAATATGGGCGCCTTGATCACTTTAGCCCCAACAGAGATTGATGAAAAACAAAGTAAGAAAGAGAATAAAGATGATTTAAATTAGATCACACTTTTGTTTTTGTACAATTCTTTCCAGTTATTTTTTAATTACTTTTCCAGGAATTTCGGGTTGAGTTTCTATTTATTTCTTTAAACCTTGTATGATTAAATATAGCGATTTTTTCATTTTTATTCTATCAATTTATTTCGTCGAATATCTTTTACTGTTTTGTTTTATTTAAATTTTAATTTTAAAAGTTAATGTCCGACTATTTAGAAGAAAATGATGTTCAGTTATTGAAGAAAGCAATTTCTGAATATTGTGTTTCCACTGATAAATCGACTTCTGTTCGCATTAGGAAGCGCCCGCTAGTTGTAAAATCAAATATTCAAGATGCTAAAGGTTTATTAATGGTTAATTCAAGAAAATTTGATTATTTAGGTGATGCCATTTCTTTTGTTTTTGAGAGCATGATTTTCAGGTTTGTTTGTTAAATCTTCTAGTATATTAACTCGGCTATAACTATAGAAAGTTTCCGTTATGGGCGTCTTACATGTTAGCCTATGATTTTATTGAGAAATTTTATGATGAACTACGAACAATAGATCCAGAGAAAGGTATTGTTAAATTTATTTAATTAAAAATTACAAATAGTAGAAGCAGATTCTTGGTATTCTAATGTAATTGCTTGTTTTGAGCGGTACTTAAGGGAAATGAGCGCAGGAGTTCTTAGCCTTCCAGGTTACAAATTCAGTTTGCTAAATAAAAAATAAATCTAGCAAAACCTCGTGATTGGGATAGATATTCAATTTCTTTATGTTCACAAAAAAATCGAAAGCCAAAAATGGAGGATCGTCACATCGTTTTGGTATATAGGTTTAAAAATAAAAATTAATAAATAGAATTTTCAGCCCTCATTCTCAGTTATTGATTCGCAGTTTCCGAGCTCGGATGCTTTCTTCGCTGTTTTTGATGGTAGTTTAACATATATTTAATAATGTATAATTTCTTCCTAGGACACAACGGATCTGATTGTTCAGCATATGCGAGCGCTCATTTTTTGGAATGCCTTCTAGATGCACGTTCAAGTGGAAACAGTGAAGAAAGTCTTTTAGAAGATGCCTTCATTAGAATGGATACTCGATTGACAAACCGTTGTCTTAGTGAAGTGGATGAATTTTTCTAAAACTACCTAAATCCTCTTTTTCTGATAGAATTACAAAAGCGGAACAACGGTCAGCTGCATTTACCTGAATGAGCGGAAAATTGCTTACATGGTATATTTTAGACATTTTATATTATTAAAAACGTATTAATCAGGCGTGGTGTGGAGATTCATCAATAGGTTTAGAAATCATGCGATGATATTAAAAATAAACATTAAATTATAGCGGTTTTGAAGGAGAGAAGAATTGAGACGCTTTCGATCCCGCACAAACCTGACAATCCAGTTAAGATATTTATTTATCGACATTCAATTTATATTATTTTGCAGGAAGAACGGAATCGAATAGAAGAAGCAGGTGGAATGGTTATAAATGTTCAAGGAGTTCCTCGATTGAATGGAGTTCTCAATCTAAGCCGTTCATTGGGGGACATTCGTGCTAAAGTAATTTAATTTAAAATTTTTTTAAAACAAAATTAAGCCGATGATTAGCTCGAAACCAGATTTGAGTACGTACCCACTTTCAGAAAATGAGGTAGACTACATGATATTTCTTTCAACCGATGGAATATGGGATTGCCTAGAAGAAGAACAAATTTTCGAGTTAGTTCGTATTTTCGTCACAGAGCATTCAATAAAAGGTTTAAGATAGAAGTTTCTAATAAATTTTGTTAAATATAAGATTTTTACTTGTTGGCGGACTTTATTGCTGCCAAAGCAAAAGAAGCTGACTCCGTCGACAATATGACGTTGATTTGTGTTTGTTTGGAATCTCTCGAAGAGATTTGGAATACTTTTGCTTATAAAGTGGAAGATCATCCTCTTTCGAAAAGAAGTTAAATTTTTAAAATAAGGTTGGTCACAACCGGTTATTAACCATTACCCTCGGTTTTCGGTTAATCTAATTTTAAAATACCAGGTTTTCGGTTTTGAGTTTTAGGCAAATACTTGTTTTATTTTGGGGAATTTTTAATAAAACACATTTTAACAAATTTCCGGTTTTTAAAATTTTCTAAAGACGGTTAATTTTTGGCAAAAAATATCAAAAATTCCGGTTTTAAAACCGATCGTGTCCAACCCTAGTTTAAAATATTCACATCAAGTACCTTATATTTTTTAAAGCCCAAATTATTTTTGTGTACATACCTCTTAAATAAATATGTAATTTAAATATTTCACGAGTTTATTTTTTTAATTCTGATTTTAAATTCAGTCTATATTTATTATATTTTTTCTCAAAAATATTATCTTTATCTTTTTAGATTGCCAACGTGTTTGAACTGGCATTAACTGCTGGTGTATTATGTATTACTGGCATTAACTGCTGGTGTAGTATGATATTACTGGCATTAATTGCTGGTGTAGTATGTATTACTGGCATTAATTGCTGGTGTAGTATGTATTACTGGCATTAATTGCTGGTGTACATATATATTACTGACATTAATTGCTGGTGTATATGTATTACTGGTATTAACTGCTGGTGTATATAGGTATTACTGTCATTAATTCTGTTCGTATGTATTACTGGCATTAACTGCTGGTGTACATATGTATTACTGGCATTTATTGTTGGTGTACATATGTATTACTGGCATTAACTGCTGGTGTACATACTTCTTACAGCATTAATTGTTGGTGTACTTATGTATTACTGACATTAGTTGCTGGTGTACATGTATTACTGGCATTAATTGCTGGTGTATTATGTATTACTGGCATTAATTGCTGGTGTACATAAATATTACTGGCATTAATTGCTGGTGTACGTATATATTACTGACATTAATTGCTGGTGTACATATATATTACTGGCATTAATTGCTGGTGTACATATATATTACTGACATTAATTGCTAGTTTAAATAGCCAACACCAAAATAAGTTAATGGCAATGATGAGAATTTTTAAATAGGAACAAAATCGCATGTTCTCTATGATTACAAGCTATTCTCTGAGCCATTCTTAATAATTATTTTGAAATTAGAGAAATTTGGGCTACCTTAAACGGGTGGGGACGCCCCTAACCCTTTATTTTTTTGCAGTTTTTATACAAAATTGAAGTTAATTTTTCAAAGTTTATCTGATTTTATTTTCTAAAAATTTGAGGGGCACGTTATTCCTTGTTTTGAATTTCATTATAATGATTGCGATTCCTCTTATTTTCCGCAGTTTTTTTCGAAGTGGAATGACAGGTTTGAAATTTACAAAATTAAATTATTTTTCAAATTAAAGGCAAAAAGGGACGAGGAGGTATGCCTGGACCGATGGGAAATCTTTTTGGCTTCTCTCAATCAACTGCCAGAGTTATTAACAAAGAAGATATAAAAACAACTTTTAAAGACGTGGCTGGTTGCGAAGAAGCAAAAATTGAAATTATGGAATTTGAAAATTTTTTGAAGAATCCTCAGCAATATCGAGCGCTTGGTGCAAAAATTCCAAAGGTTAAATTTTTAGATAATTTTTATTAGTTCTTATTAAAAATTTTTAATTTTGGGTGCTCTCCTCACTGGTCCACCAGGAACTGGCAAAACATTGCTTCCCAAAGCAACTGCAGGGGATGCAAATGTGCCTTTCATTACTGTTTCTGGCTCAGAATTCCTTGAGATGTTTGTTGGTGTTGGCCCTGGACGTGTGAGGGATATGTTCGAAATGGCGCAAAAGAAATCACCTTGCATTCTTTTTATTGATCAGATTGGGCTATTGGGAAAAAACGAGGCGGTCGCTTCTCTATTGGAGGACATTCTGACAATGAACAGGAAAATACGCTCAATCAATTACTCGTGGAGATTGATGGTATAATTTAGATTATTTTTTTGAATTATGAGTCGGTTATTTTAGGTTTCTACTGAGGAAGCCAATGTTGTAGTAATCGCAGAAACAAATCGATCAGATGTGTTAGATCCACACTTATGCGGCCTGGACGCTTTGATAGACAAATTTTTATTCCTGTCCCGGATATCAAGGAGAGCGTCTATCTTCCGTGTTCATTTAAAACCGATAAAGACTAGTCTGGATAAAGTGCAATTATCAAGAAAATTAGCTGCTCATATATCCGGATTCTCATGTTTATTTTTTAAAAAAATTTTTCTAATTGATTTTGGATTAGGAACTGATGTAGCAAACGTTTGTAATGAGGATGCATTAATCGCTGCTCGTGATGCTCATGATGAAGTGACTGCAAAGGATTTTAAAAAGGCTTTTGAAAGAGGTGAAGGTACTGGAGTTGTGCGTCATTCTTTTGCTGCTGTTGCCGAGTTTGATTTTGATGTTTTTATTTTTTAATCTTATCATAAAGTCCATAACAACAGTCAAACATTTGCCTTCGCTTGATAATGTTAATGAAGATGGAACGAATAAATCAGAGACAAAAACTCCTGGGAAGACAGCTTCTGTTGGTTCTGCAACGCCAAATATTCCTAAGGCTGACGATTCTGTTCCTGCTAACGGTATAAAATTTAACAATCATGATATAACTTGTTTCCTTTAAATTTTTAGGTCGAACTTTTCGAAGTAGCACTACTAGTGCCACAAGTACACCGGCTGGAAATGAAGATGCATTGATGCCGGCTTCTTCAAACTCAGCACTAGTTCATTCTTCCAACTGGTTCAGACACTCAGACACTTCTCTTCTGCAAAGCTGCAGCAAAGTCCAATGGAGGGTTTTATACTCCAATTACTGGTTTAAATTGTAGTTCACAACGTCTGAATGCTTTCCGCAATGTTGGAAGGTTAAGATAATTTTTTTAATTTTGTAAAAGTATTTTCTCTTTTTAAAGATTGATTTGAATTTGTCTTCAACTTATGGAAATTTTCACTTTGCTGTATTATTTTAAATATTTTTAAAATTTAATTTTGACTTTTATTTTTTTCTCTTTAAGCCTTTCTCGTTATGTTCTTAAATATATTCTGCGGCATAATTTTACTTGGTATGATTTGACCTTTGTTTCATCACTTTTTGATTCTTTACGTTCAATTGTTCACAATGAGAATGATGAAAGTTACCAGTCTCAAGAGTTTTTCAATCAACTTGAAATGACATTTGCTGTTAATTTGCCTGCTGAAGAGGTTAAACAAAATTTTATGATTTATAATAGAGTTGTTAACGACGGTAATTAACCCCCGGTTAACGGTTTTGGCTAGATCGCCAAAACACTTGTTTTCGCTTTCGGTTAACTGAGGGCCTTAATTTGTTATATTTTTTAGGATGGCGGTACACTTGAATTGAAGCCTGGTGGTGCCGATATTCCTGTAAACAATGAAAATGTTTTGGATATGTTGAAAATCGCCTTATTGGACGAAATAAAACTAGTTTTGATGGTATTTTTTGGAATATTTTATATTCTATTAGATTTTTTAAGCAATGCGTCGCGGTGTCTTTGACGTAATAACTGCTGATGCATTAATTAATTTGGTAATAGTGTCGTTTCCAGGCCCCATTTTTTCTCCCCGATTTTTTACCCTATGTTTGTACGGAATGGTCAAATTTTCCCCTTTCTTTCATCAAATTTGCCTTTCCATATTTTGCCTAAAACAATCAAAAAGCTTGGTGTTTCTCTTTGTATTTCTCTCAACGCTTCCAATCATCCATGCATCTTTCTTTGATTTTTGAATTTAATGAAAGAAATGGGAAAATTTGACCATTCCGTACAAACATAGGGTAAAAAA